CATACTCCGCTAGGAAAAGACTCCATCTAGCTTGCCTTCTGGTCAACTTTTGACTCATCATGAAATATTCAAGGTTCTTATGATCTGTCCATATTTCAACCGGGTGAGGTGCTCCCTGCACATAGTGCCTCCACTCCTCCAACGCTCTAATGATCGCTAACAACTCCTTATCATGAATGTCGTAATTTCTTTCCGCATCATTCATTGACTTAGAGTAATATGCTACTGGATGCCATAATCCGTCTTCCATAAGTTGAGAGAGAACCGCTCCTGTTGCGTAATCTGAAGCATCGGTCTCTATTTTCTTTTTCTTCTCAACATCTGGCATGACTAAGACGGGAGCTTCTGTGAAACGTTTCTTAAGTTCATCAAAAGCTTTCTGTTGCTTTCTCCGTCCAGTCCCATTTGACATCTTTTCTTAGCAGATCATTCATTGGTCTGGCTATATCTGAGAACCCAAGTATGAATCTTCGATAGAAGTTGGCAAAGCCCATGAATGCTTGGATATCTTTTACGCATTTGGGAACAGGCCATTTCAATACTCCTTCTACTTTCACAGGGTCCATCGACACATTGCCTTCTTCCACGATCAATCCGAGGAACTCGACTTTAGACTGTTCGAAGCTACATTTCTCAGGCTTCAAGAACAGGTCATTCTCCTTCAACCGTTTCAGGACTTCTCGTACCACTTTTCGGTGCTGCTCCCTATTTCTATTCGTAAAGACCATTATGTCATCAATGTAGACGACTACTGTTTTGCCATCTATTAGGTCTCTCAGAATTTCATTCATCATAGTTTGGAAGGTTGCAGGCGAGTTCGTGAGTCCAAAATACATCACGGTCGGTTCGTGGTGACCAAACGGCGTTTTGAAGGCCGCCTTCCACTCATCTCCTTCTTTCATGCGAATATTATTGTATCCCCATCGTACATCCATCTTGGAGTACATCGTGGCACCGGTTAAAGCATCAATTAAATCTTGAGATCTCGGTAGCGGATATGCATTTTTCACCGTTTTCTCATTGAGCTTTCTATAGTCCATCACCGGTCTTAACTTGCCATCTTTTTTGGCCACAAAGAAGAAAGGTGCTGCTACTGGAGATTGTGAATTTCTGATACGTCCCAGTGCAGTCTCGGTTTTCAACCATTCTTTCAATGTATCCATCTCTTTGGGTGATAACGGATAAGGTTTCGCATTTGGCGGAAGATCGCCCTCATCTTTAAGATCTATCGCATGATCCCACTTCTTTCTTTCAGGGAAGCGCTTAGATTCTTCTTCTGAGAATACTCCCAGGTAATCATGAAGCCAGTCCGGTACCATTTCTTCTACCGACTGCTTCTTCTTAGTAGCTTCTTCTGCTACTTTCTGCTCCGTGGCAACCGAGGCTTTATAACGAATCCATAGTCTCTCTGGACTTCTCTTCGTCTTCTATTTCCTCAACCGTCGCCCTCTTCATCGACATATCTTCTTCATCCTCGTCTTCATCGTCCGTAGGAATCAGATCAGGTACATCATCTATCTTTTTTTGTTCTTTTCTTTTTTCTTTCTTTTTTTGTCTTTTTTCTTTTTAGTTTCACATTTTACAGGGCATCGAGAAAGTGCAAATCGTCCTGCATTCCAGTCAATCTCTGGATTATGATATCTTAGCCAATCTATGCCGATAATAACATCATCGCTTCCTAAGTCTGTAACCATGAAGGCTGCTTTCTCTTCTTCATGATCACCAATCTTTAGACCTAGTTCTGCAAAATGAGTCATTGATCCAGCGGCATTTAGCGATCCATCAATGTTCCTGACTGAAATAGGCCTTAATAATTTACGGCATTTCACACTGTTCTTCTCAACAAACTTCTCACTGATAAATAGTGTTGATGCACCGCAATCCACAAGTGCTTTTACGTCTGCTTGTCGGTTCTTTCCTTTCAACGTTATCGGAATATAAAAATGCTCAGATTTGGATCTAATATGTACTTCTGATACATCTTGAAACGTAGAGAGAATAGAGAAACGATTGTTCGGGTCTAGGTCTGCAGACTTTGACTTCAACCCCTTTAAAAATCCTTGCCTTTGTTAGAAGCGATCCAATCTGTGAACCACTTCGGCGCGGAGTTTTCTTCGACAACTGCAGCCGCTTTGACTTGCGCTTTTGGCGCACCTTTACAGTTTCTTGCTATGTGGCCTTGTTCTCCACAGCGGTAGCAGGTGAAAGCGCCAGGCTTTCCTTGGGGTTTGGGAGATCCCCTCTGCTTGCCAGAGTCCACATCCATAGCGTCACTGTCTTTGCTAGGACCAGCCTGCCTTTGGTTATTGAAGTTTCTTGGGGTTTCCTTGTTAGGGGTCCACCAATTACTTTTCTTCTTCTCAGCGTCTAGCTCCTCGTAGTTACGTCCAATCTGTATGGAGTAGTCAATGAGCTTCTTGAGGGTGTCTTTCTCAGACGCTGGAATGTGAGCGAGTTGCTCCTTGATCCGGGTTTGTAGGCCAGATCGGAATTTGAGGCGGAGGTCGTAGTCGGAGTATTTGGTAAGTGCAGCCTTCTGCTTGAAAGCTGCTGCGTATTCGGGCACTGATGAAGATCCTTGCTTCAGGGTTTCCAACTCCCTGATAGCCTTTCCTTCTCTGTCGTCTTGGCCCCACATGGTTTCGAATTCCTTTGTCCAGTCCTCAAAGGATATTGGCTTGGAATCAAGCTCAATTACGTATTTCTGCGCCCATTTAGCAGCAGATCCTTTAAGGAAAGATAGGGCAGTTGTAATCTTCTGCCTGTCCGTGATCAGTGGCCATTGTGACATGTATAGTGCCAACTGAGTCGTGTAGACTTCTATGGAGATTGAATCTTTGTCTCCAGTGAATTCTGTGGGTTTCGACAATTTGACTTGCGAAGTATTTGGGGATTGTGCGAATCTCTCAAGCTTCTTCTTCAGTTCCTCTATTTGTGAGTTTTGGGTCCTGAGTTGAAGCTCTTGAGTCGCATTCTGTGCTCGAAGAGTGTTGTTGTGGTTAAGGAGTTCTTGTGTCCTTACGTACAGTTCGTGGGTTGCCATTTGAATAGCACTCTGTACGTAGTTGGTGAACTCTATTGGCATAGCAATGCCTTGTGGTCCCGGTTCCTCTTGGGGTTCTTGAGGGTTCTCCGGTCCCATTTCTGTTTCGTTGACTTCAGCCATAGTGCCAGGTGCGTTCTGGAATCCGATTCACTAATGACTGTTGAAGAGCGGGTCGTAACGGCTCTTCCGGATGGGAAAGATGATGAAAGGGGAGAGGGAAAAAGGATACGTAAATGGAAAGCTAAAGGGGTCCCCAGTACTAACTGGATCAACCTCGTCCTTTAGGGTCAAAGGGTTCTTTAGTCAACCCGACTGACACTTCCCTAATTACTAACTAAAAAGAGTACGTAAAGCTACTGCTTTGTTAAGTGGGAAAAACACTGTGTGCTTCGTGTGTGCTACTTCTCAGTCACCGAAAGGGTACAGGTCTAGGACAAGTTATCACTCTTCCAGCCGAAGCTTACAAGTGCGAGTCTCACTAGAATCCCGTATCTAAATCCTCGTGGTAACGATGGTAGGACTATCCGCAGATGCGACAGTTCCACTAGACTTAACGAAAGGTTCTACGTGCGTATGAAGAAAGATGTAGGTATGAAAGCAACTATAGTAACGTTGAGCAGGCAGGGTCTTGGGCCAGCACTCAAAGTTGTAGCGAGACACCTAATGTCGTCAACACCTCCGTATACTGGCGGCTGCAATGTAAGGCAGGGCCTGGTATAGGACTACTAACTAATAAAGGCTATTCGTAGAAAAGCTCAAGCGAGCAAAAGGATGGGTTTCAGAAAATGATCGCGGCTGTTTAGGCCGGGCAATGGAAAACGTGTGATGATGATGCAAGATGTGCGAGCGGTGTGCAAAGAGTCGGAGTCTCCTATAGTTCAAACCTAATGTCACAACCCAATAACAAATTAACGCTGGGCAGAGACTAGGACTCAAACGAAGGTTATCGGACAGAGGAGAACGATGAGCAAGTACGTCTTGGATTGCTACAATGTAGATACAAGAGGTTTGAACTAAGGAACTATCGACCAAGACATGCTACCTATATACAACTATTGAGATGGAGATTGAAACTGAGTTACAACTACTAGCCAATCATAAAAAGAGAAAAGGAATCGTACCATAGAACATCGTAGAATATTAAAGAAGCATCACGTGACCATATCTTATCTTATCGTATCTAATCTAATCTAATCACAATCAAAGAACTCGTCTTCTTCATCAGTCACATCGAAGACACGTGTTGTGGGCGCTAAAGGTATTTCGGGAATGATAGACGCTTTCAGGGTAGGGTTAGGGTTAGACTTAGGCGCTGTGTATTGGCGCTTAGGAAGATTCAGGAAAGAATAATGGTTTGTTAAAGGTACTCGTGACAGTCACTGTCCATTTATAGTAACCAGCACTGGCCTCCTGCCCTGTGCCGTCTCCTTTGCATGCGCATACCTTCTTTGATGTGGCATTGCTGTCCATTTATAGCAACCAGCGCTGGTATCCCACATACCAATACCTACCTGCATTCCTCTTGATATGCAGCCTCAGCACAAACACACAGCAAACCCATTCTCTCACATGTGGGGTTGTTCTGCCTGCCTGCATTTGTCGTCAAAATTTGTTGTCGAACTTCTTTGTAGTACTAGTAACATGATGCTGTAGTAGTATACCCATATCTATTATTGAAGTCCTACATGTACAGGAACACCCACTAAGTATGTAGGATCACACACAGATCCATGATGCATCACAATATCTGACCATCTACTACTTCTTAATTTTATGAAGTTTGTAGCGCCCATTCAGTGATGCATCATGTACTGCCTAAAATTTTACTAAGTCTGTTTATCTGCGAAATTTTACAAATACTTGCAATGCACTACAATGAACAGGACAAAAGACAAGTTGTTATTTAAGGTCACAACCACGGTACAAGATATTATCAAGATTGTAAGGACAACTATCAGGAGACTAAGACTATACAACAGTAATATTATGTGAGTTACGGCACAAGAGGATACATATATAGAGGATGCAGCGGTCTAGCTGCACAAGGACTAGGCCTTTGCCCGCTTTTTCCTGCAATGCCGTCAGATTATGCAGAACCCAGAGACAAGCAGGGTGACATACTTGGAAGCACCTGCACTGCAGGTTTGTGCTGTGCAAGTCATTTTTACAATGACGCAGACAAGCCAGCATCAGTTCTGATTGCATCTGCCAGCTCATTGCACCTGGACTTGATTGGGACATGCTTGGATGTACGTCTTCCAGTCTTTGTGGAGTCACTTGTCAAGCTGGTGCTGCCTGAAGCCGCATTACCTGATGGACTCAACTTAGCTGATGTGGGTTTGCCAGATGGCTGGGAGACAGTGTGATTCTCAGTAGACTTAACATGGCCTTTGGGCTTGGTGGCAGCCTTTGGCTTGGGGACAGCCTTGCAGGTAGTTGACTTTGTAGCGACAGGTTCCACACTGGGCTTGGCAGAGAGAGCGATAGAATTATTGGATGTACCCTCTGAAGTAGTAGGATAAGGTAGTACTGGGAGTGGTTGAGGGGGATGAGGCAGTACTGGAAGTGAGTCAGCATCGGCTTCAGACAAGAGGCTGGTACATTCTGCAGAAACTGATGAAAATTGTTCTTGTAGCCACTTGGTGGTGTTCAGAGATGTGTGGAACATCAGATCGTTCCAATTCATGTTGTGCAATTCCTCAGTGAACGAGAAGCTGGAGGTTGTCATTCATGATCTAGTGATGCATCAGGTGATGTTATCAGCAAGGAGCCTTCTGATGCATGAGACGAATGCATCAGCTAATGGACTCCACATATAAAGGCCGATCTACTCACCAACATCCATCATTCCAGCACTCCCATCTTCAGAGCTATCTTGCTGCTCTGCCTCTTCAGTCTCATTATGCCCTTTGGGTTCCTCTTCATTATCTGTCTCAAATGTCTCATTGCACTCTTTGTGTTTCCCATAATCAGAGTCTGCTTGCGACACCACCCCATCCTCATGCCCTACAGTGAACTCAAGCTTGTGCTTATCAGAGGCTGGAACAACACAAAGTAAGTGAGTTGGCCAGCAACTGATTAAAAAAAAACTCATGGAATATCTGTTCTGCGTAATGCTGAAAAGCCTCCAGGAATGCCATATCCGCCATCTGGTATAACTGTGCAAAATTCCTTCCTTGTGGGGTTTCGGAGGAATGACATCTTTGATACATGAGTCGGCATGAATCCTGAAATAGTGTCTACTTGACTTACGATAATGATGTCATATCCCAGCAAACATGAGGGACACAACAAAACCCGTCTTCTTCTTGATGAGGTGCACAAATTGCTGGCAGATAATTGGTAAGTCATCTACACCCCTACATGTTGAACATTAGCCATTAAATCTCTGATAGAATTAACTTGAACATATACCACATGATTGCCTCTGCATCAAGCACACAGCCACCTTCCTCATCATCATCCAAAACATTCTTTTTGGCAGCCTTCTCATGAGTTCTCTGCTGCCGCTTGTACATTTTGTGGACCTGAGCTTTGACATTGTCATCTTCATCTTCCAGCAACTCTTTGGAGAATTTATGACCCAGTGCAACACATCTACGTGAACTTACATTCCCAACCTCTTCTTCAGCCTTCACCAATGGCTTGATGCACTTGTCATAGTAGATATCAGAGTATATCTTGGCCTCAGACTTGGGGCGTCTTTTTGGCTGTAGCGCATCATCGAAAACTGTTGATTCCTTCTTCAGGCTGCAATTTTTCTTGGATGCATTTACATGCCAGCAAAACTAAGTCTGAATTTGCTATATTTGTAGTACGTCAATATGGTAATACACCCATTATATAGAGGGGCTTACTGTTTTGTGCTTGGTTTTAGCTTCATCCACTGCAATATTTTCCTCTGCCAAAAGAGAATCAGTGGGAATGTCGGGAAACATAACCGCTTCTTCAGGGAACCACTTAAACCATTCTGCATTCAGCACAGACCAAAAGTGAGAGTAATCCTTGTCTTTTAGGTGCTCAGTCATATATTGGGGCAGGACATTCTTGAAGCCATTCTGTCTGTTCTTTCATAGTCTATTGTGTTACAGGCATCTATTGAGCATGTTAGTCTCTGTAAGTGTAATAAAATAATGAGATGATCATATGCTGTCATACATCTAATGAGGTCAGTGTAAAATTAAAACTTCACACTAGGGCCACAGAATGAAAATCCCCTCACAGTGGCCGCACATAAACTATATGTATGTGAGATTGTTGCATTCACTATCTCATGCACAGGCCAAATATTTTGTGATTCACCATCTTGAACAGGTACAGCAAGTAATCCAAAAGGGCAGGCACCTTGTTGATAGCTAAAATTTACGCTTGATTGATGTAAATAAAGCTACTACTCTAAGGCAGTCTTGTGAGTGATAATTTTAAGTGATTGATTGATCACTTGTGTCTAAATTTGTTTACTCCCCATCTGCCTTAGCCTTATTACTACCATTACCACCTGCATCATCAATGTTGAGCTCCTCAACTGTAATATCCATCCAATATGCAAACTCCTCTTCAACTTGCAAGACCACTGTGTGATCATGTGCAGACACTATTGTGGATGGGATGTATCCTGTTAGAGCGCTGGTACAGCTTCTTCTTCAATGGAACCAATCCTGAAGGTGCTATGATGATTGAGTGGTCAGCTTGTACAATACCGCAAAGGTTAGTGAGGTACCCCATGTTTCCTTGTCACTACTGCATCATTCAATGCTTGCTTCTGCTCTTCAGTGGAACACTGGGGTGCAGGCCCGGGTATGTCAGGGAATAAGACCATGTGCTCTGGCCAACAAGCGAAGAAGATCTCAAATATGTTGGTCCAGAAAATGACAAGATCTTTGGTCTAGCAGCAGAGTTCGTAGTTGACCATCTGGTCATCCAACCAGTGGCGCTGTTTGGTTGAGAAATAGTGTACTGGCATGCTAACGTTGAAATGAATAAGTGTTGAAATATTGATGAGTTGAGGTCTGAGAAGGAAGTGAAATAGTACTATTTTTGTACTCTGCCATTGCGGACTGCATGCTTGTCACCAGAACATATAATCTCATTCTGCAAACTTGAAATATGTAAGAGTTTGCATACCTTGATACTAGTGAAAGCGAATTAATTGCAAGCTTGAAAACTTTTGTAGAGAGAGCTCAGACTCATAGCAACACAATCAAACTTCTAAGTCAGGCTCAAAAAGACACAGGTAACAAGACCCAGTTGGCACGATGTTGACAGTAACATACACCCACTGGTGTTAAGCAAGTCTTACTAGTAGTACTACTCATCTTATAAATACAACTGTTCTTGATGGTCTCCTAGCACAGTCTTGCTAGTGTATGATGTACAATTGAAGTTAGATGTACCTCCACAAGTACACATTTTTCTCAGTACACCTGCTCTTCCTCGAAGTTTTTATTTGCAAGCAACAATACGAGTGTCTATGTAATACACTATACTATTTATGCTTGATGAAACACTCATTTGTACTCTGTAGCAGAGCAGTATGTTGTAAAATGTAGTAAAACTCCTATAAAACTCTCTACAACAAAGTGACAACTCTTCGTATTCAATTATTTTCCAGCTCAACAACTCTATGTAACGATCTTCACATACAATATATGATTTATCCTTTGAGTCAATTTGATTAGGAATGACAGTCGACAAGCCAGAAAGCTATGCACCAGTTCTGAATGTTGAACCTCAATGACAGAGTCACCATCTTTGCTCGATTCTATAGCAATGTCCCATGTGCCTTTGATCTATAAATAATGAATTTCAGAGACACTATATTGCCCACATCACAAATCCTTGCCTTGTATGCTGAATCATAAAACACTGACATGAGTTTCTGAAACACATACAATTTCTTACTAGTGCAAGCTTCAGCTCTATCTATCTGTCCTGAACTTCGCATTCAATTATCTTTTGGCTAAACAACTCTATATGACGATGCGAGATTATGCAAGAATGCTGCTGCCAGTCATGAATTATGACCTTTACTATATGAGTATGTTGATGATCCAGCATATGCAAGTTCTTACTAGTGTGAACTTCAGCTCTATCTGTTCCAAAGTCCTTCAGGCAATGTTGCACTGTACAATTACCAGGTACGTTACAGAACACAATAACTATCTTGCTATTGATGCTTTCTGATACTGCACCATTGAGTCACTGTCATCAACAGTCACTTACACCAAATCATTATCAAACTCAAGCATCGCCTGACATTCATGCCTCAGGACCCTTGTATTGTACAAAACTTGTCTCCCCTGTGTGCCATCTTCAGTTCCATCAAACTGGCATTAGTACTCTGGCCCAGGTCTACATTCCAGTCCCTGATTCACAGGTATAGGATCTCTTCTGGTACTCGATTAGTTAGTGGATTACTTCCAGTAGTTAGCGGCGACTCAACTTCAACCAATTGTTATCTTCCTCCATGCTCCTCGCTGGTTGAGTTTCTAAGTTTGCCACGGTCATATTTGACTCTTAGCAAGGGTTTCATTGGGGGAAACTGGCAGTACATGGTACATAGAGTAGGTACAAGTGAAGGTCATACTTAAGAAAGCCACTGTACTTTTCCAAGATCTATTACATCAAGCATACAAATTAGATTATCATCCTTTGACTTGCAGTGGCTGAAAGAGGAACAGCTAACACCAATTACATAAGGGGATGTGCATTACCTGCAAGGAAATCAGGGTAAGAACATGGAACCAATGAAAATATGCACCATGTCTCAAAGACAACTACCCGGCAACCATGGGTAATGAGGTAGAATGGACCAGCGGCTGCTGCACATGGAACATCAAATATGAATCCACAATAATGCTGCTATCCCCTTGTCTCACCATTAATAATGACTTCAGTCAGCGGGAGATGTAAAAAACAGTAGAAGCCAGAGCGTGCCATTGGGGTAGGATAAGTCTGCACAGCAGGAAGTGCAGTGGCCTGTATCTCAAGTGTAGGAGGTGCTGAACTGATATTTGAGCATTAGGGAATGAAAAAGTAAAAAAAAAAAATGATGACTCTGAACTTGAGGTTGACCTTGGACAATGGTAGCAGGAGCTGGCTGCACAGCAGGAGGTACAGTGGCCTGTATCTGAACTGCAGGAGCCACCACAATCAGAACAATGGCAGCAGGAGCTGGCTGCACAACAGGAAGTGCAGCAGCCTATAACTGAACTGCAGGAGGCACTGAGCTGATATTTGAGTGATAGGGAATGAAAAAGTAAAGAAAAAAGATGACCTGGGACGATGGGAGCAGGAGCTGGGTGCACAGCAGGAAGTGTAGCAGCCTGTATCTCGTCAGTGATCACTTCAATAAGTGATTGTGCATCATCATGCGACAGTGTCAATGATGACAGCAGTTGCACAACTTGCAATACAGCATCTGAAATATGTATGGATTACTGAAGCATTTGAGTCAGTGACAGGCAAAAACACACCAAGGCTGCTTTGAGCATCATCATTGGATGAGCTGGTATTGTTGGTAGCCATTGTTGGGAAGTCAAATGAGTGAGATACAACTGTACAGTATTGAAGATAAATGCTCATGCAGGAACTTCAACCAAGCACAATACTATTACTATGGTATCTTGATTACAACAAGAATAGAGCCGCACAATGACTTACATGTGTTTGAAGGTTTGTTTGAGGTTGTTTATTTGAAATTTAACAGAAGGCTGAGATATGACGTACAACTAAAGATTCACTGTATGCCATATGATTCGGAATTTTGATTGGTTGCTTCATCATGGACTCTAGTCTATCCCTTGCAGGTTCATCTTCATCACCGCAGAATATCATGAGAGCTAAGAAGCATCAGAAAAGGCTGACTCTCAATTCTTACTCACGTCCCAAGCCTTCAGGACTCAAGCAATGACAACACATGCAGTATCAAGTGCATGGAGATGGCTTTATAAGCTATAAATGTAGATATGTTTAACCTCCCAAAAATGCTCAGCCAACCATGCAACCTGATCCACCTGCACGTGTAGAACTTAATGCATGCATAGAATTTAATGAATATTTGCCTGATCTATCATGGGGAAGCCGATGATAATGTTGAATGTCCAAGGAGACAACATGCTATGGGAGTAAGTCAATAAAAACAGAATCACACTTTTTTTCACCACTAACATCATTCAGGATCATCCATTGCTAATGTGGCTCAAGGATTGTGCCCTGTTCCTTGAGGAGATGCTACAACTCGAAGAATGAGGTGACCTTAGGGCAGAGCCCTGTTCCAGTGTGGTAATCTGTATCCAGAATATCAATGTGAAGACTGTTTTGGGATTGAACTCTGTTGTTCCTCTTGCACGGTGATGATGCACAAGAATCACCCACTACATTGGTTGCAGGTAGGTGCTAAATTACTCAATAATGCAGGATACAAACTAACTAGACATACTATAGAAATGAGATAGTGATTACTTCAAATCTGCAAGCCTGAAGAGCCTTGGTCTCCAGATCCAGCTCAGTCATGCACTAGGCCATACCTGTTCCGATCCCTGTTGCGCATTCAATGATGACTTTGTCATTATAGATTCTTATGGTGTCCATAAGGTAGCATTGGATTTTTGTGACTGCAATCTGGGACCCTAAAATGGCTGCTATGTTTCGCCTTCTAGAAGAATTTTACCTCTTGTCCTTTGAGTCGAAGGTGTCTGCTTATGAGTTTTATTATGCGCTAATGCAGAGGTTTGATAACACGGGGATCAGTCCTATCAAAGTGGGTCCTATTACAGTGCCATGCAGGACATTGACTTATTTCTCTTTAGAATCGATACAACTCATTCATGAGGATGATACGTGAATGGTGTCATCTCAAAATACTCAAGTGATCTGGGAGAGCACACGATCCCAACAGCATTGATGCAACAACAGAGGGTGCATGTGCTGTTCCATGCCCAGCCTGCCTGCAGCCTGGGAAGCACTTACCATCTAACTGGAGAGAGGCCCCTCCCACTAAAAGCTGGTTGTATGGCCTATCTGTGGCCATCAATGCAAATTTCTGGCTGAAATGTAAAGTCGTGTCAAAAGATAGCATTGACCCTAGCCTTAGTAATGGCTGAGGATACTTTGTTGAGGAAAGTGCATACAAGGCCTTTCTAAATGATAATTCTGATATTAGCCAGGAGGTGAGTTTTTTGATAGTCATTATTTTCTATACTGATACCCTATCAAACAGAAGTCTACTTGTTCAAGCCACAACACTGGTAAACATGGCAGATACCAAATCAAATTGTGGTCTGGCAGCTATGGGGCTGGGTGCCATTGACTGTGCTCGCCACAACATGAAGCTACTAACAGCAGTCAGGGACCTCCAGAAAGGAGAAAAGTGAGTTTGGTATACTGCAGACTCAGACAACTGGAAATACTGATGTTCCACCACATCTAGATACATAAATATGGATTATCTATTTTTTTTGACTCTTCAGTATACCACTGTTGATATTCTCAATGTCTCATATGATATCGCATGCCAATGGAATAAGAATCTATGGCACTGCATGACATCATTTCCCCCTTCCATGCGACTAAACCATGATGCCAAGAAAATTACCTTCTTTGTCCCTAAATTCCATCTGCCCTTGCAGATCCAACAATGCCAAACTAAATTTTTGTTTAATTTTGCACCCAGTGTCGGATGAATAGATGGAGAAGCTCTAGAGCGAGGGTGGGCAAATATCAACCCCATGACATCAAGCACCAAAGAGATGGGCCCAGGCATGAGACGAGACACGCTGGATGATTTTTTTGGAGATTGGAACTGGAGGAAGATCACTGGTCTACAGCAGTTATTTTTACAGAGAGAGGCACTGCTTACTGATGCATCACTAATGCATGTTCAGATCACACAATGTTGTGTAAGATGAAAGAGGCCTTGCCTGAACTGTCGGAACATAAAGCAGCTCTGGATAACCTTGAAGAAGGGCTGAAAGAAGAATACTCAGAAGCATTGAGCAGGTGGAAAGAGGAGGTCAAGGCATGGGAATGTGATCCCTTCCAGCGGAACCCATATGAATGAAGCATAGAAAGTGAGTACATCAAGTTATTTGTGTATAATATCTGATGTCAGCATCACACAGATATCACCCTTGCTTCTGTGTGTCTTAAACTCGCAAAAGAGGAGGCATTGGAAATAGAACTTGGTGGCTCCCATGCACTGCATGAAGATTGTTCACTTAGCATGCTGATTAGCAGTGGCCTAGAACTCGAAGAACAACAGTAAGTGATCAATATTCAGCTGAATGAGTATTCTCTAATAAAATGCTTCAGACGACGTCTTACAGCTGACAAGGCAGGTCTGGGCATTCATGCCACAAATACTCAAGAAGGTATGCTCATTCAGCACAGTAACAGTCTTCAGCACCAGATCAAGGCTTGGGTCAAAGTCCAGGAACTATACATGCCAATGCTTGCAGCTCTACGATGGGACAAGGCCAACAGTGTCATCGCTCCCAAATCTTTCCAGCTTTGCTTCCTTCTTGAGTTGTTGGAACTGCTACTTGTGACCTCAAATTTCAGGCCATCAAGTGGAAACTTAGATATGCACAAGCCCACAATACTCTCTGTTTCCTATGCTCTAATCTCCATGCGCAAACCGCTGTTTTTAAGTATAAGGACCGGAACCTCCATGGTCAAGGCACCAACACCAGAGCATGTAATACACTCAAAGGGATTGATGCAAGAATCGAGGCAACATCAAGCTGATATCAGGATGCGTGCAAGGCGCTGGTGGTTCTCGCTTCCCTCATCAAGGAGACAGGCTGGCAGTCCTCCCTGCAGCTGCTCAATTGTGAAGATATCTAGGGAATGTCAGATCTCCTGTGGGGCCAGACTGAGGAAAGGCGTAAGCTGTCTTGGATTTGGAATATGTGGAGTGCACATGGAGATGAGTTGGGCAATGACAGATTTATGGAAGGTATGTGAACTCATGGTTTTGTTACTCCATGCTATCTCACACATCTTCCAGATATAAAAATCAAATGGTGTAAAGCCAGGGCACATGCAATGCGGTGGAAGGAGGAGGTTGAGTTGTTGTGGAAGGAGATGCGGAGGATCTTACAGTTCTTTGATTGGCAAGCCATGTCTTGGGATGAGCGCATGAATTAGAGCTGCTCCAAGTGTCCTGCAGAAAGAAAAGGCAAGATTGTATATGCTTGGCATCAAGCAGCTTTGCATTGTGCACTGTCAGTCACATGTCATTCCAGTTGGGAAGACACATGCACATTCTGTTACAAGAACATCTAGATGCTTGGGCCCCTACTATTTTTCTCCTAATCCTCCTCGTATCAGCCCTCGCATCATACCCTCACCCCGACCTTACCCTTGTCATCCTTGTCATCCTCGCATTCCCTTTCGCCCTCTACCTGTCGCTTCAGCAAAGCCAGTACATTTGGCCGGATCCTTTCGCTGACGAAGCGTACCCATGCTCCGTTTCACCACCTGACTGATCCTGCAGACAGTCCCCTTGCCCTTACCGTCCGGACGGTAACCTATGATATGATGCACAACGCATCCCCTTTGCCCTGTTCCCTTTTATGATCTCTGACTCGGTGCACAGTCGCACATGCGACTTATACTTAGATCCGCAGCTGCACGATCGTGCCCCTGCGCGTTTCACTTCTTATTTCGATCTTTGACTCACTTTCTTATCTAGCACGTTCTACCCAGACCGAACGTGTCTTCCTGTTATGGTCTTACCCTTTACCGATTGCCTCTCCCGGTAGTACGAGTTATCATCCACTAATACATTTCCTGTCCTCTATATAAACTCGCTACCATGTACTATATTCCCTAACTTGAATCTACTTGGTTCTTGACCTCCTACTCTCACCAGAGTGATCCTTTCTGCCTTGCCAGCAGTCTATATTCTATCTTCTTATCTGCTCATCACGGATAAGCCTATAGTCTCGACCTTTACTCATCGACTTCGTCGACGAGCAAAGCCCCTGTTAACTAGTCGGACTTCTGTCCTTCTAATTAACGACGATCCTTACGATTAACCTTCGGGTGTCATAAGCCTAGGCCGATATAGCTTATCGTCTCGCACCCGCGTGACATAAGCTACCCGATTTGGACATAGGCGTTAAATCGTACTTGCCGAAGACACGCCAAGTACGACCCCTAACCTTGGGCTAGCCCAAGGACGTCCACAGACTGTTGACGACACAAGCTCTGTTTGAGCGTCGCCAACAGATACCATCCAAGTCGTAACACATTCATGGACCAGTTCCATGCTGATCCTAGCGCTCTGAGTCTGGAACATCCTTAATGAATACATATCCATTCACCCACATGTAATGTACAGAATTATAGCTATGCAATCGATATAGGTGACAGTATAGCGCAATACAAGCGAAAAAAAATACATCAGTAAAGGGTGGGAAAATGCATCCATTGAAGGGCGGGAGGGATGCATCAACCAAGGGCAGGAGATGCATCAATGAGCAGCGGGGGGATGAATCAATTGAAGGGAATGCATCAGTAAGTAGAGAGGAGATGCATCAACCAGGGGCGGGAGATGCATCAGTAGGATGCATTAATAAGCAGCAGGGGGATGCATCAATTGAAGGGAATGCATCGGTAAGTAGTGAGGGGATGCATCAGTTGAAAGGAGGGATGCATCAGTAAGTAGCGAGGGGATGTATCAGTTGAAGGGAGGGATGCATCAATTGAAGAGAGGGGATGCATCATATCATACAGGGTACTACTGAAGGGGGCATGCATCACACATGCATCAAACAGTGTTAGAGCTGTAGTGTTGTTGCATCAAATCAGTGTTACAATTGCAAGGAATAATGCATAAATATGACAGGAACCTGTGTGGAAAGAACTCTCATTGACGCAATCTATACTTATAGGAAAAGTACGCTACGGGTATAGTAAGTATGTGTCCATTTTGGTAGACAAACGGTAAGTACTTACATCTCAGTTCCTCAGAAAGCACTGAGATGTTTAGGCACTAGCTATGGTGCTTATAATGTAAGTAAAACTTCAAGATAAAATTTAGGGATAAATGTTTAGGTATACTGTATAGACACGCACTTAGGTTCAGCCCTGTTTAGGTGTGACCAAATGAGCATTAGGTTCAAAGGTTCGCAGGGGGGGTGTGACATGTGACATACTGTGATTAGGTTCGTTTGGTAACCAACTTGCATTAGGCAGACAATATCCTTCATATATTGCATTGGGTGAAGTGTCTGTCCCTCATGGCTATAGTGCTGATGAATCAGGTAATTTACTGCTAGACAACGAGTCGGAGAGCTATGAGCAAGTGGTGGATGGCATGGAGCTTCAATCCACAGTGAATGGGTCTGAGGAGGTTGAGGCTGAGGGCTGTGGTAAGTGCAGACGTGTTGCAAACACTCAGTACAAGGACTTTTGGCTGCACTAGTTATTTTTTTATGTTTTTACTGCATGTCACAATTTAGGTTCGACGGTCTCAAAATTGGTGTGACCATTACACAAATTAGGTTCAATTCGCCAGGCATGTGACGCTGTGATGAACCTAAGTGCAGTATCTATACAGTAAGCAGGGCAGGATCGGTAGTCCAATGTCAGTGTGCCTGTGGCCATTGGCCTCTGCAATGTTGCACTTGGATCATGTACCTTTTTCACTTCCTATCTGTTCCTATCTTGGATCCTTTGGCATGCTCACTCTTGGATCATTCAGATTCCAACACCCTGCATTGTAATTCCAATCCAAATCTATTTGTTCTGCAAATATTCTCGTCAAAGCAATAGAGCGAGAACCAAAGAATCTATTTATAGCACCACTAAATATACCTTGCTTCCTTCAATCACGGGATCCTCGCTTATTCACCGTGCGATGGTTGCAATTCGGTCGACAATCTTGTCAAGATGTCCCTGAGCAGAGTCCGGCTATCATTATGGCATGCCCAGTGCCAGGTGATGCTCTCGGTACCTGGTGGTCCTTCGTTCACACACTAAGTCTTTTTAGAGGAGTCTTTAGTCCTACCATCATGCCCCCACCCGCAACGCACGTGGTGCTCAGCCAATGTGTTCTGGGCTCGGCCTTCATTTTGAAAGCCTCAAGAAATCTAGAAACCCCAGGAAAACTCAGACTTTTGTTCGCATTCCCAGCATTGATGCCAAGCATGAGCATCACCTTCAACAAATAACCGCACTGACATCAGTCACCAGTGAACCGGTGAACAAACGATAAGTGGATTCATCCGATGTATCCACCAGTACTAGATACTGAAACCCTCATCTCTGGCTCTGCCACTCCTCAATCCGAAGTCCCAATGAGCACGGATGATGCTACTACTTACGGTGACTACGCCACAGATTACGTTCATGATGCGACTGACTCGGACGACTACGTGGTAGTCACCGTAGATCACCCTGACCGAGGGGCCCTACCCTGCAGATGTGGTACAAGTAACGCTCATCTGAAACCTTTGTCAGCATCTCGTTTCAGCGTTCGAGCTCTCAACCAATCAGATGAGTCACCATCAACTGAAGTCGTAAAAATTTACAAGTGTCAGTAACACGCTTCAAGTTAAGCGTTCATTTTAGCGGTTTTGCTGATGTACTACTAGTAGACCGCAGTCGTACAACGTAAAGCATCCTTGGGAGACTCACGACATCCCCGATGCCTAATATCTATCGATTGTACGATGGATTGAGCATAGCGCATATCTCAAGTTTCATGAAGCGGTGGGCACCAATATCGAAAAAAAATAATATCATTTTATTTTTTGTTCCCGACACTCGTTCGCTCAAAAAAATGGAATCGAGTGGGGCTATAAAGACAGGCCAGATTAACAGAGGTTCGAACTACACAACCACCTGTATATCTTTCCTCCACTCCAGAGTCCAAGCTAACTCCTACCTAATTCACAATTTACACTCGTCATGAATACTGAACAGTACGTTCTGCCAGTGTCAGATCTGTCCTTGGTCATATCTGATGTGTATCCCAGATTCCGCAGTGCTGGCTACCAAGCCATCGACAGGATATGCGAATACCATGACACTTTGAGGGATAGGCCTGTCTCATCCCAAGTCGAGCCAGGATACCTCAGAAAGCTGCTTCCGTGTATGCTTTTTTTATTCTTCGTCGCGCTTCCTTCTCATTATGACGAGTGCAGCCTCCGCCCCCATTGAAGGCGAAGACTTCCAGCTCATCGCGGATGATTATCAAAAATACATCATACCTGGTACTTGAACTCGACTCCATTGCACAATTGACCTATCTCATTCGGACTGACAGGCCTGACACACTGGCAACACCCCTCGTTCTACGCATACTTCCCTACGTCAAGCACATTCGAGGGAATACTTGCAGAACTATACGCGTCGAGCACGTCTAACCCTGGATTCAACGTACGTCTCTCTAACGCAACCCTTACGCTGTCTTTGTAACTTTTTGTAGTGGGCTGCGAGCCCCGCATGCACAGAGCTTGAGGCCGTGGTCATGGACTGGACCGCTCAATTACTCGGGCTTGACAAGGCGTTCTACAACATCTCCGAGGTCGGCGGCGGCGTCATTCAGGTCTGTTCCTCATCCCCTCACATTGTTAATTCATACTGATCACCGTGCATAGACGTCAGCATCTGACTCTGTGTTAGTCTCGACTGTCGCTGCACGTTCACGATACATTCGTGAGCACCCTGATGTGGCGATGGAGAAACTCGTGATCTATACCACTACCCAAACCCACTCGCTTGGGAAGAAATCCGGGCTCGTCTTGGGTCTCACAGTGCGCGCATTAGACGTCACAGCTCAGGATAACTTTGCATTGCGTGGAGACACGCTCAAGGTAGCATTGGAGGAGGATATAAAAGCCGGATTACACCCTTTCATCCTGAGTATGTTCTTTGCATGTATCATTGTCTTGAAGTTCATTTCTCTTGTCCTGCAGTCGGTACGGTGGGGACGACATCTTCCGGTGCTGTCGATCGGCTCGACGAGATTGCTGATGTCGGTATGTATACTGATCACGATATTGAATCTTTTTAAATTTAAATGTTATGCGTAGCGAAACATTACCCTTCCCTGTGGCTGCACGTCGATGCTGCATGGGCAGGCGTCGCATTCGCGTGTCCCGAATATCGCGAGGCGTACCAACTTCCTGCCATAAATGAATATGTAGACTCTTTCTGCACCAATTTCCACAAGGTTTGTTTACTCTTGTTCCGTGGCATCAGTCTTGAGCTCATCGACATTCTGCAGTGGGGTCTCATCCACTTTGATGGCTCTTGTTTGTGGGTGCGGCACCGGCAACATCTGATCGACGCGCTAGACATCACGCCCGAATTTTTGAGGGCGAAGAACGGGAATGCAGGTATGTTTCTAAGTCTTGTTATAACTATTGGCCGTTGCTTGAACGACGAATGTGTATAGCCACCGCTATCGATTACCGCAACTGGCACGTAGGCCTTGGCAGACGGTTCCGATCGCTCAAATTCTGGTTCGGTCTTCGTGCACGGGGGGTGAAAGGCATCCAAAAGTACATCACCGACGTACGTCAACTTAATCGTCATCGTCATCCTCTAATCCATACTGATATTTGGTCCTGTCTCGCCAGTGCATCAAGTTGAACAACAAATTCTCACAGAGCATATACGAATCCGAATTATTCTCTGTCGTCACCAAACCTTCCCTTGCCATTACAGTCTTCAGGCTTGCACCAAAGTCCCTTCCTCACCTCAGGACTCCCGAGCTCAATACTTTGAACCGCGCTTTCTATGCACGGCTTGCAGCACGGAATGATATCGCGATCACCCAGACGGACTTGAATGGGGTGTTTTGCATTAGGATGGTGATCGGGTCTGAAAAGACTTTGGAGAGCGACGTCGAGCACGCGTTGGAGTTGATGAAGGATGAAGCGATGATTTCGTTGAAGAACTGGGAGGTCATTGGAAATGGGAGAGGCAGGAAGACGTCCGTGATCCTCTCTCAGACCCACTAAAAATTATAGCTATTGCACTTCAAGTTAGATGCAGTCAATAGTCAATAATCGTGTTTCATGTTCAACCAATAGCACCCGCTCAATTAGATTTTATGTTTCTTATTTTATTTTTATTAGAAAATGAGTGTTATAAGATTGCTGTGAAACGAGACTGAAGGTATGTTGTTCTATGCAGTCACGCTTACCATTGTGGAGTTTCAACAATATGAGTGCGGGGCATGCTACTTGTCTCCAGTACTCACAATACCATACGTCTTGGAGCGTCTACGACGTCTCGGACGCCAGCCCTCAAAGCACCATCAGTTCACGTCTAAAGTTTAAACAGCCGAAATTCCTTGCCATCGCACAACTGGCTGCAGCAGAAATCGATGTCGATGAACCTCCTCTGTCTCGTTCCCCGGACCGTTGAGCTTGTTCGAGTGTCAAAGCTACTTAGTTAGTCAACGTGAACGTCAGTGGATTCGAATAGATACTACGACGAAATTATTGCCCAGACCCACTAACGTCTCATCGAAATGTACGTCGGGACACCCATCACTTCATGCGCACCTCTCAGCTCTGCCTTAGAAATTGGGCCATCGTATCATCAGGATGCCAGAAACAGTGGTGAGCGCAGAATGTGTTTTGCGTCGTGGAGTTTGTGGGGCGGTGACAGGCATCAGGTTTCACTAGAGACGTCCTGGTTGAGATTCCGTGATTGATGTATGATGAAAATACAAAATCACCCCTAGATCAAGAGAGCGTTGAGAGAGGACATGACAGAAAATAATCATATCAAGTGCATTATGGCTGAAGGCGGCAACATTCTGTTGGCACACGCACCAGAAATTTTGAGCTTCGAAGAAGTCAAGAGAATAACTCACTGTGTTATACGGCTGCTAATGCACACTGTCGGCGCCACTGTGCAGTTGATGCCAACCGGAGTCGAATTCCATTGACTCTGGAAAACGCTTTTCGTGTGATACTGCGGGACTTGCCATGAATCTGATATTGCCACCGTGAATAGCACATATACACTCAACTGCCGCAAGCTACAGTTAACATGATTCCAATTTGTCCCAACCTCTCTACAATGGCCTCCCCATAGTATGTGATTTTCAAGATAGCAAAAACAACCAGGGTCCTGTCCACTGTCACCTTCAAACTACTCCGAGTCAACTTGAATGTCGTTCGTCAGACTCATTCTTCGACGCATTCAGTCGAAGCTGCCAGCATCATCATGCCGTGGCCAGCCACCCTCAAACGCGTCCACTTTGTCTAGCGCGTAATCACACTGCACGGTTTCTAGGTGCTATTGAACTGCAAATGTCTCACTTCTATCGTGCACCTTGGAAAATTGTAAGTCACTCGAACTTCGTAATCTAAGCCTACTCTGAACAGATTACTGTCCTGTAGAATTTGGATATCAATTCCAAGAGTCAATGCAATGGTCACGTTGAGCTAAGCGCAGTGCACAGCACATTATCTACAACCACTGCTTCCAGGTCAAGATAATTCCGAACTCGAGCCAGCCTCTGAGCCTGATGTTGTCAAGACACAGAATTTCGCTGGAGTGTCCGAATACCACGTCAAATGTTTGTCGGTTGGGGCGAGACAGTTATTTTTCCATTGTACATCACCTTCCGAACTGAAGTTCGCTGGAGAGTAATTATACACACTTTCTAAGTTCGAAATCCTCAATCAAACCCAGCGTTGATGGCATCCGTGTAATCACTTTCCAGGTCCTGCTATGTTCCGGAGGCCGTCTCTGCCAGCCAGCCACGTCGAGAGACTCACCTCTGGAAGTTCGACTCTTGCACTGTCGCTGGTGCCAGTGTCTGCATGCCCGTTCCCTGGTCCGCCGCTGTCATCGTTCTACAGCGCATCAAGGGGCCGTTTTATATCTCGTGTGCGATGCTCAGACGTTAGTACCCTGGATTCCTTCAAATTCCTGATTCTGCAGAGGCGCTATTTTCGCCTTGTTGAACAAAAGTGAAAGGCAAGCTCTTCCACAAGCATGGCCCAACGTTACCTCAACCTCATCGAAACTCGTAAAGTATGCCTCACATCATCAAGCTACGCATGCACACACGTGCTTCGCGCATTTTGTAATCATTTTGAGTCGATCTTCTGTAAGCCAGTTGGGGTGGGTCAAGTGAGGAGACAAGGGTGGGACGTTGAATGAGGCGAGGAGATGATAAGGACGGATTGCTGAAGAACTGAAGTAGTGCACTCTCACTTGACTTGGCTCTCGCGCGCCCATTTTTCAAGTAACCGTAGGAGTGATTGCCATCCCCAGAGCAAATAAGGTTGAAACATTATTAGCACATATAGCAAATTACTTGACTAAATACTACGATGAAAACATTGTCCAGACCTTGAAATCTACTTCAGAACATCATTAAACCGAATCATTACCATCATAAAAGTGGGAATAAATAGATAAAAATTCCTCTGCTCTTAGCACCAGACAGCCCTTAACGCCACCGAGCATCATACTCTACTCCCTGTCGATATATGCATGCGCTCCTGGAAAACAATCGAGATCATATCACTTGCTGCATGGGAATCGGCCACAAGCTTAGCGTGGTGATCTCGAACGCTAAGGATCAGGCGGGGTGCCAACACAAGCATCGGCATGACCCCAAAAATCTGAATAAGCCCCGAATAATATTTCAGTGGATTTTGGACCTATAGAAATTATGGATCATGGTCGCATACAAAGGTAAGTGAAAATTTGACATACTGTTGGATCTTTTGGAGAGAAATCGTTAGTGAGCTCGAAGCGAGAGACAGTAACAAAGCTACCACGTCCGACCCTTCAGTGGAAAAACGAAAACAATAATGACAAGACGAGCTCACGCTGCAAAGTAAAGCACATGAGTTTTCATCAACACCATGAAATAGTCCTTAATAATAAACCCTCCTCCAGAATGTCGTCGCAGTTCACGGAAGTGTATTATCGCAATCCAAACTGCGAGACACAGTGCGAGGACCTCCCACCCAGTTCCAAGTAACCAACTAATGGAAGACAGAAGTGAGATATCTTCCGCATGGACAATTGAGCACTCATAAGTGCCAGAGAGAATGAGTTCCTCTAGTATTCGTCATTGAGCCCTACGCACGTATGTTTTCATTGCTAATTAAGCGTACCTCCTGAAACACGCGCGGTTGCAATTATGGCGGCCACTCCGTCGAAAATGTTGACAACCAGGAAGGTGATAATGAGAAATATCAGGATCTTTCTGGATCCTTGATACATGGCATATAACCGAGTGATCATGACGACTTGCGACATGTTTCAGTCAAGCCAATATCACTGAGATCTCGCAAGTGCCAAGCTCACCCCATATCATTGCAAATACCACGACACACGTCCAACTTTGTACAATATACACAACAAGACCTGACGGATTCAGTCAGTGACCAGCCTCAAGTAACACACACTCCAAACAAACTCACATCTGTGGCATTATAGCGTAGCAGTCATTAGTGGACCAAGAAGTTAGTAAAGAAACCCACCCCTACAAAGTACCACAGTCAATTGAAGGAGAATAGCAGGCATCTGTGCAGACTCACTGTATCTGTCAGCGAGATGGACGGAGCATCATCTGTATGCCGTCGGTCAGAAGAAGCAAAGATAGTGAGTGTAATAAAGAAACATACCAAGCATGTCCAGGCTGATCATGAGGCATAGAAAATTAGCGCAATAGCGACTGTTTAGACTTCCGAACATACGCAGCAAAACATATGCCAAGGTAGCGCACCTAGGGAGCTTTCAAGTCAGCACAACATTGCAACTACCACAAATAAGTTACATACACCGAGATACAGAATTGTCATAAGCGACCAGCGTTGCTTCTGTAATTAAATCTATTTTCATACTTGTCCTCTGACATGAGATTTTAGTGACTCACCCAAACCAATTCGACCTAGAAAATGACCATTAGCGAGATGGCTGCTCCGGTCGTGACATTGACATACCTCTTGTTCAAATGTAAGGGCTGAAGATACTTGTAAGATATGAGTAGTCCTTTAACATTATTATGCTCACCCCAATCATACGTCACTCCGACAAAGGCGGCAACTATGAAACCGCAGCCAATGTTAGGTTGAGCTTCAAGATGTGACTATTTTCTATGAACCTGAAAAGTAACTAGAAAAACGATATGCATCGATGGACGGCCACCAAGTGGAATCATTTGAGACTATGGTCATATTGGGAGAGAATGTTGTGTGGGTGATTGGATGAACTGTACCAGGTGGTGTTGTAAAACCTGATGGACGAGCCTCAGCAGTGTCTATATCCCAGAGCTCTTAATTATATCATGACTTACCCCGACCACCCCTCTACGCTAGATTAAATGAAACCCGATGTAGAACTTGGTCTAACAACGGCCTAGGTGTGATGTGACCTTCAAAAATCTCAATGACTTTCGATGGGTATCTGACAGTAGTCTCCGCTTTGCAGGCCCGAACGTAACAGCACCTCCAGGTCGTTCAAAAAGGTCGGCTTTTGTTGGAATGTAGAATAAGGGAGGTCCGAACGAAGCTGTGACAAATTATACACCTGTACAATCCCTTCAAGTATACCTATCCCATGCATTGCATTCCTCATTGGGCCCAAATCGTCGCCCTGGGGTCCGGGGATTGGTCGCCGCAGTTCTTTTCATCCCATGCGCCCAAATCGTAGCCCTGGAATTGGTCGCCGGCGCGTCGCAGCTGTGCATAGCGCATATTTTCATCAAAGAACCCATTCCTGTGATGCTACACCCAGATATTAATATCAATATTTGACCGAGCCAAGATAGCGAACAGAACGATTTGCGCTGGCCAGTGGTTAGAGAAGGAATTTGTAATGATGACCCAATTTGCTTCCGAGTCCAAATTCAATGTCCCTGCGAACTTCCAGAGTCTGTCGAGAATCGGATTCCGCCCACTCAATTGAACAAATCAGCCGGCACACACAATAAGAGGGAAGTCGTGAGTTTCCCTCGGGAATGAGAAGTAAGAGCGATTTGAAACTTGCAGCCAACGTTCAGGCGGTATCGCCTATGAACATCTCAGACTGTCAGTAGACTGCTTTGGATCCTTCGCTCGCACAGCAGCAAATGATTTGAATATGTAAATACTACGACGAAAATATTGCCCAGACCCTATCCAAAATCTGTATCGGGACACCAAATACTTAACTATACAAGTACTATGCATGATGAGGCTTGGAACGAAGACAAAACACAGATTTTCCTGCTTCCTACAGAGCACCAGACATCCATCAACATCTCGTGTGTTATACACCACTGCCAGTGGGTATATTCACGCGCTCCTGGAAAGCGATTGAGGTCATAGCAGATGCTTCGTCGGAGTCAGCCACAAGCTTAGCGTGATACTCTCGGACGCCAAGGATCAGGCGTGGTCCCAGCACAAACGACTGCACGACTGTCAAAATCTGAATCAAGCCATCAAAAGTCTGAGTCGCTAGGGAATTTTGGTCCTATAGGAACGATGAACCATGATCGCATGTAGAGGTAAAGGAAAGATTGACATACCGCTAAGATTATCGGAGAGAAATTGGTAATGAGCTGCAAGCAAGAAACAGCAACGAAACTGGCATGCCCGGTTTCTCAGTGAAGAAGGGAACCATAATCGCAATATGAGCTTACCTCACAAAGTAAACCACATGAGTTTTCATCAACACTGTGAAACAGTCCCCGATAATCCCTCTTGCCGAATGTTGTCGCAGTTCACGGCAGTGTTTAACCGCAATCCAAACTGCGAGACACAGCGCAAGGACCTCCCACACAATGGAGAGCATCCAAGTAATGGAATCTAGAAGTATTAGGATATCTTCCCCAGAGCTAATCAGGCACTGATAAGTGCCGGAGAAAACGAGTTCCTCTGGTATTCATCATTGAGCACCATGCACGTTCATTTTCATCCACAATAAGCGTACCCCCTGAACCATGTACCGTTAACAGTATGGCGGCCATTCCGTCGAAAATGACGACACCCAGGAAGGAGACAACAAGAAATATCAGGATATTTCTGGATCGTTGATACATGGCATATAACCGAACGATCATGATGACTTGCAGGATGTTTCAGTCAAGTCAATGTCACTGAGGTCTCGCAAGTGCCAAGCTCACCCCACAACATCGCAAATAACAAAGTAGTCGTCCAACTCTGTACGATATACATAATCCAGCCTGATGTAGTAGTCAGTGACGAACCTCAGGTAGCATACACTCCAAATGGACTTACATCTGTGACCGTATGTTTTGCAGTCATTAGTGAGCCAAGAAGTCAGCGAAGAGCCACACTCACTTCTACAGGGAGCCACAGTTAATTTGGGATTAATAGTAGCAGGTATCTGTGCAGAAGACTCACTGCATCTGTTAGCGAGATGGTCGGAACACTGACTGTATGTTGTTGGTCAGAAGAAGCGAAAGCAGTGAATGTACTGAGGAAACATACTCAGCATGTACAGGCTAATTATGAAAAATAGACGATCAGCACAACACCAACTGCTTGGCCTTCCTAACATACGCAGTGGATAAGATCCCAAGGTAGCGCGCCTAGCATACTTTCAAGTCAGCACAACATGACGACAAACAAGCTACATACACTGAGATACATCACTGTCATAAGAGACCAATGTTGTCTCTGTAAGTATGTGTTATTTTTGCATCGTGTTCCTCTGGCATAGGGCTCTACTCACCCAGATCAATTCAACCTAGTACAAAACCATTGTTAGCGAGATGGCTACTCCAGCCATAGCATCAGCATACCTCTTGTCCGAATGTAAGTGCTGAAAATAAGTGTAGGATATCAGCGGTCCTTTATTATTATCATGCTTACCCCAATCATACATAACCCCAACAAAGGAAGCAACTGCGAAACGGCGGCAGCCAAGATTAGACTGAGACATCCACTTCGACATCCGACTGCTCTCCACGAACCTATAAAATAGCTGAAAACACGATATGAATTTATGAGCGGCCACCAAGTGGGATCATCTGAGACTATGGTCATATCAATAGAGAATGGGTGTGGGTCAGAGGTGAATGTTTGAACTTGGTGGATATACGATGATGGAGTTCGTTTTAGATATAGGTACCACAGGTCTAACACTTGTAACTCAGCTCGCTGGATTGAAGCAGAGTAGATCTTGATTGTGGACCTGCATAAAAGTCACACGTGCAGAATGTCCGAGAATCATCGAAGAGCTGTCCACGATTTATAATACTATACCTAGAATACAAACAGAAATGAGAGGGAGAAAAGAATACTTCGGGCTTGGCGTTGCCCTTACGACCACAGGAAGTCTTGAAGTTGAACAAGGCTCATGCCATGAAACATCAATGATGGTGTTCTCGATTAGCATCACTGCCCGTTGGAACGTCATCAGAATTGAAGAAATGAAGAAAATACCACAAAATAACAGTCAACTCACATCTTTCCGAGCTGCCAACAACGTCAAATTCGATGTTCAAATGCTCAAGGCTTCAAATCCCATGCGCCGCTTGCCCAAATTCTCATCCAGGAATTGGTCGTCGTCTCATGCGCAATCCGTTATCTCAGAATCTTCTGGCCAGGCCCGGGTGATTGGGCTGTTCTATCAAACAATGTGGTGAGGGTAGTGCCACTGTGATTTGAAAGCACGTGCTACAGAAAATTTGGCCTCTCGGACTTTATCGAAATGGGAGTGGCAGGGCTGTGGATCGAAATAGAATAGTATGTTGAGAGCGGCATCGATTGCATGGATCATCGATATGCATTCGGCAAATAGACATTGAAAAAAATCGTCCGATCACAATCTTTTCCATATCCTCTGCGCGGCGTTCTGGCCGAGAGCAAGATCAAATCAAGAATGGATGTCACACAATATGTCACACTCGAAGCCAAGTCTTTCCTTCCAACCAGTTGATAATCCCGACGCACCCACCAACCTGATGTGCGATGCTTAATAATAGGGCACATGTATCCCCCAGTAGTAATGTTCATATTCATATCCGTATTTCCACCGCGTCGAAAAGGCAAGCTCCTCCATGTGCATGAATCAATCTCGACCTTATCAAAACTCATCAAGTATGCTTCGCATCGTCAAGCTGCGCATACTTCGCGTACCTTGTGATTATTTTGAGTGAATTTTTTGAAGCAAATTGGCATGAGTCGGGTGAGAAGACAAGGGCAGGACGTCGAATGAGGTGAGAAGGACTAAATGCTGAGCAACTGAAGCAGTGCACTGTCGTTCGACCTGGCTCTTGCACGCCCATTTGCTCAAGCAATCATAGGAATGATTGCCGTCACAGCAAAAAGAGAGGTCAGTGGTTGGTGCAAGTGTGGGTAGGCAGGGTGCCAGTAGAGATATCCAGAATAAAACATTGTCACGTATAGTAAATATTTCACTGAACTAAATACTACGATGAAAACTCTCCCGACCTATGCCTCCTTCAAATCTGCTTCGTAACGCCAAGTGGGAACAAGTAGAAGTAAATCCCGCTATGCCTGGCAGAGAGCTAGACAATCGTTAATCTCACAGACTACTGCCAGTTGATATATGCACGCGCTCCTGGAAAGCAATCGAGGTCATAGCAGTTGCTGCGTCGGAGCCAACTACGAGCCTAGCGCTATACTCTCGAATGCTAAGGATCAGGCGTGGTCCCAGCACAAACATCTGCACGACCTCTAAAATCTGAAGAAACCCAGAAATAATCAGAGCGACCAGGGTATCGTTCTGGAGAAACGATAAAATGTGGCAGCGTGCATAGGTGAACGAGAGATTGGCATACCGATAAGAACGTTGGAGTGAACTGAAGTATGAGATGGAAGCAAGACACAGCAATAAAACTACCACGTCCGATTCATCAGCGGAAAAAAGAAAACAACAATCACAATACGACTTTACCTCACAAAGTAAACCACGTGAGTTTTCATCAACACTGTGAAACAGTCCCCGATAATTCCTCCTGCTGGATGTTGCCGCAGTTCACGGAAGTGTTTGACCGCAATCCAGACTGCGAGACACAGTGCAAGGACCTCCCACACAGTGCTGAGTATCCAAGTAACAGAAGTCACAAGGACGATATCGCCCATAGAGGAAATCCCGCACTGATGAGTGCCGGAGAGAATGAGTTCCTCTAATAGTCATCATTAAGCCATATGCACATTTGTTTTGATCCACAATTAAGCGTACCCCCTGAAGAATGCATCACTGTCATTACGGCTGCCATTCCACAGAAAATGTTGACAGCCAGGAAGGTGACAACAAGAAATATCAGGATCTTTCTGGATCGTTGATACATGGCATATAACCGAGTGATGAGGATGACTTGCAGCATGTTTCAGTCAAGTCGATATCACTGAGGTCTCGCAAGTTACAAGCTCACCCCACAGCATCGCAATTACCAGAACACCCGTCCAGTTCCGTACAACGAATATAATAAAGCCTAACGAACACAGTCAGCGACAGACCTCTGATAACATACACTTTGAACAGACTTACATCTGTGGAAGTATAGCGTGGCAGTCATTAGTGAATCAGGAAGTTAGCAAACAAATACACCCACTGCTATAGGACACCACGGTTAATTGAGGGTAACGGTAGCATCTGTGCAGAAGACTTACCGTATCTGTCAGCGAGATGATTGGGGCATCGTCTGTATGCCGTCGGTCAGAAGAAGCAAAGACAGTGAATGTAATAAGGAGACATACCAAGCATATCCAGGCTAATTATGAGAGATAGACGATTAGCAAAACACCGATTGTTTAGCGTTCCGAACATACGTAACGTATAACATTCCAAGGTAGCGCACCTAGCATACTTTCAAGTCAGCACAACATGGCAACCGTGACAAACAAGCAACATACACCGAGATACAATACTGTCATTAGGGACCAGCGTTGCCTCTGTAATTCAGTGGACTTTCATGTCCGTTCCTCTAACACGAGACTCTACTCACCCAGATGAGTTCAATCTATAGAAGGATTATCAGTGAGATGGCCGCCCCGGCCATAGCACTCACATACCTCTTGTCCAAATGTAAGTGCTGAAAATGCTTGTAAGATGCCAGCAGTCCTTCAATATTATCACGCTCACCCCAATCATACGTCAACCCAACAAAGGCGGCAACTGCGACACCCATGTGAGATTGATACGTCAGCTTCCACATCTGACTGTTCACCACAAACCTGTAAAATAGCTGGAAATACGGTATATATTGATGATCGGCCACCAAGTGGGATCATTTATAACTATGGTCATATTGGTAGAGAATGGGTGTGGATAAGAGGGGAACCTGATAGACGTATGTCGATAGCATTCGTGTTAGATATACCACAACCATGTGCTTAGATCCCCGAAACGAGATCGAGGGAAGATATCCCTTCCTGTATTGGTCGCTCCAAGCAAGTATTTTGACATGAAGATCCGGGCTTAACATAGATGTTGGTCGTGAAGCAGTTGCACAGGCTGAATACTTGGATACCGCAAAAGATTGAACATCAAGAACTATTTGTGATCTTGTCGCATTGTTTCCGATTTCATTCTCGAGATGTTTGTGCTACATGTGCACAAGTCCATCAGCGCAACCAAGTGATGCTTCATTTATATAAGACGTACTGATCATGGTGCGATATCGAAAAGCATGTTATCTCCACTGCCTTCACAATACAGCAACGGGGAGCATAACAGCTCATCCAATGTCACTCAATGAATGCACATTGCGTCGGCACGAGGCAAGACAAGAAAGTCAGTCGTCAAAATAGGGGAAATTGACATGAAGAAACAAACACCCGCCTACCCGAACTAGTACCGATACCTCCCTGGGAGCACCTATCATCTCATCCTCAGACGACCTGTCGCCTCCTGTGTACCTTCTCGACTTTGCCTCGGAAATTAGGCTATCGTGTCATCAGGATGCCAAAAATGCTGAGCGCAGAATGTTTGATTTGTATTGTGGAGTTGGTGCGGTGGTTAGATACATCGGGTTTTGCCAGGTAAGTCCTGAGTGAGATTCCTTGATTGATGTATGAATATACAACATCACCCTAGATCAAGAGAGCGTCGGGAGAGGACACGAGAAAAATAATGCTTAGAAGCATCGGATGCACGATAGTTGAAGGCGGATACATTCTGTTGGCACACAATCACAAAGTCAGAGATATGAAGGAATTGAGGGGATAACTCACTGTGCCATACAGCTATTGACGCGCACCCTCAACGCTTATTCTATTGAATACTAAATCCATCATGTAGTTGATACCAATAAGAGTCAAGTTCTTCTTCCGTTGACTCGTACCGTAGCTTGATTGGATCAGAACGCCGTCTATATTTCACGTGGGCCAGTTACTATAACGACACCCAAGATAAGCAACAGGGTGAGCGGATCTGAGAGGACAGGTTGTGCACAGATCGGTGGTGCAGCTGTAGATGGTGGACATCCCTTTTCAGCGGGTGTACTAGGATGATAGATTCATGAGAGTAGGGCACTGGAAAAAAAAACAAAGTCGAACGCACCACAGGAAGCCCGATATTTGTTCTGACACCTCTTGTGTAGTAGTTGATGGCAAATTGATTCCCTAATTGTTCCAAAATGATCAGCAGCAGCGTCTTTTGGCTCGCTTCCTTCCTCTGGGGACTCGAGTCTGTGAGTGAGGAAATGCGAAAATATAGTAATGGCCTTTATGTTCTTGAGACAATCTAACCACTTCTCGGGTAGCGACGGCATTGGGCCATGGCTACGCACAGCTTGTTCAACTTGCCTTGGAGCTAAAATAAATAAATAAGTGCTCCTAACATGCACTGGCACTTTGTGCGCATCATGCAACTCAAATTTATAGAGTTCTAACTGTTCTAAACCGTAAAAATCAAAAAGAATCGACTTAACCGAAAGCATGTCACGTGAGATATAATGCACTAGTCAAAATCTTCAGCCCGCCCCGGAGTCCCTCCCATCATCATGCACATTTGTTCTTATGATACATAAATTGCAGCAATGCATGTACAGCGCACTTCAAAGATCAGTGAACACCGAAACTACCACCTGGAACATTGTCATTTTGAAGATATCTTGGCCGCATCCGTGTAATCGCATCCATCCCGGACTCCCGGAGGCGGTCTCGGCCACCAGCTATATCGAGAGCTTCACTTCTCCCTACTATCTCGAATTCGCTATCAAGCCCACAACCTGGCATCAAGCACTAGATGCTCGACTCCTGCGCTATCGCTGGTGCTGGTGCCCACATGGCTATTCCTCATTTCGTCGTCGTCGGTTTGAACCACGTTAACAAGACATTTCTTATCTGGTGTGTGATTTCCAGACGTTATTACCCTGTACTTTCCTCCAAAATTCTCCTGACTCCGCAAAGGCACTGGGTCTCAGCTATATATTCATAGCCTTCATACCACAACGCTTCATAGCAGTATGCCTTGCATCATCAAACTACCCATGCAGGAACACTTCGTAATTATCTTGGCTCAATCTTCTGTAAGCTGGTTGGCATGAGTCAGACAAGGGTGGGATGCGGCAAGAAGGTGAATCGAGGACAAATTGCTGAGGAACTGAAGGAGTGCACTGTCGCTCGACTGGGTGTACAGCTAGTGTTAGTAGAGATATCCGGGATGTTGGTTTAACCATTGTCAAGACCTATAGCAGATTGCTTAAATAAATACTACGATGAAAACATTGTCCGGCCTATGTCTCTTTGTTAAATATAGTTCGGAACATCAAATAAACTTCAAGCTTCATCAATGACATCACGAAAATGAGAATCAATAAAAGAGAATTTCCTTGCTCCTTGCAGAGCACCAGGCAACCGTTAACTTCAATGAGGATCACATATCGATATATGCATACGCTCCTGGAAAGCGATCGAGGTCATGGTGGTTGCTGCGTCGGAGTCAACTACGAGCCTCGCGTTATATTCTCGAATGTCAAGGATCAGACGTGGTCCTAGTACGAACATCTGCACGAACATCAAAATCCGAAGCGATCCATCAAAAGTCTGAGTTTCTAGGGAATTCATGTCCTATAGAAATGATGAAACATAGGCATATGCAGAGATCAGTGAACGATTGACATACCGGTGTTGGCGAAAAATCAGAAATGAGCGTGAGGCAGGAGACAGTTACAAAACTAGCATGTCAGATCCCTCAGCGAAAGAAGGGAACAATAATCACAATATGAGCTTACCTCGCAAAGTAAAGCACGTGAGTTTTCATCAACACCATGAAACAGTCCCCAATAATCCCTCCTGCCAGTGGCAACTGTTGTCGCAGTTCACGGAACTGTTTTACTGTAATCCAGATTGCGAGACACAGTGTGAGGACCTCCCACACAGTTCTTAGTATCCAATTAACGGAATTCAAACGTGTGAGATCTCCCGTAGATGCAACTTGAATTGAGCATTGATAAGTGCCGGAGAAAATGAGTTCTTCTGGTATTTATCATTGAGCACCATGCACGTTTACTTTCATCTACAATCAAGCGTACCTCCTGAACCATTCATCGTTGACAGTACGACGACCATTCCATCGAAAATGTTGACACCCAGGCACGAGACAATAAGAAATATCAGGATTTTTCTGGATCGTTGATACATGGCATATAACCGAGTGATCATGATGACTTGCAGGATGTTTCAGTCAAGTCAATGCCACTGAGGTCTCGCAAGTGCTAAGCTCACCCCACAGCATCGCAAATGCTAAAGAAGTCATCCAACTCTGTATGATATGCATAATCCAGCCTGACAAATACAGTCAATGAGCAATCTCATGTCGCTCACACTGCAAAGGGACTCACATCTATGACAGTATTTTTTGCAGTCATTAGTGAGCCAAGAAGTCAGCAAAGAAATACACGCACTCCTACAGGGGACCATGGTTATTGGAAGGGAATAGCAGGTATCTGCACAGAGCACTCACCATATCGGTCAGCGAGACGGTCACGACATTACCTGTATGCCGTTGGTCAGAAGCGAAGACAGTGGATGCAATAAGAAGACATACTCAACATGTCCAGGCTGATTATGAGAGATAGACGATCAGCACAATACCGAATGTTTAGCCTTCCGAACATACGCAACAAAACATATGCCAAGGTAGCGCACCTAGGATGCTTTCAAGTCAGCACAACATTGCAACTACAAGAAACAAGCTACATACACCAAGATACAGAACCGTCATAAGCGACCAGCGTTGCTTCTGTAAAGAGTTTTATTTTCATACTTGTCCTCTGACATGAAATTCTACTCACCCAGAACAATTCGACCTATAACAGGATTCTTAGCAAGATGACTGCCCTGTTAGTCATAACAATAGCATACCTCTTGTCCGAATGTAAGTGCTGAAGATACTTGTAAGATACCAGTAATCTGTTGATATTATCATGCTCACCCCAATCATATGTCACCCCAACAAAGGCGGCAACTATGGAACCGCAGCCGAGGTTAAATTGAGGCAGCTTCGATATCCGACCGTCTCTACGAACCTATAAAATAGCTGAAAAAACGACTTGCATTGATTGTCGGCCACCAAATAGGATCATCTGAGACTATGGTCATATTGGTAGAGAACGGGTGTGGGTGAGGCGAACTTTGTGGACGTACGACAGTGGTATTCGTGCTAGATATACCTTGGTTTTGTGCTTGAAATACCGAAATAAGATCCGTTCCTACATGGATTAGCTCGAAGGAAGTATTTTTACATCAAGAAAGATGAACTCAATCCAGGTGTTCAGCATAGATGTTGGTCGCCAAGCAGTTGCGAGGGCGGAATACTTCAACACCGCAAGAGATTGAAGAATCTGAACATGCATGCACAACCTTGCATAGGTCCTTGGATTTTTGTCTCAGAGGGATGCTAAAAATGGTCAGTGTAGAATCTTTAATTTGCAACGTGGTGTTAGTGCAGTGGTGACAAACATCAGTTAGCACAGGCAGAGACATACTAGTTGAGCTGCGGTGGTGGCAGGTATCAGTTTGCACAGCCGAATACATCGTGATTGACAATTTATGATTGATATCTGGTGGAGATACAATGCTATCTCTAAATTGAGATAGCGCTGAGAGCACATGGCTTGGGCGCTGTCACTACCGTATAAAGCCTGACTTATTGCTCTTCAAGCTGTGCTCTTCAAACTGTACCGGTTGGTGTCCTAAAACCTGATCGACGAGCCTCATCAGCGTCTATATCCCAGGGTACTTGATTGTACAATGACTCACCACGACCACACAGCGGCTGTCAAGGCACACCCCTCTACGCTAAATAAAATGAAATTCAATGTACGACTTTGTCCAACGACGACCTCAGTGTGTGTGACCTTGGAAAAAGCTTGCTATGATCTCAATGGCTTTTGATGGGCATCAGCGGTCTCTGCTTTGCAGGCCTGAACATGGCAACACCTCCGATGTCATTCAATGAGGTGAGCTTGTATTGGAATGTAAAATAAGGGGTGTCCAAACGAAGCAAACAGAGAACTCATCTATACAACCCCTTCCAAGCACAGCTTTCAATGCCCCTGCTCCTCCGTTTCCTAAACATGTGCCACCTCCTCATCAATGTATCTTTTGGCCCTCCACCTCGGTTACCAGCTATTCATATCAAAGGATGTCATTAAACGATAAGTACGGAAATGATATAACTCAAGACGCACCGTACTCGATTTGTATCAACTGTCGCAGCCTGATTCGTCATTCACAGTTGATGCGCGGAGAATATAACACTATTACTGGATTAAATATTGGAATGAGAGGGCAGTGGAAGAAAAAAATATTCAGACGTGGCCTTTATGACCACAAGAAATTGGCAAACCATCATAAAAAGTGATAGTCAACTCACCTCTGGACTGCAAATGCACATCACTTCGGAGTATGATCGAAAGCAACAGCAAGTTACGTAACACTTGCGCGGTAGGGTCTCCATTTAGTGCACATCAGTTTGGTACAAAATGGTTTCCTTCCCAGTTGACTCCCAGAATTCGCCGCAGAACGGGCAATCATAGGATTACAACTTGAATTACATATGGATAGTCTTCCGACTTTACAGCGTGTCCTTCAATTCCCAACTGACCGTCACGGTGCTTTTCCGCTTGTCGTATTCAACAATGAGTACAACGAGAGACTCCCAGCAGAGTCTTCTACATCCATTTCTTTCTCATCTTATTGCTCTCCTGTCAACCTATGAACTATATCCTATGTCGACAACATCTCCAAGATATGATGGGCCTGCAGATTGGCAGACAGACACTATCCTTCTCTCTCTAGGGGCAGTTGCACGCAGAATGTTCACTGCGGAGGATAATCTAGCCTCAATCAAGGCTTCTGAGTGTTGGCAAACAAATGGGCCAGAGACAAAGAAAAGACGCAGTGTAGGCGACTCTCCCATGTCCTCATCTTCTCAGAAAGAGCTAACCCATCTTCTTTTCTCATACAGTCTAGCATCAATGTCAATGCTTTTGCTCCGCCTTCCAGTTCACCAGGATCAACTTCTTGTTTTCAGACCAACTCCTCAAACATCGCACCTACTATAGATTCAATTGATCTCGACATGAAGTGCGCCGATAGTGTGAATGGCGTAGCCAGTGACGACCATACACCGGTCAATAAACTACACTCCACTCGTGCAGGTTCAATGTCATTGTCACTCGACGGACTCCCAAGTCATATTGATGCCGCCACACTCCTTCAGTCATTTGCAAAGCGGACCTCGAAGCCAGTACCACCCACATCACACATCGAATACATGGCTTGCCCAACGTGTGGGAAGACTACTACCGATACTTTGATGATGGGCCGAATTAATAGTAGCTTCGATGGCTCGCCCAGAGGATCTCCTCTTATCGTCCCTCCTGGTCCTCTTCCTGCAGCAGCATTCGAAAGCGGCATGACCGTCGAAGAAGAACTAAGGTTGCTCAAGGCTCAGGTCCAAGATGTCGCTCGTGTATGCAATGCCGTGGCCAGAGGTGACTTGTCCCAGAAAATTACGGATTGCCGTGCAGGGTGTGGTCATGGTTCAATTGAAGGACATCATAAATACTATGGTATTCGTTCAGAGTCTTATCCCTAGGCCTTGCTCATGCATATCATTGTCAGGTCGATAAATTAGGGACAGTTTTCTCAAGAGGTCACTCGTGTCAGTCAAGAAATCGGTACAGAAGGGTAAAGTAGCTACTAACCCAGATTCTATACGGTTTGCTCAGTCTTCCGCAGTAAACTCGGTGGACAGGCTCTCGTGTTGGATGTCGAAGGTACCTGGCGGGAAATGATTGGCATTGTCAATAAATTAGCTGCCAATTTGACCAGTCAAGTCCGAAGCATCACTAAGGTCACTAAAGCTGTTGCACAGGGAGATTTGTCGAAACAGATTGATGTTCGATGCTCGTGGCGAAATTCTTGATTTGAAGAATACCGTAAACGGGAATGGTTATCCAGCTTCGTGCATTAGCCACCGAAGTTACCCGTGTCACATCAGAAGTCGGTTCTCAAGGCAAGTTAGGCGATCAAGCGCACGTACCAGACTGTTCAAGGTGATTGGTTCGAGTTGGTTCACAATGTATACCCATTACCGTGTCTTATCGGCAGTGGCCTAATCTGCGTCTTAAGGTTAATCGGACTGTGTTCAAGCTTGACGGACCAAGTGCGGTCTATTGCCAATGTCACGACAGGCCGTCGCTAGGGGCGATTTGACGCAGAAGATCGAGATCCACGTCGAAGGCGAGATGTCAACGTTGAAGTGCACTGTCAATTCCATGGTGGACCAACTAAGCGCCTTTGCAGTCCGAAGTCACTCGTGTCGCGCTTGAAGTCGGTACGCAAGGTATGTTGGGTGGTCAGGCTCGCGTGGAAGGTGTACAGGGTACCTGGGCTGACTTGACACGCAATGTGAACGTGAGTTATATAAACAGTATTCTGGCCTCGTCAGCATCGCTTACATGCTGTGTGGCACAGAAAATGGCTAGCAATTTGACTGACCAAGTACGATCGATCTCGGAGGTCACAAAAGCTGTTGCCTTGGGCGATCTAAACAAAGTCGTCAACGTCGATGTACAAGGAGAAATGCTAGATTTGAATATGACTGTCAATTCTGTGGTTGTCCAATTATCTACGCTCGCCAACGAAGTCGCCCGTGTGTCTTTGGAAGTGGGTACGGAAGGTATCTTGGGTGGGCAAGCGTATGTCCCTGATGTGCAGGGCATGTGGAAGGTAGGGCGTAAAGATGCGAAATGATATCATTATTGACGTTCACTACAGGTTCTTACAGATAATGTTAACCTCATGGCTATGAATTTGACCAACCAGGTGCGGTCGATTGCAGCAGTGACGAAGGCTGTCGCTGGTGGCGACTTGACGAAGAAGATTGAAGTGGATGTGCGTGGTGAGATCAAGGAGTTGAAAGAGACTGTCAATGGCGTGACTGAGAGCTTGAGTCTTTTCGCTGATGAAGTGACTCGTGTCGCAAGAGAGGTCGGCACGGAAGGACGATTAGGGGGTCAGGCTCGTGTAACTAATGTTGGTGGTACATGGAAGGTGAGTATGTCGCATAGGATGTGGATCAACACTCATCTCAAGTAGGGCTTGACGGACAATGTGAATGTCATGGCTGCTAATGTCGGTTCATTTCATCTTTTACGGGTCTAAAGCTGATTTTTCGGCATTATAGTTGACCTTACAAGTCCGAACCATCGCTGTCGCAACCGTGAGTGTTTTTTACCGTGACTCAATCCTCTTATTGAGTTTGTTGTCAGACTGCTGTCGCCCGCGGAGACCTGACTCAACAAATCACTGGTATCTCTGTGTCCGGAGAGATGCTAAGCCTAATCAACACTATCAATGACACGATTGCTCACTTGGCAATCTTCGCCAAAGAAGTCAAGAATGTTGCATTCGAAGTCGGTACAGAGGGTAAATTAGGTGTCCAGGCTGAGGTAGGCAACATCGAGGGTATCTGGCGAGCAATCACGTAAGTAAGGGACACGATCCGCGGAATGAGTGTTGACATCGCTGTAGGATGTCCGTCAACACTATGGCCAGCAACTTGACCGAGCAAATGCGTGGATTTTCCCAAATCTCGGCAGCTGCTATGGACGGAGATTTCACTCGTTTCGTCACTGTTGAGGCCAGTGGAGGGAATGACTTTTTGAAAACACAGATCAATCGGATGATATTCAATCTATGTGACAGTATCCAGAAAAATACAGCTGCGAAGGAGGCAGCTGAGCTGGCGAATAGGAGTAAATCAGAATTTCTAGCAAACATGTCGCACGAAATCAGGTATCACTGTTCTTGCTTCCCGTCTCGACATTCTGTGCTCAATGTCTCATAGGACGCCCATGAACGGAATTATTGGCATTACGGAGCTTACTCTTGACTCTGATTTGAACCGATCGCAACGAGAGAGTTTGCTCTTAGTACAATCATCGGCTCGCTCGTTGCTACTCATCATCAATGATATATTGGATATCTCGAAGAGTGCGAGTTTTTTTTCCCGATGTCAATACATTAATCTGATTACATGTTCTACAGTTGAGGCCGGTCGAATGACAATGGAAGCCGTCTCGTACTCCCTTCGTCAAACAGTTTTTGGCACACTCAAAACCTTTGTCGTCCGTGCCTCTCAAAACAACCTTGATCTCACATATGATGTCGACCCGGACATTCCTGATCAACTTATCGGCGACTCGCTACGACTTCATCAAATCATCACGAACTTGGTGGGGAACGCTATCAAGTTCACATCTTCCAAGGTCTCCCGCAAAGGCCACGTTGCACTTAGCACAAGGCTGGTAGCGCTGGACGACTCCAGTGTGACATTAGAGTTCTGTGTCACCGATACGGGGATCGGCATTGCCAAAGACAAACTGAATCTCATTTTCGACACGTTTTGTCAGGCAGATGGTTCGACGACGAGAGCACGTCCATGTCACAATTTATCGCAAGGGTCATAGCTGATCGTCGCATAGGAATATGGGGGAACCGGTCTGGGCCTTTCCATCTCCAAGCGCCTCGTCAGCCTCATGCAAGGCAACATGTGGGTCGAAAGCGAGGTCTCAAAGGGCAGCAAGTTCTTCTTCACAATCACATCGCAAATTTCTCAAAATACGCTGGAGACCTCACTGCAAAAGATGCAGTCATTCCACAGGCGTGCTATTTTGTTTGTTGACACCCTCAACGATACGACCGGGGTTGTCCAAAGGATCCAGGAGCTCGGGCTGAAGCCATATGTCATCCATGATATTAGTGAGGTGGCCGATAGGGAACGCTGTCCGCAATTTGACACTATCGTCGTGGACTCGTTGAGCACGGTACGTTATGTAGGTGTCATACAAGTTCAAGCTTGCCTCATGTCTTCGTCGTAGACCGAAAGTATCAGGGAATATGAGCACCTGCGCTACATTCCCATCGTATTGTTGATGCCTTCGATCCCACGTCTGAATCGTGAGTATGCGAGATGTGCTCTGGTGATATGTGGCTGACAGTCGTTAGTTAAATGGTGCTTGGACAACAGCATCAGCTCGCAGGTTACGACCCCAGTCACAGCTCAAGACCTTGCTTCTGCCCTCATTTACGTCCTGGAGTCGAATACTGTGTCGCCTGTCTCGGCACGAAATGATGTTGTCTTTGACATCCTGCTTGCCGAGGATAATATAATCAACCAGAAACTAGCAGTCAAGATTCTGGAGAAGTATGGTCATACAGTCGAGATTGTAGAGAATGGAAGTCTAGCTGTTGAAGCTTTCAAGGCACGGGTACAAGTGAACAAGTCGTTTGACATCATCTTGGTGAGTCATTTTTGACTCGATGACCCATCACAGTAGTGATACTCCCAAAGATGGATGTGTCGATGCCTTTCATGGGAGGAATGGAGGCAACTGAGCTCATCCGAGCATATGAGATGCACAAAGGACTCCAACGGATTCCTATCATCGCCCTCACTGCTCACGCTAGTACGTTACAATCTCGAGGCTCAGAGAAAGTACTTGCTGATTTGCTTTTTCAGTGATCGGTGACCGCGAGCGATGCCTGCAGGCAGGTATGGACGACCATATCACTAGTACGTACCTCATTTACCCATGCCTCTAAGCCTCATGAACGCTTATTTTGCAGAGCCCCTTCGTCGCGGAGATCTCTTGAATTCGATCAACAAGCTTGCAAGAGAGAGCGCGCACAGTTAGCCACGCAGCATCACCTCCTCCACAAGCCACCTGCTCTTATGGCATAACTGATTTTTTTTGTGTATCATTTCATCGTTTCAGGTTTTGCATACCTCATACCTCCTGTAAGCCAATTGGCGTGAATCAGATGCCAGTGAGAATATGAATCGAGGACTGATTGCTGAGGAGCAGTGCAGTGTCGCTCGCCTTAGCTCTCGCTTGCCCATTTTCCCAAGCAATCGTAGGAGAATGATTGCCCCCTGATACGAAAAGAACCAGTAGTTGGTGCAAGTGAGTGGGCAGCCTAATGACAGCAGGATAAAACATTTTCAGCACGTATAGCAAATTACTGAACTAGAACTACGACGAAAACATTGACCGGAACTATGTCTCCTTCGAACCTCATTCGGAACAACCAAATAAACTTCATCACGAAAGTGGAAATAAAAAAACAAATTCTCCTGCTCTTTGTAGGGCACCAGATAGCTGTTAACTTCACCGAACATCATACACTACTCCCAGTCGATATATGCACGCGCTCCTGGAAAGCGATCGAGGTCATGGCAGTTGCTGCGTCGGAGTCAGTCACAATCCGCGCGTTATATTCTCGAATGCTAAGGATCAGGCGTGGTCCCAGCACAAACATCTGCACAGCCTGCAAAATTTGAAGCAAGCCATAAACAGCTTGAGCTTCTAGGGAGTTGTCCTATAGAAATGATGGGTCACATGGAGAGAAGTGAAAGACTGACATACCGTTGAGAGTGTTGGAGAGAACTTAATAATGAGCTGGAAGAAAGAAACGACACCAGAGCTATCACGTCCGACCTTTCAGTGGAAAAAGAAATTATAATTACAATACGAGCTTACCTCGCAAAGTAAAGCATGTGAGTTTTTATCAACACCATCAAACAGTCCCCCATAATCCCTCCTGTTGAATGTTGTCGCAGTTCACGGAAGTGTTTTATCGCAATCCAGACTGCGAGATACAGTGCGAGGACCTCCCACACAACAGAAAGTATCCAGGCAACAGAATCCAAAAGTCTGATATCTTCTGCATGGGAAATCGAGCACCGATAAGTGCCAGAGAGAACGAGTTCCTCTGGTATTTATCATTTAGGCCCAGTGTTTATTTTTGTCCGGAATTAAGCATACCTCCTGAAGAATTCATCATTGCTATCGCAACAAGCACTCCATCGAAGATGTTGTTAGCCAAGAAGGTGACAACGAGAAATACCAGCATCCTTCTGGATCGTTGATACATGGCGTGCAACTGAGTAATGATGATGACTTGCAAGATGTTTCAGTCAAATCAATATCGTCGTGATTGCACAAGTACCAAGCTCACCCCACAGCATCGCAAATACGAGAACAAGCGTCCAATTCCATACGACGTACATAATCCAGCCTGACGAATCTAATGAGTGACCAGCCTCAGGTAGCACACTCAAAAGAGACTCACATCTGTAGCAGTATAGTGTAGTAGTCAGCAGTAAACCAAAGAAGTCAGTTAAGAATCACCCACTGCTACAGGACACCACGTTAATTGGAGGTGAATGTCATGCATCTGTGAAGACTCACTTTATCTGTCAGCGAGATGGTCGGAACATCGTCTGTACGCTGTTGATAAGATGATGCAAAGTGTCCTAATGATACATACTTGGTATGGCCAGACTGATTATGAGATGATCGATTAGTACAACACAAATTGTTAAATTTTAGCGTTCCTAACATACACAGCAGATAAGATTCCAAGGTAGCGCACCTAGGACACTTTCAAGTCAGTATAACACGGCAACTGCGACAAACAAGCTACATACACTGAGATACAAGACTGTCATTAAGGACCAGCGTTGCCTCTGTAATTAATTACTTTCATGCGTGTTCCTCTGATATGAGACTCTACTCACCCAGACCAATTCGATCTATAAAACTATTGTTAGCGAGATGGCTGCCAAGGTCATGACATCGACATACCTCTTGTCCGAGTGTAAGGGCTGAAAATACTTGTAGGATATCAGCATTCCTTTAATATTATCATGCTCACCCCAATCATACGTCACTCCAACAGTGGCAGCAACTGCGAAATCGCAGCCAAAATCAGTCAGCTTCAAAATCCGACCGCTCTCTACGAACCTGAAAAATAGCTCAAAACACTGTATGCATTGATGCTCGGCCACCAAGTGGGATCGTTTGAGACTATGGTCATATTGGTAGAGAACGGGTGAGTCAGAGGCGAACTTGGTGGACGTATGACCGTGAAATTTGTGCTACTTATACTACCATCCAGTGGTTGGTCCACCAAAACGAGATCGAGGCAAGTGACCGTTCTTGTTTTAACTGGCCGATGTAGATATTTTTGCATGAAGAAAGACAAATCAATCCAGGAGTCCATAATAGATGGTCGTGGAGCATCTACACGAGTGACACTTGAACACCGCAAAAGACTGATCAACATCAAGAACTGTTGCTGATCTCGTATGATGAAATCCATGCTAATTATACCACCATCCAGTGCTTGGATCACCAAACGAGAGCTAGGGATGATGACCGTTCCTGCATTACTTGGCCGAAGTAGATATGTTTGCATGAAGCAAGTTATGTATATCAATCGCCCGACATTTGTACGAGCAAAAGACGTGAACACCGCGAAAGATTCAACATCAAGAGCTGTTCGTGACATTGTCGTCTTGTTTCTTGATGCCAGTCTCGAGATATTTTTGCTACACGTGCACAGTCCATCAACGCAACCAGCTACTACTTCGTTTATCTGATACATACTGATCATAGTGCGACCACCGAAAAGCCCGTCGACTCCACTCTTTTGGCATCGCCAACACAGCAGAAATCCAGCTGTCAAAAATAGTTGAGATAGACACGAAGCAAACAAACTCGCATCCTACCAAAACCTCTCTGCGAGCACATGTCTGTGTCTCCGAATCTCGTCCTTATGCCATCCGTGGCTTCAGGCGCACCCTCGACTTTGTCTAGGCGATTGGGCTATTGTGTCACGGTCATCATTGTGTCATCAGGATGCCAGAAATGGTGAGCGCAGAATATTTGATTTGTATCGTGGGGTTGGTGCGGTGGTCAAATGCATCAGGTTCCGCCAAAGAAGTCTTGGTTGAGATTCCTTGATTGATGTATGAAGATATCCTAAATCAAGAGGGCGTTAAAACTTGAGAGAAGACACGAATAAAAATAATGCTTAGATGCACAATAGCTGAAGGTGGCAAGCATCTCTTGGCACATCATCAGAGAGTTAGAGATTTGAAGTAGTTGAGGGAATAGCTCGCCGTGTCACACAGCTGCCAGTGCGAGCAGCGGCACCATCAATGCTCCAAGAAAAACCGATCCAAAATGTTTTCCGGATAAATTCATAGGGTAGCCTGGGTGGGAATTTGAAACGTTATGCGTGTCACGTGACATATAATGGTGCCCGCTGCGTCTCCCAAACGTCTCCTCACGTTCTGCAGCAACTTTTCATGGCATCCATCGTCCCTGTGATTTTCATATTCGCCATAGTACTAGGGCTGAGTGCTTGTGGCTACCTCTTCGTTCCAAAGGGGCCACATCAAACGTATGCTGCAGCCTTCTTCAGTTTGTCGACATCTGAACTAATACCCTCGAATGCAGGACAATTCGTACGGCTATCATACTCACGCTTGCCTCATGTTATCTTATGTGGATGGTCACATATATGGCCCAGCTGCATCCGCTCATTAGTAGGTCATTAAACTTGTTCCTATGATTTTGTTGGCTAACTCATGAACTCAAGCGCCATATCGTTCAATAAAGGGCGGAGAGAGTTTATAATGGTCAAACATCGTCTGAGCAGGAAATAGGCGTACACCATTGTCGCTATGGTATATTCTGCATTAACGAAAGAGCACCTTGGAGTCCGCTGTTCTAGATCTGGCGGTCTTCTGTTCGAAGATACGTGACGGGCGTTTCACTAAGACCCAGCCAAATCAGAGTCCGCGACACATGGTACTCAATTTTGGGGACATATTCACAATCAATACGTTCATAGATATGTCTCGCGATATGCATCGCATCTGCCCATGAAACTTTTCTGACCCTGTCTCAGGTGTTAATATCTCTCTGCTCTTTTCATATTTTAAAGAACCTGAGCTTCCTGCTCAACCATGCGACTGTAAAGGCGTGTGCAGATTGGAAACGCTAGGATGTATTTGGCTGCGAAAACTTGTGCCTCCAATGCAGTGTGTTTTACATTGGGGTATCAGAGTTCTGCTACCTTTCCATATTTCGCGCACCCTTGAGACATTGTAGGTTGTTGATCAAAGCAGAGAGCGAGGAGGTGCACATGGGGCCATACATGTTACATACTGAGGACAACTAAATATGCGAAGGGGGTTGTCGCCGGCTCAGAGGTCAGTTTACTACTGGCTCTGCTTGGATCTCCCCTACATTCTGTGTCTGATTTTCCGCCGTTAGAAAGTAGCCTTGCTGAGTGACATTCGAAAGGGTGTTACGCTCTTCAGGCCCAGGCGGCCCAGCGTAGCGAGGCGGCTGACAGGTGTCGATGCAATCTCGCCGAAAATTGAGACAACAGTCAGACTAATATCACACTTACTTCTAGAACCCCGTTCGACACATGATTTTAGGCAGTTCAACTAATTCACGTGTAGCAACAAGATCTGCATGACGAACGCCAGCGGTGTTCCACGTTGCAGCCGTTGCATGGGCGTGACTTATGACCGACCGCAGTTTCTGACTGTTTCTCGGCCCATGTTGTTGTCTGGGGACTCGATCGGCCGGGTTCTACCCGACGTCGTGGGAAACTACTTACTCTCGTTTAATACAGGAACCAATGTCTTCAGAATCATATGTATTTCCGGACTCCTCAGGCTTGGCGTACTCGTTCAGTGTCCGCCATAAAAGCCCTGTCGTTTATCACATCGATGGCCCTACTACATCCCCTCGTCCGCCATACGCTATCCTTGAATAATAGTATGACCCTGGTCTCAAACGATCCTAGTTGGTGGCCGATCATCAATTCAAATCGTGTTTCTAGCTATTTTACGGGTACGTGGAGACCGGCTTGAATGATATCTCGATCTCACCTTGGCTGCGGTCAGTAGTTGCCAGTTCTGCTGGAGTGATATACGATTTGGGTGAGCAATATGATAACTTCAAGAATCGCCCATTCATTTTTATGATATTTCTAGTGCTGACATTGGGACAAGAGGTGGGTCGATGCTATGGGTCGATGCTATTATTTGCAGTCATCTCATTCTGAAGGGTATCAGGTTGAGCTTGTCTGGGTGAGCAGAGTCTCTAGTCAGAGTAACAACATGGAAATTCATTCGATTTGGCAGACGCAACGCTGGTCCCTGATGTCCATTCTGTATCTCAGCGTCTGTCGATTGCGTTATAATTCCGCAAATTGTACTGATTTGATAATATCTTACATAGGTGCGATACCTTGGCGTAGTGTACGCTACGTATGTTTGGATGGTCAACCATTTAGTGTTGTGCTAATTAGCAATCTCTCGCGATCAGCATCCAGATTCTTGGTATGTCATCCCGTTCACCGTGTTTGATTCTTACCAAAGGCACACTACTTACAGACAGTGTTCCGACGATCTCGGTCACAGATGTAGTGAGTAGTCTGCATCTATGTTCATTACTTCTATACTATCAACCATACTCCGATGTAGGGGTAAGTAAGATGATTGACCAGCCTGTTAGTTCAATATACTGACTATCGCAGCTGTGAGTGTGTTTCGATCTGAGTCTTCAAGGCTGATTGCTAACTTGGATTTTTTAGGCCACGTCATTTATAACGCGATTATTTGGATGACTCTGGCCGTAAATGTAATGCTGTGTAGTGAGTATCGCCTCTGCAATATTCTAGTGACATTGCTTGACTGAAACACCATCCAAGTCATTACGCTGACTCGGTTATATGCTATGTACCAGCGATCCAGAAAGATGCTAATATTTCTTGTGGCCTCCCTCCTAACTGTTAACATCTCCAACGGAGTGTTACTCACAATTGGAATGATGCGTGCTTCAGCAGGTAGGCTTTAGTGAAACACTTAAATACCTCAGGCTTATTGACGGTTACTTACCAGAGGAGCTCATTCTCTTTGGCACCTATCAGTGCACTATTAGCTACGAGGGAGATGTCCAAATTTTAAAGTCCACACCTTGGATACTCACCACTGCATGGGAAGTTCTTGCGTTGTGCCTCGCAGGCTGGATTGCTGTACGCCACTTCCGTGATCTTTATCGACATTCAGCAGGAGGGATTATTGGCGATTTTGTGACGGTGCTAATGAAAACACACGTGGTTTATTTTTCGAGGTAAGCCCATAAAGTGAATGCGTTGTCTTTTCCACTGAAGTTGCACAGCTTTGTTGTTGTTTCTTTCTTCTGGCTCGGTGAGGTTTCTCCGACGTTCACAACGGTATATCGATCTATCACCATCCCTGGCATACTAGGATGATTCATCATTTCTATAGGACCCGTTTTCCCTCAAAACTGAGATTTACCGTGGATTTCTTCAAATTATCCTGGTTGTGCAGTTGTTTGTGGTAGGACCGCGCCTGATCCTTAGCGTTCGGCGTTATCGCGCCGAGCTCATGACCAGCTCCGATGCAGGAACGGGCGTAGTTTCAATTGCTTTCCAGGAGCGCAGGCATGCGTCGACTAGCAGTCTATAGCACGAGAAATGTTCGATGCAATCAACATATGTCGGGTCACCCTGCAGACTGAATGTCTAGTAACCATATTCTCATGTAGTAGGGGGCAAACTCAGTTGTGCGTCCCCACGCATCAGTGACATCCGTCTACAGGGCCAGTAAATGACGACCACTTGGCATCAATTTCACATCATGGGGCATAGGTGGAGCCAATGAAAACATTGGGCATATCTAATGGGCCTTAACTATATATGCGCCCATACGTTATCCACGGGGCAGACCTTAGCTAAGAGGGTGACTTATACGACTTCCTGTACGTGTACAGTACTTGATGGGATATCACGGCGAGCAACAAGAACGATGATAACAGACTTGTCACAAGACAAAAGTAATACACTTTTGGATGTTACAGACAACATAACAAAATGGTCTGAGGAAGATGAAAGTGCAACATAAAACACGAATAATATAAGAGTAAAGGATAATGTACGTGAGACAACGGAAACAAAGTAGACGCGATCATGTATGAAAAAGCAGTTCGACAAGAAATCATAGCAGGTCGTGGCAAAGTTGGACAATATCATTATGCGCTGGGTATCGAACGTAACATCGAGAAACTCAGACGAGCGCGGCAGATTGCAAGTATCCTCGGAAAATAGAGTCTCGTACTGCATGATGGATAAGTTGCCGAAAAGCGGTGGTTAATAATTTTAGAACGTACCGTTTCCTATGATGCTTTGGGTTGCTTTAGTATCCTGAGCGACCGCCAAGGCATCAGTCGGTGTTAGCGCTGGACGGGCATGAAAACATAACGTACGACAACATTTGTCAAGTGCGTGTATAGCACACGTCTGTTTTCGTTATTTCGTCTGTGGACTTGGAGAAAGTGGGCACGGAAGTACTGTACAACCGACTCGTATTCGTTTGGACGGTCGCCATACGAGAGAATGCTAAGGACAGCTCCGTAAGCGCGTTGCGGACCAGAATCACGGGAACTTACTATTTTGAGACAGATAACCCTCTTTCAAGCTTCTTTCTTAGGATATCGGTCTTGTCTGCGGTGGGTAGATGGTATTAAAAAAAAACATTGTGTGACCGCTAGTGTGAGACAACGCACTCAAGAATAAGACTAGATGGACCTTCTTGAGGAGCTGATTGGAGCAGATTTGTGTGAAGAGTTGCAGCGAGTCGTCGATACGGTTGGTGCGAGGATCTTCCTCGAGGTACTGAGAAGGTGCATTGAGGTATGTGAAGATACCACGAACAGCGGGTGCTGAAGCTCTCACCTGATCAAAAGCACTGATTGGGCTGACAAAAATTATGGCGTTTGCGTCGTCAAAGTACGGTACCCAAGAATGACGTTGTCCTCTGGCGCCACCAACGTCAAAGAGATGCCACGTCACAGTCTTGCCGTGAATGTCAACGTCGAAAATATGCTCAGCAACACCCATAGTTTGGATGCGTGCGTGAAGAATATCGTCTATGAATCGGTGAGCACAAAGACATTGTCTCGACGAAAACGCGCACCAGTGGACGGTACATAATTCCGTGCCGAGATACGTGAGATGTCATTCAGGAAACTGAGCAAAATTCCGTTTTTAAAGAAGAGGAAGATGCATATATGCGCATACTCACAACTCTGACCACTCATCTAGCTTTAATTTTCGGCTAGTCATCAAGGCACGGACAACTTGGTTCTCCCACAAGGTCCTGATATCTTCCCTCGACTGTTCCAACATTCTTGCGACATCATCCACAAGAGGGTCAGCATCGATAACTGATAGAGCTGTTCCAGGACGCTCAATTGTCAGTTCGTCCTCGGATGAACTGGGCTTTGGCTGCCTGCGGAGTAGCTTCTGACCTTTTTGGATGGTCCTCGCCTGCCATCCGCTTCGAACGTAAACTTCGCCTTTGCCGGACCCTGATACAGAGACACCTCCACTCAAACCATCAGCAAGCTGAGGTTCAGTATTTGTGAGTGGTAAAAGCCGTCGCCGGAGATCAGATATCGCAGTAGATCCCCGAAGGGGACTAGACGCAGTTGGACTAGTGGGTGACGTAGGCGACGGTGGCGAAAGGGCTACCCCGATTTGTGAACTGTGTATACTGGGTGTTGCCGAACTCGAAGCCCGAGTGGGAAGGTAATCACCGAGTTCTTGACGCTCGAGAGTGCTTTGAGAGTCGCTCCCGTCATCGATATCGTCCCAAGCTTCTAGGGTTGTAAGGATCTTTTTGATAGATCGCACGACATTAAAATATACGACGGTTCTCCATGACATGCGCTCGCTTTCAAGAGACGCAGGGCTGTACATGAGCTGGAACTGCTTTTGCAGTGTTGATTTGCCTGATTCAGCTTGGCCGAGGAGAAGTAACTATCGTACACGATGGTGATCAGTTCCACAACCCAATCCTGATATTAAAAAAAAGACTTGAAATGACCTTGACATCACTTTTGGATTTTTTCAACCTTTCCCTCTCAAACCTGAGTTCTTCGTCTATCTGTTCTGAGATTCGACGCGCTTCGGCTTCATTCTGCAGCCGAATATGGCGATCTGAGTCTGATTCTTCTGGAGGAGGCCGTATAGCAAGAGACAAGGGATCATCTTGACTGCGAATGGAAGAAGTTCGTATCATCGTGGTACAGAGACAAGAGCAGAGTAAGACAAAACGCCGTTGATATTACTTATGCGAAGAATAGCTTCGAGAGACTATTAAAGACCAAGATAGTCACAGCCCGTCGCATCACATTGTCACATTGTCACACATGGTAATTCATCCTTCTCCATCATCAACGGATATACTTACTCATAGCTTTCTTATAGTCTGTAACGCTCCACACAAGCCACGGCGAGCTCAAGGTGCGCCCATATACGCCCAACTAAAATCTCTGCGATTCATCCGAAAATTTTGGGTAATCCAGATCGAGATATTCTGCGAGGCTGTCCCCAAAACGGCAGAGGTATAAAATTGCTTCCGTTATCTCCTCCGAGCCTGACAAGTCCTAGAACTTTCTTGCCCTGTGCGCTTCAAATTATTATGACAATTGCATATTTCACCGCAACATCAGAGGGTTCATGATCCAAACGGGCGACCCTTCTGGCTCAGGAAAAGGTGGCCAAAGCATATGGGGAAAACCCTTCGAGGATGAACTGCGGTCTACTTTGAAGGTACCGAATATCTTTACCCGCGCAAATGGATTTTTACCAATCATTTTTGGTAGTTCAACAATCGTGGTATGGTTGCCATGGCGAACTCCGGCCCCGACACGAACAAGTCGCAATTCTTCATTACCTATGCAAAACAGCCTCATCTGGACAACAAATATACGATTTTTGGCAGGGTTATTGATGGTGCAGACTCTACACTTGACACCATGGAACGTGTCCCCGTGAACAATAAGAACAGACCGCTTTCCGAGATCACACTGACTCATGTATGTTATCCCTGGTGGATCAGGCAGCAAGCGTGCTGATAGGGTCTTCTTTGATGATCATTAGGTGACCATTCATTCGAACCCCGTTGCGGACGCTCAGTTAGTCCCACGTTGACCCTAAATATGAACCTTCGTTTGTTTAAGCGCAAACTGCAAAATCGTCACATCGGATGAATGTTCTTTACTCCTACAGAACATCTCGGGGTATGCTAACGCTTGATAAAACCAACCAGCTCTTTCTGTAACTCTCTTTGTCGTCGCGCTTTTTCTAGGTCATCCATGCTTCGGAGATCGTAAACAATATCGCGTGTTTTCCCGAAGTACACCTGGGCTTATGATCAGGTCCTGAAATGTCCGAAGAAAGAAATTTTCGTGCCTCTTGAAGAAGATTTCTCATTTTCATTTCCATCTCTTCGATCATCTTTCCCGTGTTCGTAATGTGTGAAGTCGATTCATGCACAGGCCAATCCTGCTCAGTCTGCGGGAAGTGAAGATGTGTGACAGCCCACATCAGGTTAGATGGGGAAGCCTACCTGTCTCGTCATGCTTCCACTTAAAGTGATTTCCCCCGACGACTTCCATCCTTGCTCGGAAGCCTTTTTTTCGGGTTCGCCGAGACCGGAGGTTTCATCAGCCTTATTGTTCTGTTTCGTCACGAGCTCCAACATAACGGTAGATGTGAGCTTATAGTGCGCTTGTCTTCCGCGTTCTGCGGTCTCGAAGACGTGGATCGAATCCCATGAACCTGAGGGCTCGTCAGGGCTTGTGGGTGTCATTGCTAAGGTACACGGAGTTAGAGACATGATCTTAGAACGTTGAAAACACAGGTATCAGCCGGTTACCTACTTTTCTTGAGCAACACAACGCCTGCAAAACCGCCATCTTCCAGATCCCAAAGATAGACAGAAGACACGCCGCCTTCGTAATACCTATCGTCAAGATTCATTAGACATGTGCGAAGATTCACTGCAAGCCTGATCTATGTATGACACGTACAATTCGCGATATGTATCGAACGCCTCATTGGCGGCAATCTCAAGCTTGCGAAGCTTCGGCGTTGGTGCGGTACCATCGTCTATGGGAGGGTCATATTCATTCGACCAAGGTGACCTGAAGAAGCGCATTAGTATGCGATGAACATCGTCTCGGATGCATGAAATAGGACTAGAGCCCTTGCCGCTCCACGAAACCCGACTTATGCAGTCACCTTGAACACATTCACCGGAAGCGCAGCAGAAGACTTACCGATAACTATCACCGTCCCTATTGTAATCGCATGCAAGATAATCCTTCCCTGTGGTTCGGTCTGTCTTAACCTTCAGAGGCTGGTCGACACTACCTAGAAGATCATCTGCATAGTCTGGGCAGATCTGTATGAGCACGTTCACGTTCTCCTCGACATTGGTAGGCGGAAGACGACGCATCAGATCGAGCATTGAATCAACTGGGTCTGGCCCTTCTGCCATGTCGGGCTGCTCTGTGGACGGTCGTATGAGCTTAAACAGAATAATTGATAAACGATCTTGAAGGAAACTGGCGTTCCACCATGTCGCATCTGGATTCTGAACAGCATCCGGCGGCAAGCCAAAACAGGATGTCAGCCTTCGCAACTCTTCAAAACCAACTCAAACCACAACAATGACGATTGAATTATTCTCGCTTCCTACAGAGTTGACATGGCACATCCTACTAATTCTTGACCCGAGAGAAATTTGTCGCTGTGCAATGGTCAGTTGTTTCCCGCTATTTCACGCTGCTTCGTAGATGAACTTATTACTTCTGGTTCCAATGTCAGACCTGCAAAACCTTCTGGAATATGATCCAGAATTCTGTACATATTCAATACAAGCTTGAGCTTTACGCTCAGGGATTCACCGAGACTGCTACCCTGGACTTGATCGGTGTCTCCAGAAGAATGTCCTCGCTTAGGAATTTGGCATCTTTGTGGCGGTCCGGCTTGCATTTGAACACCATCCTGGAAGAACGAGTGATGATCTCCACCTTCCCTGAACATCCTTCACTACCATGGCTACGATTCGGTATGAAGTGTGGCATCTTGTGGATGTTGATACAGGGCGGTCTCTTCATCAAGGACTATAACGCAAATACCGACCTTTCCTGTACGTGGGCCATACATGACTTGTCCTCTCAGCACCGACCGGAATTTCTTACTATGGACCCCCTGCAAGATCTTGTGGTTATTGTCTCCTTGCCTGGTGTTGTCACTGTCACTGTAACCAACGTCGAACAAGATCATCATGCCTTTTGGGTGGAATGTCGGTCAGCTTCATCCCAGCATCTCCACCCGAATTCTGTCTGTGCTTCCTTCGAGTGCAAACATACCTTTGATATCTGTGGCGTGTACCGTGTCAATGTGATTGGAGAACCTGTGATCTATGGTGATCATATATTTGTCTTCTATTACACAGAGAACAAATTTTATGGACCTACGTCTGCCACGTTCATGCAAGTCGTTAATTGGAGAGAGGGATTCGTGAAGAGTGTGAGTGCCTTTGTACTACAGAATTCTGCCACTTAGTACAAGCAGTATCTTTTGCTGGATTATCAACAAGGCTTTCAGCATCAAATTCACGTAGTCGACCAACGGACGATTATTGTCATCGGCTTAAGCTTTATAACCGTGCACACACTACAGGATTCCGATGGGTCACCGCAGCACAGACTTACGTATCTCCTTCCGAAGCGCCACCATTTATCCTTGCCATTCATGATTGTTCATGCCAGCCCATCGTTCGGCAGCACAGCTCCTCGCACAGATCTTATGCCCGGCTATGTGCCCTCTTCAGAGTCACAAATCATCGTTTTGGAGCTTATCTCACGACCGCGCAAACTGTCCGTTATTCTAGTCATTGATACGGTGATCTTCTCGGGAACGGCTCTGCAATCAGAAACACATGTCAAAATTCCCTGGTCCGACTGGGGACCCCAGCATACGTGCTGCTTTCCGCATGACCCAAGCTACCAAATCAGCGTGTTCGGTAGCAAAATGGCTTATACTCTCCCTCAAGATCATCCCGCTGAACCTGGACAAAGGCTGCAATCACTTCCCACCGCGGGTCACTTCTATGTCCATATCTGGGACTTCAATAATCGAGCGATTGCTCATTCGGATACTCTATACAATTTCGGCTCACCAGACCTTCTCATCCGTAAGCCTGGTGGGGTAGCTCAGTCGTGCTTTGATGAGGAAATCATTTCGAATCACCGTTACACTGCTACCGTCTACCGGACTCCATTTTCGACACAAGGCTTTCATGAATTTTTTTTGGAACAGGATAGACTTGTCTTGACCTCGGTATGTTTTTTTTTAGTTGTGAGCACAATGATGATTCAGTGTGGCCATACTACAGGTGCGACCTGATACAGTTCATATTCAGGTTGTCTCTCCTGTACAGATGGAGGACGGGTTGGACTCTACACACTAGAATCAATTTCAATAGCGAAGGATGGACAAGTCACCCTGCCTCATGCCACCAGTCTTGTGTAAATTAACATTAACGCCGAATCAGACCGTTTGTATTTGCATGAGTGGTGCACTGGTGCTTCAATTGCTCCTGACCTCGACCTTGGCGGGAGACGACGGTCCGATCAAAAGCAAGTCCAGTCCCTTCAATTTCGTGCTTTACTTTGCAGATGACGGTCAAATTCGCTTGCACAGAAAATTTGATGTACGAAATTGCAGGATACGGCGTGTGCCGTCATCGTCGACAGCATCCCGCCGGATTCCCGCGGCAAACGGTAAGTATGACACTATGTACACACTCAACTGCGATTTACGAAATTGAAAAGCCCTGCCCTGAACTTTCCCTGAATTCTGCTCACCAGTCCGACTTTCTCCTGCAAGGGACGTTTGTCGCTGCACAATAGTCAGCTGTTTCTCCATTATTTCATGCTTCCTCCCATGGACTAGACCGAGTTCTGGTCAGACCTGCAAAACCTTTTGGAATACAGCATCGAAACGTTGAATACAAACTTCAGCTCTAGCTAGGCCTAGCTACACAAGACATTAAGCTGGACTCGTTTTCAGTAAGATGTCTTCAAGAAAGAAGCTTAAGGAAAGAAGTTGGCATCATTGTGGTGGCCTGGCTTTTATTTAAACACTGTTTTTGACGAAGCAGTGTTGTTGATACCATGCATAATCGGAGTGCAATGCATTTGGCCCGTACTATGTTCATTTTGTGAACAGACCAACATTGAAATATTGTGGTGATCGTAAGTTTGCCTTCGTTTACGTAGAGGACATGAATGACATACCCGTGTCTAGGTGGCGAACAGACTATCATCGCGAGACTTGTTCGCAATTAGAAGACATCGATGCGCCGCCTCAGCGCTCCGCCCCAATTCTTCCTTCCTACAGAGTTGATATACCACATATTGCTTCTCACTCCAAGGGATATTTGTCGCTATGCAATGGTCGGTCGTTTTCGTACTCTATGCTGCTTCCTAGATTAATTTACTTCCATGCCCAGTACCAGACTTGTAAAACTTTTTGGAATGTGGCCCAGACAATACAAACTTGAAATTTATGCTCAGGGCGTGAATAAGATCGCTACCTCGAATTCGATGGGTCCTCTGGAGGATCTTATAGTCCGACGTGGCCGAACTGTATTTGCGACCTGATAAAATTGATATCAAAGTCGTTTCCCCTAATATGGATGTTGGGTCGGATCTCACAAATCAGAATAAATGAAGCGAGCCAGGATGAACACCAGGTCCCATGATTACGGTCAGCTGTTAGATACCCTTACTAGATAGTTATCTTCTGTGCAATGAAATATGGCAGCAGACATCGCCTACACAGCTGCATTATCATCATCCTGCTTCTTATCTTGTACGCGCCCTGCCCCCTTTTCAAATCTTTCCGGTTCATTACGCGCATTCGCCAACTCCATAACGTTAAATTTTTGAAATCGATAATAATCTTCAACGATGCTCATGCCAACGGTACTCTGCCAAAAAAAATATATCAAAAACGCATCTAAACCGAAACGCAGCACGGACCTTGAAAACTTCTACCAAAACGAACACATCAGGATCGTCCAGGTCGACGGTATAATTTGAAGGCATGCATTTAGCTACTTCTTGGATGATCTCCATTCGCGTCAGCGTATTGTGGTTGCGCACGCGCAACTCAATCTTGTACTGAGTTGTGTATTCAATAGATTGCGAGCGTCGATTTGTTTTGTATGCGTACCTTCCGAGCCCTCGGGGACCCTTCATTGTTCTCTGGGGCACAGTACGCAGCGACGGTTCGACGGCATAGGGAGTTGAGCTCTGGGATGTTCGCAACGCATGTGCCGGAGACTGGTGTCAACCGATGCGTGTATCTGTCAAGCCCAATGAGTACGATCAAAGAAGCCGCATACGGTGTATGGTTTCTTTTACTTTGTTCTCGTGACCCCTGTTATTTGAACGTTTTCTACGTGTTTCATCACAAGTTTTACTGGGTCCACGGGAGGTTTACATGACATGAAGATTACTGAGTCGATTGAACAGTCAGGATACGTGTGAGGTAGAAGGCGTGTGCTCGTACCACATTGTGTGTTTGTCAGGCAATTAGCTGGTCCTCGCACCATCAGCTGAAGAAATGACTCGGAACAGCAAAGTGGGGATCACTTACCAAACCGTTTCTCCACTTTTGGCCGTTTCAGCGCAGCGACCTCTTTTGCAATCTGCGTCTCCAAGTCATCTTCTTCACTCCCATCCGCATCTGAGCCATTATCCCGATCATTAACAGAGGAGCCATGCCCTTCAACGGGCCACATGTCAGCAGCTAGCTATCAGGGATCATCACCATAAGTTCGCGTGCGAGAGCTTGGTTGTGACGGAGAAAGACTTTACTGATTCAAACAGATCGTAGAGCTCGCCGACCGTTCCTTTTTCTTTTCCCTTTACGCATGTTGCCCATATTCCTGGTCCTTCGATCGTTCGCTTTACCCAGGTGGGTGATACCCCGTCCTGTTGAAAGTCTATCGGTATCATGCTGCGAGATCCGGAGGGTTTGTTGATTGTACTCACTGATCGGTACTTGCGTTTGCGACCATTAGAAGGGCCGCTTTGTGCTTCAGCCATTTCTTTGGATGGAAATCCAGAAATTCGTTCGAGATGCTGAGATTTCGGAACCGTTTCTGACGTGCCTGGCAGTCTGAGTGAAAGGTCACGTTCAGGTACCGCGCGCCTGATGAAGACAAACATATGCTCCGCTTCCGCATGGTCCTGTAGACATTTGCAGACAGCCAATTACAGGTTATATATTATACATAATGAAGCGAGTCTGATATAATAAGCGTCCAACTCTGGACCCTTGCAAGACAACGGACTTCGACCTATAAATACTATGAGGCGTCGAGTGTCGTTTATTTTGAGCTACGATTCATCCTCCTCGTCCTCCTCGTCACCATCCTTTGCTTCACCACCAGTCCATTTACGTTCCCATAGCGGGGGAGGAGCGTCGGGGTGACGCTGTAGTAATGGATGATCAAGGGGGAGGGCACTTCTCGCTACCATTAGGCGCTGTTTGAAGATATCATGCTGTGACAAAAGCTCTGTGATGTAATCGATAGCTGTAGGGCAGGATTAAAATAAATACGAATCAAAAGCAGAGATGAGGTTTGAGGACTGACTCCTTGACAGCACAACATGTTCGCTTTTTGGACCGGCCCTGCCGTCGACCTTCTCACTGTCGTCGTTTGAAGCCTTCCCTTTGCACCGTCTTCTGCCAGCTTTCTTCCCGTTCGCTGCTTCTTCTTCTTCTTCCATTGCCTCAGCCAACATGGCTTCCCGTAGAGACGGGACGATGTCGCACAAAGCCTCATAACCCCTTCTTATATTAGCTCTGCGCTTCTGCTCCGATTGTATATGATTTGCTTTTTTCTGGGAGGGTGATAGGAGCGTCGATGCTCTACCAGCGTCACTCGCAAATTGTTGCGATGTAACTGATGACTGTCTCCGCCGTTTATTGGAGACATTGTGATCCAGTGGTGGGGATCGTTTATTCGACAAGACCGGTGCAGGAGTGGTATGGTGCGTAGAGAAGGATGTAGCTGAGGAAGACGGGTCGATAGGAGACTGACTCGATGATGAAGATGATGTGTTATCGAAAGCAAACGTTTTTGCTCTAGTTCTGGTGGAGACTGATAAAGGATCCGCAGTTCGTTGGAGAGGGGGTATGTGTGGGCGATTGCGGGAGGGCATGAGCTGGGAATGACCTGTGGTGGCGTCATTACCGTCTACGCGTCGTTCTCGACGAGTAGAATAGAGAAATGACAAAGAGTTTGGCTGTGACTGGGAATGACGGTGAACCGGCAGTTCCGTCGGAGACTCGCGAGATGAAGGAGAGCGAGCGAGTGGATAGCGCCATTTATCCGTATCGAGTGACATAAGGTCTTTGGTTGCTTGAGCCAAGGCCTCTCTTCCATGCGCTGGAGGCATATGCTCGTGTGAGACTTCTAGCTCCATGTTCCATGCCGCTGAAAAGTCGGTAGTGTCAAGTGACGAAAGGAATTTCTGGAAGGCATGTGCCTCAGTAGGTGTTAAAAGCGACATATGACTCTAGTCGTTGTTGAACGAGGGTGAGGACTTTAGGGAAGAACACTTTTGTACTTTGGCGAATTTAGTAGTTCGTACCAGATGATGAGAGTTGAATTTAAAACCATCGCAAAGCTGAATTTGCTGTTACGGCCAGTTCGGGATTCATGAGACAGGTGGCTGTGCTTCCCCATGGGATGTTGCCATTCTTGGTTCTGCGAAAAAAAACTATACTAATTGTGCACTGTACCTACCGGTAAGCAGATCCCTGACGCCCTTTTATGAATCACGCGCACGGCCTGTTATGAAGACGATGTAGCTATATGTAGTACTAGTCATACAACCTTGTTATATATGCATCGGTACAGTTTCGGAGACGATTGCAATGGAACTTAATGTTGCGGCAACGGGTAGTAAGTACTCGAGAGAGAGAATAAATCTGAAACAAAGGTACGAGGAAGGGGAGTACCAGAACGCAATGTCGATGGGAGGTTTATACTCGAATTCATGTCACTGTCTCATTGGTGCTTCAAGCTTGATGCTCGGCCGTAGTTGTCATGAAATGAGACATGTTGCGTGTCCTAGCCAAAACGAGTCCCGACCATCGCATAAACGTCTACAACATTTATCCGGGGAAGGTATAGCAAGTACTTACTGGAATACTTGACCTACATCAGTAGGATGCTACTAGGCTTGCTTAGCTTGAACTTTCCTGATAGTTCCGTTGCCACCGCGAGGGCTTCTGTTCCCCCACGTTCCGTTTCTTGTCATCGAGTGCGCGTTTGATAGGAAATGTGCTTACCAGGGAGATTTTGCCGACTCGGCTACACCCCGGCCCCTGGCGCAAGCGATGTAAAGCGATGACTAAATGTGCTAGAGCTCATCGCCGAAAACAACGAGCAGGAGTCTCGGGTGAGTGACCGGTATGAACTCGGTTATTATCATCTCGGATCTCGTTCTGCGGCGGCTGCCTTGGGGCCTTGATAGCATGGATAAGGAATGATTCATGATGTAAGTGGATTAGATAACCTTGGCTTAGGCTATTCGGGGTCGGCTTCGGTAGTCCGAGTCGGACTATACAAGGGCTATCGGCCATTGGCTGTCGTCGAGACTAACCATGATGACCACCACGTGTCTAGTCAACACAATAACCTCAAACCCGGACCGTACAAGAAATCCTTGTTTCACGGTTCAAGTCCAGAACGCAATTCCAGGGTCTTCATGATGCTATCTATATAAGGGCTTTGTGCGCCTGATTGATGGACTAGGACTTCTCATGCCAATCAGATAGCGATAACAACCCTTCAAGTCGAGAAACACTAGAAAGCAGCCCTCATCAATGAGTGGGGAAGCAGAGCTAAGAGTGACCTTTTTCCCTCCGCTCTATCTTCAGAGAAGAATATGGGTGCTAGACATTCTTCGCCGCGAGCAGGTCACCGAGGTCAGTCAGTCGTCACTCTCGAATCGTCGAGTAATCAATCTCATCTCCTACCAAGATCGTAGACATCGGGTGCGGGGAGGGTCAGCTACTCGCAGTTCTCTGCCAACCTGCACTTTGTCTTCCCCCTCCCGACCCTGGCGTATTGGCATATCCTAGCGATGCGACTTCAACCACACCCGAACCAGGTGATCTCGACCTCCACCCGACGCGCATCACCGGCCTCGATATCTCATCTCACGCACTTGCATCCGCGATCGAAGGTACTTCCCCCGCTGCCGCAAACGCATCATACACGCGATGGGAACCACTCGGAGTAAACATTTGGCACGGCGGGCTCGAGATCTTCAACCCACACTTTGTCAATGCAGAATGTATCGTCGCAACAGAGGTGTATGTCTATTCTATTCTGTGCTATCATCGTTTTTTTTCCTCTAAGACATTCACCTCAAGAGTTGAACACCTCCCAGAAGCAATTCTCACCGATTTCGCGCCCATGATCTTGGGCGTGTACCACCCTCGCTTGCTTCTCGTCACAACCCCATCTTATGGGTTTAACGCGCGTTTCAGCCCACCTGGCTTGACGAACACCGCCACTGGCTTCCCCGATCCTACGAAACGCACAGACAGGGTGTTCAGGCACCACGACCACAAATTCGAATGGACCGTCGAAGAGTTCCAGGAGTGGTGCGCAGGCATCGCGCAGGAATGGGGATACGATGTGGATACGACGACTATTGGCCGTGCACAGGAGAAAGATAAGTGGGGCCGGGATGAAGAGCTAGGAGGTGCAAGCCAGGTTGCTGCCTTTAAACGTCTTGAAGGCGAAGCTTGGACTACGATACGTGACGAAAAGAGCACCCAGATGAAAGAAAGGTCAAAAAACCAACAAAACCATCGTCTATTGAAAACACACCACTACGATGCGCATGTTCGCGCAGGAAAACGAGGGTCAGCCGAGGAGATCGCCAAGGCTGTATCGGACAAGTTCGAAGAATGGGACGAGGGTGAGCTGCGATTAGAGGAAATCTGGTTTATAGAGGAGATCGGAGCGATGTGTGGCGGGTGGTTCGAAGTTCTTATCGAGGCTATCGAGACAAGTGCGAAGTTTGATCTCCAAAGAAGCAAGGGCCAGAGAAGGGGAGATTGGCGGGTGTTGCTAGTCGGAGGCAGGCCTGGGAAGAAGAAGAGGACATCAGAGTGGGCTCCAGAAGAACCGGCGGATGATTTGTTTGAGGAAGTCCTGCAATCGGAAGGATATCGTTCTGATGACGACCCGGGATTCGACTGGGGAAGTGGTCTGTATTCTTCAGACTCTGGCGTTGATCTTCTGTGGGACACGAGCAAAGACGGGAATGCATGGGGGAAGGAGTCTGCTTGGACGGGCGAGTCTTGTGAAGACGAGTAGGAGCAGGTGTAACTCTTTGTCTGCAGCTTAGCATCATGATAGACCAGAATGAGCCCGGGACACAAGACAAGTGTAATTCATTGGTAATAAATGCAGATCGGTTTGCCTAAGAGCATCTTCCGTTCCTCAACCTTTCGATTCAGCACACAGCTTTCCTGCGCTGACACAGTAGGAAAATCTAGGATATTGGTCGAAGCATTGTAAATGCCAGGACATAGTATATGGCAAATGATTCGAATAAATACTACGACGGAAATATTGCCCAGACCCACTACACATGTCTCATCGACATCTACATCAAATATTTTAATCATGATACATAAATACTGCAACGAGGCTTGGAGTGGAGACAAAACTGCGACACAAACTTCCCTGCTTCCTACAGAGCACCAGACGACTATTGACCTCTCGTGTGTCACACGCTTACTGCTAGTCGATACATGCACGCGCTCCTGGAAAGCGATCTGAGGTCATACCAGATGCTGCGTCGGAGTTGGCCACGACCTTAGCGTGGTATTCTCGAATGCCAAGGATCAGGCGTGGTCCCAGCACAAACACCTGCACGACTGCGAAAATCTCAAGTAAGCCAGTAAGAGTCTGAGTTCCTAAGGAATATGGGTACTATAAAAATGATGAATCATGGTCGCATGCTGAGGTAAGGGAAAGATTGACATACCGCTAAGATTGTTGGAGATACGTTAGAAACGAGGTTGAAGCAAGAAACAGCAACAAAACTACCACGTCCGATCCTTTAGCGAAAAAGGGAACCACGATCACAATATGAGCTTACATCGCAAAGTATGCCATGTGAGTTTTGATCAACACCGAGAAACAGTCCCCGATAATCCCTCCTGCCGAATAACGTCGCAGCTCATGAAAGCGTTTTACAGCAATCCAAACTGCGAGACATAATGCGAGGACCTCCCACACAGTTCCGAGTATCCAAGTAATGACAATCAGAAGTGTGACATCTTCCGGAAAGTTTATCTGGCACATATAAGCACCGGAGAGAATATATTCCTCTGGTATTCATCAATGAGCCCCATGCACGTTTGTTTTCATCCACAATCAAGCTTACCCCCTGAAGCATGCATCGTTATCATTATGGCGACCAATACGCTGAAAATCTTGATAGCCAGGAAGGTGGCAATGAGAAATATCAGGATCTTTCTGGATCCTTGATACATGGCATGCAACCGAGTGATAATGATGACTTGCAACATGTTTCAGTCAAGTCAGTATCACTGAGGTCTCGCAAATGCCGAGCTCACCCCACAGCATCACAAATACCAAAACATTCGTCCAATTATGTACGAGGTACATAATACGGCCTGATGAATGCAGTCAGTAACCAGCCTCGGGTAGCACACACTCCGAACAGACTTACATCTGTGGCAGTATAGCGTGGCGGTCATTAGTGAACCAGCAAGTTAGTAAACAAATGCACCCACTGCTACAGGGCAACGCGGTTAATCGGAGGAGAATAGTGGCATGTGTACAGAAGACTCACTGTATCTGTCAGCGAGATGGTCGGGAGACTGTCTGTATGCTGTTTGTCAGAAGAAACAAAGACAGTGAATAATGAGAAGACACACAAAGTATCATCAGGCTGAGTATTAGAGATAAATGATCAGCACGACATCGACTGTTTAGCCTTCGGAACATACGCAAATAAGATTCCGAGGTAGCGCACCTAGGATACTTTCAAGTCAGCACAGCATGGCAATCACGACAAACAAGATACATACGCCGAGATACAGAAACGTCATCAGAGACCAACGTTGCCTCTGTAATCGAGTGTACTTTCATGTGTGTTCCCTTGACATGAGACTCTACTCACCCAGAACAATTCGACCTATAAAAACATTGTTAGCGAGATGGCTGTTTCAGTCATAGCATCGACATACCTCTTGTCCAAACGTAAGGGCTGAAAATACTTGTAAGATATCAGCACTCCCTTAATAGTATCACGCTCACCCCAGTCATACGTCACTACAACAAAGCCTACAACTACGAAAATCCTAGATTGTGTCAGTTTTAATATTTGACTGCTCTCCACGAACCTCCAAAATAGCTAGAAAACCGAACTGCTTCGATGACCGGCCACCAAGAGGGATCATTTGAGACTATGGTCATATTGGGAGAGAATGTTTGTGAGTGAGAGGCAAAATTGGTTGACATTACCATGACATTCGTGCTAGTTATACCACCACCCAGCGCTTAATCACCGACACAATACCGATGGATGATGACCATTCTTGTTTTAATCGACCGAAGTAGGTATCCTGGTATGACAAGGTAAATCAATCCAGTGGCTCGTAGTAGATGTTGATCGTTATACGTTTGCACAAAAGAAACACTCGAATACCGCAAAAGATTGACCGACATCAAGAACTGTCCGTGGTCTTGTCACCTAATTTCCAATGTTGTTATCGAAATGTTTTCGCCGCACGCGCATCAGTCCATGAATGCAACCAAGGACTACTTCATCAGTTTGATGCATACCGATCATCGTGAGACTGTCGAAAAGACTGTCATCTCCACTCTCTTCGGCTCGCCAGCACAGGCCCGGGGAGCAGATGATCATGATGATAGTTCATCCAAGGTCACTCAACTTTGAAATGCACATTACATCAGCAACACTGGACCATAAGAGTCAGCAGGGAGATCCGGCTATTGACTGTCGTATCATCAGGATGGTAGGGATGGTGAGCGAAGCGGATTTGATTTTCATCGTGGAGTTGGTGCCATGGTGAGAGGTTTCACGAGAGACGTCCTCGTTGAGTTCTGTGATGGATGTATGTAATTTGTATGATGAAAATACAACTTGAACATAAACCCTAGATCAAGAGAGCGTTGAGAGAGAACATGAGAGAAAATAATTATATTGGGTGCATAATTTGAAGGCGGCGACATTCTGTTGGCACACAAAATTTGAGCTTGAACTTTCAATTCAAGTAGTCAAAAGAATAACTCACTGTGTCATACAGCTGCCAATGCAGTCGGCGTCACTGTGCGGTTGATGTCAATATTAATCTAAGTCTTCCATTGACTCTGGAAAATACTTTTCGCAGTGTGATAGCGCGGGACTTGCTATATTGCCACCGGAATAGCGTGCCCACTACGCTACACTCGACTACCACAGGCTATGGCAGGATACAGTTAACATGATCCCAACCTCCCTACGATAGCCTCTCCATAGTACGTCATTTTCCAGATAACAACAACAACCAGGGCTCTGTCCACTGTCACCTTCAAACTACTCCGAGTCAACCTGAATGTCGTTCGTCAGACTAATTCTTCGACGCGTTCAATCCAAGCTGCCAGTATCATCACGCTGGTGGCCACCCTCAAACGCGTCCACTTTGCCTAGCGCACAATTACGCTGCACGGTTTCTAGGTGCTATTGAACTGCAATGTCTCATTCCGTCGTGCACCCTGGACCCGTTCGAAATTGTAAGTCACTCAAACTTCGTAATCTGAGCCTACTCTGAACTGATTACGATTACCGTCATGTAGACCTTAGATATCAATTTTAAGACCCAATACAGCGGGCACATTGAGCCAAGTGCACGCAGTGCACAGCACATTATCTACAACCACCGTGCTTCCTAGTCAAGATGATTTCGAGCCAGAGTCTGAGCCTGATGTTGCCAAGACGCAGAATTTCGCTGGAGTGCCCGAGTCTCCTGTACTGCAACAACGAGGAAATGAACTATCAATGTGGACTGTACAATTCGTTTGCAGCCCCATAGTGTTTCGGGTACAACAAGAGGCAAGCCGCGAGTTGTCCCCAGGGACGAGAAGTAAGAGCCAATTGGAACTCGAACGTGCGCCCTAGCGTTCCGACAACGTCGCCTATGAGGATCTCTCACTCTCGACCTTGTTCAGTACACTGCTAGTACAGTAAGGTTATCCAGGATGTTGGTTGAAACATGGTCCATGTCAGCACCTATAGCACATTACTAGTGAATAAACATTACGACAAAAATATTGCCCAGGCCCACTAGTGTCTCATCGGAATCTTCGTATGAAACCAAATAATTAACATAGGTAATGCGAGGAGGGTTGGAATGGAGATAAAACACTGCTTCCTGCAGAGCACCAGACAACTATTGACCTCTCGTGTGTCATACGCTACTGCTAGTCGATACATGCACGCGCTCCTGGAAAGCGATCGAGGTCATAGCAGATGCTGCGTCGGAGTTGGCCACGACCTTAGCGTAGTATTCTCGAACGACAAGGATCAGGCGTGGTCCCAGCACAAACATCTGCACGACTGTCAAAATCTGAAGCAAGCCATAAAGAGCCCTAGTTTCTAAGGAATTTATGTCCTGTGGAAATGTTGAACCATGGTCGCATGCAGAGCTCAGGGAAAGATTGACATACCACTGAGATTGCTGGAGTTAAATCAAGAATGAGCTCGAAGCAAGAAACAGCAACAAAGCTACCACGTCCTATCCTTCAGCGAAAAAGGGAACCACGATCACAATACGAACATACCTCGCAAAGTATGCCATGTGAGTTTTGATCAACACTGAGAAACAGTCCCCGATGATCCCTCCTGCGGAATGACGTCGCAGTTCACGGAAGTGTTTTACAGCAATCCAGACTGCGAGACATAGTGCGAGGACCTCCCACACAGTTCCGAGTATCCAAGTAATGGAAACCAGAAGTAAGACATCTTTCTGATAGTTGATCTGGCACATATAAGTGCCGGAGAGAATATATTCATCTGAGATTCATCAGTGAGCCCCATCATCTGTTTTCATCCACAATCAAGCGTACCTGCTGAAGTATGCATTATTGTCATTATGAAGACCACTGCGTTGAAAATGTTGTCAACCAGGAAGGTGGCAATGAGAAATATCAGGATCTTTCTGGATCCTTGACACATGGCATGCAACCGAGTGATGATGATGACTTGCAGCATGGTTCAGATAAGTCAGTGTCACTGAGGTCTCGCAAATGCCGAGCTCACCCCACAGCATCGGAAATACCAAAACATTGATGCAATATCGTACGACGTACAGAATCCGACCTGATGAAAGCAATCAATGACCAGCCTCGGGTAGCACACACTCCAAACAGACTCACATCTGTGGCAGTATAGCGGAGCGGTCATTAGTGAACAAGCAAGTTAGTAAACAAATAAACCCACTGCTACAGGGCACCGCAGTTAATTGGAGGAGAATAGTAGCATGTGTACAGAAGACTCACTGTATCTGTCCACGAGATGGCCGGAAGATTGTCTGTATGCTATTAGTCAGAAGAAGAAAGGACAGTGAATAATGAGAAGACATACTAAGCATCATCAGGCTGAGTATGAGAGATAAACGATTAGCACGTCATCGCCTGTTTAGCCTTCGGAACATACGCAGCAAATAATATTCCGAGGTAGCGCACCTAGGATACTTTCAAGTCAGCACAGCATGGCAATCACGACAAACAAGACACATACGCCGAGATACAGAAATGTCATCAGAGACCAACGTTGCCTCTGTAATCGAGGTCACTTTCATGTATGATCCCTTGGCATGAGACTCTACTCACCCAGACCAATTCCACCTATAAGACCATTGTTAGCGAGATGGCTGCTTCAGTCATAGCATCGACATACCTCTTGTCCAAACATAAGGACTGAAAATACTTGTAAGATATCAGCACTCCCTTAATTTTATCACGCTCACCCCAGTCATACACCACGCCAACAAAGGCAGCAACTGCGAAAAAGTAGCCAAGGTTAGATTGTGTCAGCTTTGATATTTGACCTGCTCTCCACGAACATATAAAATAGCTAGAAAAACGATATGCATCGATGACCGGCCACCAAGAGGGATCATTTGAGACTGTGGTCATATTGGGAGAGAATGTGTGTGAGTGAGAGGCAAAATTGATTGACGTTACAATGGCATTCGTGCTAGTTATACCACCACCCAGCGCTTAGATCGCCAACACAATACCGAGGGATGACTACCGTTCTTGTTTTAATTGACCAAAGTAGATATTTTTGCATGAACATGAGGTTGGTGCTCATAGCAGATGTTGGTCGTGATACATTTGGAAGAGAGAAATACTTGAACACCGCAAAAGACTATTCGTGGTGTTGTCCGATGTCGTTATCGAGATGTGTTTGCTACAGGCGCATCAGTCCATCAATGCAACCAAGGACTACTTCGTCAGTTTGGTCAATGCTATTTCCAATGAAAACCGATCTAACACGTGCCACACTGAATCCATCATTGACGCCTTCCGTCGGCTCACGCTTTTGTATGGTAGCCCGGTGGGAATGTGGATTGGAATACCGTCTATAGGTCGCATGAATCAGCTAGTATAACGACGCCAGAGACAACACAAACGTGTCAGAACTCCGAACTGACGATCAAGACCGGAGAATGCACTGCGAGTAGATCTCGGAATGCACAGGTTGTGCAGGAACAGATGATGCTGTAGGGACAATTTGAAATTAATGAAAATAGAGCCATTGGAGACGACACACCACAGGAAGCCCTGCTTTTGTTCTGACGCTCATTATTAGTTGATGGCAAATTGATGCCCATTGTTCCAAAATGGACGGTAGCGACGTTTCTGCCTTGCTTCCTGCCTCTGGGGACTTGAGTCTGGGAGGAGAGCCTAGAGTTGGTGGCTGACGTAAATTTAATGCACCACGCTACCAGAGAATGGGTTGGCTTTTGTTTGCTCATTTTTCTCTTGCTGTCGCCTTTCTGAATCTGAACTTTTTTGGTACTCCACCCTCCCTCGTATCTCGTGCACTCCCGACCAGTCTTTTTCAATGAGTGAGGTGCCGATTCGGAGCCTGCCGGAGAATCAGCACCATATGTCCAACTGAGAGAGTGCCTCCGTACTCATCATTCCAAGTGTCATCGAATTATCATTAGAACCGCTACACTCGTTTAGTTTATCATCTCGTTGGCATTTTTCATTGCTAGTCGTTCTTTGCTATAATCTTAGCATTACATATCACACATCTCTCAGTATGACACACCAACACCTGAACCTTCAATTGCCGGGCCCTTCAGCCCTCCACGGCCAAGCCCAATTGTCACCAGTTCCTTCGGCTACCCAGGACCCACCCAAGTCCCCCGATGGATCGTTAGACACGACCCAGAGTGGGGTCCAAGCCAAAGTGGCAGCGACAAGACAATCTGCCAGGATCGCATGCATAGGCGCCAACGAGGGCACGGACCCATCTACACCTGGGACAATTCAACTCACACCCCTCCCAGGCGCCCCGGCTGCTAAGCAAGCATCCAAACAAGCGCCGAAGCAGGCAGCTAAGCAACCTGCATCAAAACAGCGGACCACAACTAACACGGGACCAGAACCAAGTCCTGGAGCGACACCCACTCAGCCATCGCCACACCAAGGATCAGAGATAGAGGTGCTGCGCGCACGTATTTTACAGCTCGAGCAGGAGTAAGCAAGCAAGGGTAGCAACACACCAGGACTAAACCCTGCGACACCAGCACCTGCACTATTTGTATCGCCAGAGGAAATAGAGAGAGCGAGAGCAGCCATCACCACAGCGAAGAGAGACGAATCTAAAATCACCCTGCCAGACATAATACCTGGATTCAGAGCCAATCCCTTGGATGCTGGTGAGTGTCCGTTCCTTCTCATACCTCCATTGGTTATTCTTTCTCTGTGCTCCACCTGGATGCGTCACAGTGTTCGTGGAAGCACTTAGTTTATTCATTTTACGTGTCGGAAATTTCCAGGCACCATTGTGATTCCTTGGTAGACATTTTAAGGACCAATTTTCACACATACTATTTTAATGTATTTGAATGACACACGATTATATTTCAAGACCTTATAATGGTTGCCACTATGCATTGTAAGGCACGTGAGGGGCGGACCTTGAAAGGCATTGTAAGGTATCATAATGCTGCCGGAAATCTTGAAACAAACAAAATATCATTTGAGTGTTCCACGTGATCTTTTAACATCTCGTACCACCTTGTTATTTGAGTACTCTACTTATCTCGCTATTGTAGTTATTACATTACTATCTAACTATCTAATCATGATATGTATTACATTACTATCTAATCCTAATCATTAACTTACTATCTAATCCATTATCTAGCTATCTAATCATTACAATTGTATTACTACTATTTTATTGTTGTAGGTAGGATTCGAACTCTAGACTTTAACCTTACTTAGTAAGGACCATAGTATTGAAGGGCATAGTTACCCCTTGGCCATAGGGCCAATACATAGTGAGGAACCCACATACCCATAACGACATTTTAAGAGCCTTATAAGGCAGCATAGCGGTGATAGTAAAGACAAGTCATTTGATGGCGAAGCTTCGAAGGCATCTCAACAACGACTTTTAGAATCTGTAGATGTCATTTAAATGAAACATGACCATGTATTTGAACCTAAATACATGAAAGGAGAACAAATAATGTGCTAAGATAACTGAAACAACAGTATGGGATATTGTCAGGAGAATCACTTTGTGTACTTCGTAGTTGCCTTCTTGCTGCGAGAACTGACGCGCTTAGCCTTTGGAGCTTCTGTAGGTGTGTCTTGGGCAGCTGCCTGTGCTGTAACACGGCCCTTACGACGAGCAGGTACTTGGGAGCCCGTTGTCAGTAGTGCAGGCGCTGCGGCGACAGAATCGGCAATGTTGTCTTCAGCATTAAGTGATAATCGATTGATGCCGAAATGCAGCTGTGTCGAAGCGGACGTAACATGCATCTGACTAACAGACATCTGAGTTGACGAAGTGAAGTTCATGGTTGTTGAGGTGGGATGGTCATCATGGACAACAGCAGAGGCGGGTGTCGGAGTGGAGACAGTGGAAAGGGCGGAAAGGGCAGGAGAAGGTGCACGCCGTGCACTAGAATGAGATGGTGAAGCATTGTGGGGGACCGATTCAATGTTGTCGAGTTCCTGTAGGAAATCATCCTCCCAAGTGCGAGGTGCAGCAGTAGGCACCACAGTAGATGCAGGCGCACTAGGCGCCACCGCAGTATTGAAGACTTCTTTGTTGAAGTACTCCATCACGCTAATCGCCCATGGTGTGCCTTTGAGTAGGCGTTCCAAGTAGAAATCGAAGTCTTTCTGGTAGTCGATTTTGGTCTCTGCCCCAACCGCAGTAAGTTCGGCGTCGTGTGTCAATAAGAAACGTGCCTGAACGAGTGAAAATCAGCAATGTAAGGTAAAGAACATATGATATACTCACCAAGATAGCTGCGCCTGCAATCATACCCTCTGAGACACTCTGTGCGCCCATGCGCAGACCTCTGCCTTTCGGATGCCCCCGGGTCTTTCCACCAAGTATTGCCTTCCCAAAGACTTCAACGCGGACAATCTAGAACAAGTAGAGTTAGGCACAGCTCATGTACATTGATCAGCGGTACTCACTTTGACGAGGACCATAGACTTGAGAAACTCGTCAGCTGCCATGGTGTTTGGCTTTGCAAATAATACAGGCGCCAGACGGATGAAGTCGCCCTTGCCATTCTTCTTCAGTAAGCCAAGGAGGTCTTTGTTATCTTGCTTCTTCGATGGTTTGTCAGGCAAAAAGACTGGGATCGAGCTTGAAAGAAGCGAAAATGACGCCTGCGCAGTCCTTGATGCTGTGCAGGATATTCGACCTCTCGGAGCTGACCGCAGCACGAAACTAATGATAACAAGTATCAGCATGGTCTGGGACTTCAAAGTAGAGTATGATGCACTTACTAAGGATGAAAACCGAGAGTACGTCTCCATTGATTGGTGCAAGTCTTTGGGTATGAACAAGTAAAGTTCGGCCATTGCGCCTTTGAGTTTTTCCTCGGGAGAAGTCCAGCGAGTAGCACTGCAGTGAATCAATACCAGGTTGAGGCGTTGTCGGGAACAGGCCATTTGCGACCCAGAAGTGACAGTACAACATGTATCGCTGACCTTGATGGCTGATACTGGAGTCTAGTGGAGATGTTTTCTTGAGCACGCGGTTGCGGCTACGAGCAGGAATCGCAGCAGATAGTGTAAGGTATTGTCTCTTGAGGACACGTAATTCGGATCGTGTTGTATTGTAGGCTTGCTGGGCTATTGCGAGAGCCTACATATGTTATAACATATCAGATGACATACTTTGCCAGCATTGCGAGTGTGCTTACCTTTCGAACTTCGTGCATTTGGGCATCGGCACCAGGGACTGCCAGGACCAACCTCAACTGGTCAAGGTCACTCCCGGATTGGTCACTGTCTGATCCGTCAGAGCCATCGGACTCGTCTGACATGACAGCATTGATTTCAGCTTCGAAATCTTCACCATCATCTGGTCCAGGTCTGTGGTTGCGCGGCATGGCAATGACAGTCTGTAGCTCCGAAACTAGGTAGAAGGAAGGTATCTAGTGTTAGCGGACAGGACACAATGACAAGACGAACAATTACCCTATATAAATGTCGTCCCAAGGGAGCCGACAGCCTCAATAACTCGCATGCAGGGCAATTACGTCGCTAAAAACATGTTAGCCGCATTGCAGTATGCATGAAAACTTGCCGAGGTATCTGTACACTAATGAGTGCAAACAGCGTGTAATAGGGCAGGCCTCACCTTACAAATGAATGGCGCCCTAACCATAGGAGGAGAGTCTGGTGACATTATTATGTTAGATGGCGGCTCGTGAGAGCCACAATCAGATTGTTTATGTAGTGAAGAGAAAACATTTTACTTACCAAGTTTTTTGCACGAGTTGAGCAATGACGGCAGACAGTACTGTTACAATATAGGAAAGAGTCAGTGAGTAGAAAGAGACTTACTGGTCCAAGTTTTTTGCACGAGTTGAGCAATGACGGCAAAGCCTACTGGTACAATGTAAGAAAGAGTAAGAAAGTAGATTGGGGGGGGCTTACCGGTCCAAGTTTTTTGCACGAGTTGAGCAATTGCGGCAGAAAGTACTGTTACAATGTAAGAAAGAGTCAGTGAGTAGAAAGAGACTTACAGGTCCAAGTTTTTTGCACGAGTTGGGCAATGACGGCAAAGCCTACTGGTACAATATAAGAAAGAGTTAGGGAGTGGGTTCAGAAAGAGCTTACCGGTTCACGTTTTTGCACGAGTTGAACAGCAGTCTTCCTCCCAGGATGGTGATGTGCTGTATGAGTGACTGTGGCTGTTCTGTGCCGAACTGGAAGGTGGATGATGTTGGGCTATAGGCGGGAGAAGCAGGAGCTACAAAAAGGTCAGTGATAGTTGAGTTAGCAGCCGGGCAGAGAATCTTACAGTATGTGAGTGATACATAGTGGGATTTGGGGTCAACTGGTGCGGAAATACGAGCTGGGAAGTATATGGGAGAATACTTTGGTGAGGATGGGAACATTTGCGCAGGTGCTAGAGTAGGATAGCGGGGTGGAAGGAAGGTCTGGTGGGAGAATACTTTGGTGAGGATGGGGACATTTGCGCAGGTGCTGGAGTAGGATAGTAGGGTGGAAGGAAGGTCTGGTGGGAGAATACTTTGGTGAGGATGGGGACATTTGCGCAGGTGCTGGAGTAGGATAGCGGGGTGGAAGGAAGGTCTGGTGGGAGGCTACTGCAGTGACATGGAAGAGAATGATGGAGACTGCGGACTGTAGCGCAGCAATGTGAGAAAGAATGACAGAGAATGGGGAGAATAGACTCACATTTACCGTACCCGGGCCCTCATTCGAAGAAACATATCACTATCAAGGTGGTCAACAACGAGGTGTTCATCTTGATGATCAGCGTCGGGGACCAAAACAGCGCCTCGAATGAAAGAACTGAGTGGGATGAATATTGAAGACGCCCTAGGGAGGGCCTTCACACGAGTGAGCTTGAAGAAACGGTCCATTCTGCGAGAACCATTGATTCTCGCAGTGTAAGGCTGAACGAGTGCAAAGTCGAAGGACCCAAGGTTCAAGATAGAGCATCTAAATAAGAGTATCAGTCGAACAAAGATCGTTTCATCTGCTGTAAGCTGTATAAGGGCATGGTTGAACCGCGGCAACCCGTGGAATTGCGGGTTGCACCGGAGGTGATCAGTGGTTTGCTTCCAGTCAACCATTGACTCGTAATTGACCTTGAGATAGCGGTATTCATGAATCTGCGTAGTAAATCAATAAGAAACTGGATTTAAAGATACTGGATACATACCTGATAATCAGCTGGAAATGTAATCCAGTTCGTTAGTTGATGCCCATAGGTAGGCAGAGAGGTGTTGATAAATTCAGTAAACTTCCTCCGAAAAGCTTGAAATGAGCGATCCACTGCACTGCGGTTCTCAAGATCAAGGATTGACGAAGGATTCTGTGTGGGTGCACCTAGCTTCACGTGACCACTGAAGGCAACAGCAACGTCGTCTTCGTCAGGAAGATTATTTCCAAGTGCTTGCAACCGGTTGCGTTCGTCAACCGCGTCAACACGTTCCCTCAAGAGCATCAGGGCAAATTTGTGGTGGTCGACACGAAGGATCTAAGAAAAACATCAGTTCAATTTGAAATCAGTAACAAGAAACTGCAGACTTACCTGCCCGGCAACATCCTTTCCGTTTGTTCGATGGTGGTAGGTGTCCTTGAGGGGGCCATGCAGCTTTTCGTTGGGACGTGTACTGTAATTACGCGCTGCTCCTTTGCGTCGGATATCGCGAACAACGTGCTTCCATAAGTGAGTCTTTGGAAAATTCCAGTCGACCTTCAATTTCTCGATGTCGGATGATTCGGCGCATGTAATATAGGCCTAAAACGAATGTGTGAATATGAATAGGTAGATATGAAGTGACAAGGAAGCACTTCACCTTGAGTTCCGTATCAAAAATCAGGAGTTCGGCTTCGATTGCCGCAAGTGTGCCCTCAGTATGTACATCGAGGCCGATCAAACTATCCAGCTGGAGATAAGTGCTGATGACACGAAGTAGCTGGTGGCCCTCTGGGGAGGTTCTGGGGGTCAGAAGATTCAAACATGCATATAAGGTTTGCTTCAAGATAATAAGTGACATATATGATCGCAAAACAGCTGAAAAGACTCACTTTAGATAGGTCCTGGAATTTGTTTCCATCGGAAAACGAGATATTGATAGCAGATTTGAAGTGGTTGAGGTTACGCCATCGAGGGAAGTCATCAATCCTGCAAAATGACTCAGATTGTGAAAAGGCTTAGTATCAATGACTTACAGCTTCTCAAATGCTGCCTCGGCTTCGCGTCCAAGCGATGCGAGGATTTTCTTCAGTTCACCAAGAAAGTGCTTCCAAAGGCCGCCATGCAGTGAGTGTAATCGATCGAAGCTGAGCGCATCATGTGGATCCGAATACCATATGATCCAAAAGATATTCTAACGAGCGTGTTCTTAATATCAGCAAGTTTGAATCATGCAAAAAAGTCCACCATACCTCAACAGGCCGCAATCCAAGAGCTTTCAGTAGCTCCTCACCTTGAGCTTTGCTGCGCTTATAGACACGAAGCGCTTCCATTGCTTCTTCAACGGATCTAATGGCGTAGGTCTTCGATAGGTCGTGGAGCTTCTGCTAATGGTACCAAGCACACGGGGCAAGGGCACTTGCCGTTGCGGCCACGTATGAGCGACATCATGCACCTTCTCAATGGGTAAGGGAAGTTGGACAGGATGAGTAGGACTGGAAGGACTTACTGTTCTTCGTAGTCAGCTGAAAGAATTAATATGACGGGAAATAGCCATCGCAAAATGTCGTTGTGGCTCTTGTGCGAATAGCCGGTCTTCGAGTACTGTGCGGCATGTTCCAGGAGTTTCTTGAATGATTCATGCCACACAACGCGTTTCAGCGTTGTATAGCCTAGCTTGCCTTCTTCACCTGCATCCTCAGGAACCTGCAATGTAATGCAAATTGAGTTAATATTTAAAAACAAACGACTCATGATAGGCAGCCATCCGACAACACGGCCACCACCAAACGCCTCACCATTCCGAATATGCGTAGGTAAGTTCGCGCATCGTACCACGACTGGGTAGCCTTTGACGGTACCAAAGGATGATAACTTTGTCTTGTCAGCATACAAAATGAAACAAAACGGGACAGCGCCGTCGACATCAGGAAGAGAAGACTGATGTTTTTCACAACGATAGAAACAACAATATACAACAGGCGTGAATTTATATGTTTGACAGTGTAAAACAACTAGTACATACTTGAATATCCCACCACCTATCTCCAGTCCACGGTTCGTTGAAGAAACGCTCGAACTGCGCGCCATTGTGTTTGTAAACACGACACGCGTCCCAGACAAAGTGAGGTGCAAGCAATGGGTTATCCAATAAATCAAGTGCCCAGTCCCAGATAGGCCGGGCATGAACTTCATACACTTGCTCATTCTTCTTGTATGTCACAGCAACGTCGTGTTTTGAGAACTATTTAGGTAGTGAGCTAAAGTGTTGAGCAATATAATCATGTGAGAGGGTAAGGCTGAGACGTACTGGTGTTAATTCAGCTGCGGCATTATCCCATGCCTTTGAGAGATCGGATTCGTTCTTCAAAGTGATCTGGGCATGGCCTTCAGATATCCGCGTGATGAGATTGAGGAGTGCGTTGATTTGAGACTTATTAAGGGCAGCTTCGATTGCGATCTCGGAAAATTCGAAGTCCCCACGCGATCTGAAAGGACGCCATGGTTCCTTGTCAACAATAGGTGCATCCTGCGCCTCTGGGGAGATGCCGAATTGATCAAAAGGTTGGAAGAGCGTCTGGCGACCAGAGCGAGGATGGTACTCAGTTTTGAACTCGCTAGGGAGCTGAGCAGATGCTGCAGGCACCGGGTTAATAGTGGCCATGCTTGCATCAGATAATACTGTACAAAATAAGTCAGCCTCCGAATCAACAACGCTTATGAAGTCAAAACGCTTACCAGGGCTCGTAATTCCCACATTGCTGTCAAAATCAAGTTGCTCCTCAGGCGCAGGCAATGCATCGCGGTCGTCAGCGTGAGCATCACCTGCATCAGACTTAGATTCAGAAATGCTGGCTAGATTTGATGGGCCAGCCTTGCTGATGTCGAGTCTAAGGGCCCCGCGAGCCTTTTGTGCTGAAAGTAAATTCAAACACAATCAGTTGAACGATCATGATATCAATGATGGCACACAATTGGGCGACTCACCTTTTTGTTGCCCTCTCTCATACTCTTGATTGAACCGTTGTTGTTCCTTTTCAGTTTCCAGGAGCTTCTTGCAGCTGGTCTCGTGTTTCTTGATGCCTTGCGCCTTGAATTTCATGCCGCAGTAAGTACATTTAATCTGTCCTGTTAGCGTCCCTTCAGAATAGTTATACTTTCCTCGTCGAGCAGATCGAGTTGGAGCCATCGGATCCAGGAGGTACAGGTATGAACAAAATATAATATAGATGGATTTGTTATTTATAACACATGTAGAGGCTGCCAACCGATGGTGGATATGATGGTGGACTTGGAGGGAAGGACGATATCAATTCAAGGTCAGTCAGGATTCTATTAATAATAATTAATAATTATAATGGAGCCTCGCACGATTGAGATGCCTACAGGTGCCTTAAAAGATGCCTTTTAAGGTGCCTTTTAAGGCACTTGACGAGTGTTGTAAGCTGGCACCATTATAATGGTACTTAATTTTTTTCCGACACATTAGTAATATTTTGGTACACCTTTAATTATGACGTAGTATGTCAACATTCCAGATAATCTCATGAAATCAGTATATTATATATGAATGCGCGTACATGTACCTAACTCGTAGATGGATTATCAAAAAACATATCGAAAGCACAGTATCCACCAAAACATAGCATACACAACGTCCACCCCATCAATCATACTGCCGCATAGTCGCCTCCAGAGCATCCGCATCCACATCAAAAGACACATCAAACGACGAATCCGCCACACCAAGCGTATCCTCCTCACCACCACCGTCATCATCGTTGCCATCGTCCTTGACCAGCTCAGGCGTCGAAGTCGGCGGGCTTTCAGGTGTTTGGACGACTTGCTTTGGGGCGGGAACGGCTTTTGAGTTGGGTTTCTTGAGCAGCGGAGGCTTGAAAGGCGGAATTGTCACTGGCTTTTGTCCCTTTGCTTGCGAAGCCGCATAGGGCGACTGTATGGTGGCGTAGCGGGATTGCGACGAAGGAAACCCGGGATTTGGGAGGTTGTGTTGCCGGCGCATCCCCAGCGGCGGCGGACCTCGTTGAGTTGTCGAAGGTGCCACAACAGGGTGCACATGTCTCGACTGGGGTATCTTCTCTGGAACTGGTATAGATGCGGAGGTGGATGCGGCTGTGAGAGCTTTGGAACAAAGCATGAATCCAGAGTTCGAGGTCGAAGCCGTAGGACTAGTGTCCATAACGATACTGGGGGTCCTCCCCACCGCCCGCTTGGGAGGTGGTAGGACGTCATCCACGTGCATCGAGAAAGACTCGTCTGGAGCCAAGTCACATACAGAATCGGTGAAAATGCTTCCCTCGGGATCCGTATCACGATCCGAGTCCAACGTCATCTGAATGTCCCCGCAGGTACCACTGTCTCTAGAAAGTTTGACTGTAGGCTTAATAGTCGCAGAGCTCAACGATCTACTGAGTACGCTTCCTCGCGGAGGTGCAGAAGAAGCAGCCGGGATACTAGCCGTCTTCTTCAAAGGCCTTGCAGCGAATGTAGACTTCGACCCAGACGAAGATGCATGGGTATTTCTCTGGGTCGCGATATTTCTCAGCGTACCACTCGCCGCCTCCTTTTCTGCCTTTGCCTTCGCAGCTTGCTTTCGCCTCGAATTCTCGTCCATCTCCGCAGTGCCATTGCGTATTATATGAAGATATCCAGCAGCCAGCTTTGGATCGGAAGAAACGCCATCTTTCACGGGTGCAGTCGCTGAATAAGCGCGCGATGGGGGTACTTTCTTTGAGATGAGTTTCATCGGATGTAGTTTTCTTGATGAGTTAGACGCAAACGTAGATGGAAGGACGCTCGTCGACGGCGTGGATAAAACGGGGAGGGATGCCGTGCGGTAAGGGATAGACGTGCTGGTGCTTGATGCCCATGTGGACGTGTGCGCAGACGCATCCAAACGGACTGCAAAGGCAAGTCAAAAAACACCTCGAATGTTTCGTGCGAGAAAGAGCACGCACGTTTCTGGTCCCGCTTTCCTTCCTTTTTGCTCTCTGCGCTGTGCATGAGTTCTCGGATGAGGGGGTCGGGTTGGGAATGTTTCCATGTGACGTAGCCGACATCGTCATCGATGCTCGTGTTAGCAGATGAAGGCCGAGTACTGGCGCGCGCCCATTGGGATGAGGAAGAGAATTGGGAAGGGGATGGCCCCACGACGTCCCAGTCCATTGCAGAGCGTCGTCAACAAATGTGGTGAGAGAGAAAAGACAGGCTTTATATGTTGGATCACGATGTCAGTTGAAATGGATTGAAAGAGACAGACAATGAGAATTCAGTGGCCCCACTGCGCAATCGAGCGATGTTGTCTTTTCCAGTTACCGAGTGTTTTCAACCAGACCTGATCCCAAGCTGCTGCAAGCTCAGAATGAGTACTAGTCGATCGTTCTCTGATACCCGTTCTCACCGTATTCAGGGTGCAGAAAAGCGCCTGGTCCAAATCAGGAAAGAGTAAACTTCTTGTAGACCCTTGTTTGTTCGTTTCGTCTCTTTCATTCATTCATTTTGCCTTTGATTGCCTTCAAGCTAAGGTTCACGGGACAAAGCACGAAGCTCTGTAGCTCCAGATGTCCTTGATCTGCACGTGCCGGCGCATCAGCTAAAATTTAGCCGCCACTCTATACTTGGTCGCCCTGAGAGCTAAGATTATCTTCCGTGTGTTGCCCTGCCCATTTTAACCTATGTAGTACCCCTGAGAGAATGCACCTGACCGTCATCTAGATTTCACAGCTTTTTGAAGTGCCTGAACAGGCGAGAATATGATTTGAAGTTTGGATATGCTCCCGTTATCCTGTCATATTAATATGAATATGTCAATGGCTATCATAATAATGTCAGGCAACTCAGTGGCGCTGTGTTGATACCGCGTCTCACACGTCGTTGGTAGTATTGATGAAAGAAAAATGCAACCGGGTGATACAAATTACAACTACAACAAGTCATCAACGCTGTTAAGTACAGGACCAAAATCATATTTGGCCGTACAACGCTCGCACCGCATTATGAATAAGATATGATCATCAAAAGGAATAAGCCTGTTCTTCGTGAAAGTATCGCCAATAGGCAGGGAGAAGATGTGCGATAGAAAACCATAGCTATAACGTCATTGATCAGGAAAGACGCACGCCAGTCAGACGACGTCACTTACACTATACAATTTACAAGACATTCGGGCCGCTTGGGATGTGTTGCAGGTCATGAATCTGAGCCCCACCATCGCTGCATATCCTGTGAATGCAAGCGTGCAGAGTGTGTTCACTCCCCAAACACAAGACAGGCAGATGGACCAGAGAGGAAGGGCGACCAGCATAGTTGCCCGCGCTATATTGGGGAATGCTATCGGTAACGTTCGTCTGCCTATAAGACGGTCCCCTTCTACGTCTTTGAAATCCTGAGCGTGCAATGTGCTGGTGAAGACAGCAAGGCTTAGGATAATGGCTGAAATTGCGGTCGGTTCTAATCGCGACATATCTTTGCCTGGAATTAGATTTAGCGAAGCATTCATTGGGAGATAGGATGCTTGGCAACGAACCTGCGATAAGAGTGGAACCAATTTCAAAGCAAGCGTAACCCACTGCCGTTATAAAATTCTTCGATATCCAATGCTCGTGGGCTTTGAGCTCGTTATAGAAAATTATAAACAGCGTCAAGACAAAGCTTAAGGCAAAGACTTGGAAGCTGTAGCATGCGGAAGTGAGGAGACATATGGGAATAAGAGCCCAACGTAGGCGAATGGCATGCTCCAGACTTATTAGCCCAGCAGGTAACGGACGGGAAGACTTGTTCTTCCCGTCTTCCTGAGGGTCGATTACTTGATTGGCGACATTAAAGTGGAGTAGATGGAGCCATATCCAGAAAACGAGATGAAAAAAACGTTGAAAATTGCAGAGTGGCCCAGCCACGACTGCGAACAGAGACTGATATGGTCAGTGTAAGGTCAGAGCAGGACGAGATAGCACACACAATGGGAATGATGGTGGTCGTGATGTCGTCGCTGGTGAATGAATACAAAATTTGAAGGTAAAGCATTCCGAATGGCGAGGGGATGAACAAGGCCCTGGCCTCCCACTGGTCTCTGATAACTGTTGAGTGGGTGGACGGGCCGGTATAAATACCTTCAGACTGGGTTGTAATATCTTGTAATCTGAATGATGAAAAGTTGTTTGATCGACATCATGTTAACGTTTCGAAAGCCCGACCCGATTCCACCGATCGGTTGATGGTTTCATAAAACGACAGATTCCGTGGGCATGAGGCACAAGGGCGGATGTAGGTGTAGGCGGTTGTTGGGGGACCAAGGAATTTGTGGGAGTGACATATGGAGATACTCACCCACTTGTGTATTTACATAGCCTCGTCTTAAAAACAGAACTGAGCTAGTATGATGATACTAGTAGTAGAACAGGTTTCATGATATGGAGCCTCATCTTCGGCGGAAGGAGGATTGAGAGGCCATAGCTGCTTAAAGTTGAGCTCGCGACGAAGCTTCTTGATCAATTTCCGAGAAATCTGATAGAATGCGAGATGAGTAGCGAAATCGCAAATATTTGCAAGATGATAGGCACGTACGATAGAACTGCTCCCGCTACCAGAAGGAAGCGATTATTTCCAAATAAGGTCTGCATCCGAAACATCTATCCTTCTTTGGTTGGCGACCCTTCTAACCGGGGCTGAGCGACTGACTGACCATTTCACCAACGAAGCGTTTTTGACCTTTGCGCCAGCTCACTGTCATCGATTGCTCGCGCTTCATGGTCGCCTATGAAAAAGCAGTGTGTGTGATGCAAGAACGGTTCAGTGAAGATCAGTGTTAAGCGGATTGGCTTATAGAATATCCTGGCGTATAATAACCCGTGACACGCTTCCTCTTAGGGGCCAACCTCCAATCATGTAACTTTTGCCTCGTGTTCCGGGACCGATCAGGGCGAAATCAGGGTCGATTCTCATGTGTGCATAAGGGATTGTCTGCGAGAAGAGTTGATAACTTGTAAGTGTATACGCCGTGCGCGACGTCGCATCAAAACTCGAAATTCATCAAAATATATGGGGGACAAGACATACCTCTTGAGCGTACGACCCTCTTAATCCCGGAACGTAGACAGTCTCGAAGCCGAGTTCGAGTCTAGCCCAACAATAAGCTTCTATTTGTCAGTCTGCCTAGGGATGCCAGCTCACCACCTAATCCAAGTTCGGCCATGAGCTTCTTATTCCCCAAGGTGCTCGATAATGCTTCGATTTCGAGGCCTCTATTTTTGTTCATTCTAGATGCCAGCGCTATTCATGTGTCACATCACTGGGACTATCATGTCGACCTACCTCCTCGTAATGTTGGACTCGTGTGTCCCAGTACCCCGCTGGTACTAGCTTTTCCCCCTCCGAATCATGATCGATGAGGTTTGTGTCAGCTAGTGAAGCACGTAACACGACCAGAGCACCTACGATGCCATCATAGGTCCGACCGCGCCACATCTCGGCAACGCTCAACCTGGGCCTTGTCGTTCTTCTCGGCCAACCACAATGCAACCGAGCAGGTTTACATGGCGCACTCAGACTTGTCTTTCCGCAGTTTCTTATCGGCCAACCACAATGTCACCAAGGTTGTACTACTCGGCGTGCACCCACATGCACATGTAGGTCCCTGTTACAATCTCTCAAACGTCAAACTTTTATCCGACGAAATCTACATCAAAAGTTTCAACCGAAAACGTTAAACGTTCAACGTTTAGCTGCTAATAGTAACAACATTATAAACGAATGACAACAGAGCCTGTAGCTCAACCAAATGTCCAAAACACACCCGTAGTTGAAGCACACAAAACAATAGAGCTCCAAACCAGATATATAGTTGTAGCTATAAATGAATGAGCAATAGGGGAAAAAAAAAAGACAAACAAAAGTCAGGTATTCCACACAACAAGCGCTGTCTGTCCGTTTCTATTATCATGTCCATGGGTCATATCCGCTGTCCACTGCTATGCTGCACCGCCCCGTCTGAATTATAAGGATCGAAATCTGCTCCCTCTCTCCCATACGCATCCCGATATGGCGAATGCAGATTCGCGCTACTCGCATTCCACGACTGGCTGGAATTATCCTGTTGCAACGGCACAAATGCACTCGAGTCAGAATGACGTGCTCGATCATCCGTGGCTCTTCCGCGGGACGCGCCACCACCATACGCATCGCCTGTGGCTCTCATGGCGTACGCGGCCGCAGGGTGCTGGCGACTGGTGGCGCGCCGACGGCGAGCCACAAAAATACCAAAGAGCGCACCGAGAATACCAATAACAGCAATCGCTCCAATAACAGCTCCCACAATAGCACCCGTGTGACTGCTCCCCGATGCACTGTTTGAAGTGCTGCTACCTGAGCCGGAGCCGGAGCCTGAGGCAGACGGATTCTGAGCGGAAGCAGGGAGAACGCTAGCGGCTTGTGTGGGTTGCGTCCCGATTTGACCGTTCCCGACAATAACCATCGTCCCGTTGCTCGGAATACCATTGATCACAACGAACATGAGTGCTGGCCCAGGTGTGAAGATATTAGGGTTCGGGGGAACTTGAGCTACGTGAAGGGTGATTGAATTGTTGCTATTGACGGTGTACGTGTTGTTGAGCTGCAGATATCTTTGACCCATGTTCATGGCATGGGTAGTGAAACCGCCACGCATCAGAACGACGGTGGTGTTTGCAGCAGCAGCGTTGCCCGAGCCACTGTATGCGTTCGAAGGGACGGTGAGGTCAAAGGAACTACCACCATATGAGAGTGTTTGCGGTGCGCCAGAGAAAGTTGGGCGTGTACTGGCGCTAAAGTAGGGCGGATAGAAAATCTCCGCTGTGTAGGTTGTGGGGAAAACGGTGGTGAGGTTGACATCTATGTTGGGGTTGGATCCGGCGATCATCACGGAGGCGTCAGGCATGAGTAAGGCACTGGAGTGGTACAGACGTGCAATGTTCGTATTACTCAGCCCGGCGTTCGACCAGCGTTTACCTGCGGGCATGTTGGGGTTGTAGATGGCAGGAGTGCCGACAGGGCCAGAGGCCAACGACTCGCCGTAGGGCATGAGGCCATAAAGAGGTGTCTGGCCAGTAGCCTGAGCGTAGCCAGCAGTACCATTCAAGGCACCATTGACAACCAAGAGAGTACCATCTGGAAGGATGATAAACTGACCCATAGTACGACCCTCGAGCATGTCATCATCTGAGACATAAACAGGAGAAGAGCCATCTGTGGGTTCTGGAGTGATGCGCTGACAGTCCTTCGAAGCAGGGTAGGTCCAGGTGTTGTAGTTAGGGAATGAATAGTTACCCCAATACTCGTCAGGCATGTCAGTACCACCACAAAATATGACAGTGGGAGTATAGTTGTTGGCGGGAGTGAGTGGTAGCATGGCAACGGCGCCAGAAGCAGGGTATACACGAGCGACGCCACCTGGCATGTTTGGAAGAGGTGTTTCGACGTTGGTTTCAGGATTCCAGAGGACTGATCGAAGGCGTAAGAATAACAGACAAGAGGATAAAAATAAAACGTACTAGTAGAAATATTGGCCTGGATCAGCATGTTACCGGAAGGCATGAGATAGGTATGTGCATATGAGTTAAGACCCGAAGTGGTGATCATGAAATTCATGACAGTAGCAGCTCCCTTGGAAGGGTAGAACTCATATGTTGGTTCAGCAGCACCACCTTCGTATTCTGGGTCCGTATTAGGGGTATTTCGGTTGATGTAACCACCACTGACAAAACCGCCGATTATTGCAATAGAACCGTCACCAAGAGCCTCAGCGGCGGAGTACCACCGCATTTTCTGCATAGCCAGGACGGTGGCGTTGTCGTACCATTGGCATTGAGGACTCGACATGTCTTGGGCACTGGTGCAAGGATTAAGGATACGGATAGACTTTCTTCCGTCGTAATCTTGATAGGTCGTATCATATGAGCCTGAACCAACACTGCCAGTGGCACCAAGGGGGCCAATGGCACTATTGCCACCAAACGTCACGTACGAGCCGTTTGGTAGATGCATACCAGAAGCGCAGAAGGTATTGGTCAAAACCTCCATCAGCTCGGTCGAGTGAGTATTGACATCCCTGGATGCGGCGTTAAGCAAGCTATTAATATATAACGAATGCGAGAGCGTACCATGCAACACCCCAAGCAGGGTGGCCATCTATCTGAGCAGCATTGCCCTCCGTTTTGTCGAGAATGTAAACCTTCTCCTCGTTGCCAAGGAACATCTTCGGAGCTAGCACTCAGCACAGAACAAAACAAGGCAAACGATTTCGTACCATCATGGCGCTAACTTGTGTATTGCCGACCTGAGCGAAGGAACCTGCCTGCTGGGCAGCTGCCAATTTGGAAGATGCTGCTAGCCCAAAGGCCAGCCAAGCAACGGGTGTGAACATGCTTGGATGGTCGTACCACAGGCTTAAGAATTTGAAAGACAGAGGAATATGAAAGATACGACCTAACGGAAGACTGTAAGCAAGCGAAAAAGAGTGTGAGGTGAGGTACCCTTAGAAGAAGGGCTCAAGTTTGGCGTAAGACAGGATAACGTTGTTGAGTCTTTTTTTTCATGGTCTCGGCCCTCGGACACCGGCCATCAAATTTCCGCTCCTATATATATGTTCTTCTTGAAGTTCTCTGTACATTTGTAAATCCTAGGCCTTGCAAATGCCTTATAGCACAAAGTCAATCCGGTGCATAACTGGCCAGAGGCTGTAACGTCTCCTGGGGTCATTCAAGATCTGGGCTGGTCTGGATGTAGGACGCGATGGCAGCCGCTGAGCGGCACAACCTACCGGAGTTTAAACATCGCACAGCGCACGCCAAGGAGCCGCTCGCCATTATTAGAATGGCATACTCCGCCTCAGCTCGCTTGTTTGCTCAGGTCAGATTATCTTGTCTGCAAACCAGCACCTTTCCCGCCTGCTGCTCATTTTCTTTCGTACCCGCCAGGACTCTGTCTCTTGCCTGCCTGCTGCCTGTTTGGTTTGTTGCAATACTTGGTTTTTCAGCGTGTTTGTCGCAGGCCGCGGAAATTTCCAGTGATTCTGTCACGGAAATAGCAGACTGTCAAGTCTTTTTTTAGTGACTTCGTGATAACACTTAGTGACCATGGGGTCATTTATGACAGGTTCGAAGTCTAGGCAGATGAGTAAAATTTCAGACATTGAAGAGATCTGTAATGCATGACAAGAAAAATGGAAAGCCTCAGTGAACACTTTGTTGCTGGCTGAACATCAACAACAATGAAAATATAGATATATCTTGAATGCTGGCCTAGACTTTAAAATCAAAATTCACATTTACAGGTGTCACAAGCATTAAATGAATACACTCAGTGGTTAAAGACAATAACTAAACATTTTTAATACCTGACAGATAGACATGCTATGTTGCAGTTTGCACAGATCACGAAGAGCGACCATATTATTGTGAAGCTGGCAGAAATGTCACCCTCAGGGCTGGAGAAAGCATATGTGGCCACAGTCGCCTTGAGGAAGAACCTGTACAACATGAGAATTCTGATATATCATGAGAACAGTATTCACGTACAAAGCAAGGAATACAAAAACCTTGGTCCAAACACCAGCTGGTTGAGTAGCCGCATCAATGCCAAATGCTTCAAATGTGGTGAGGATAATGAGAACAGTAGTCCACCCATGGTAAAGGGAGAAAGGCAAGTGGACCAAGACTTCTTACTAGAAAATATCTCGTTGATAAGTGTAAAACTAATCAATATTGATACAAATATGCACAGAACGAGCAGAAATCCGAGTATTGAAATACCAGAGGACTGTGATGAAGCCCTGGCCATTTTGAGAAATGTGGAAATCAGTGCAACACACGCAAACGAGCAAGGAGTGGGGAAGAAAACAAGATCCTTTGGCCTGGTGCTGAAAGATGACATGTTGGGGTTCAAACACTGTAGTAGGGTGTTTGGGCTTTAGGGGTCATTGAGGGTCAGTCTGAGTAGGTCACATGGGTGCAGTAGAGGGTTTCTGGGGTCCTGAACAAGCATTTTAGAGTAGTGTTCCCACATGTCATAGCTTCACCTTGCATTCAGTTGTTGTGCTCCAAGTGTCGAGGCCAAGCCCTCTCCACCTGGTGACTAGAGTGGGACAGCACTATGGCTATTACCCTAGATGACTTGTGTTGCCTTCGCAACATTTCACACTCGTTCAACGACCCACCTGCTCTGGAACAGAAAAAGATCATGTCTGATAGCTAGTGATGTGCAAGGCCCAGCTTGGCTCAAAAGCCAGGGCTACGGCTCGGCTTGATAGGGCTCAGGCTCCTTCAGATTGCAGGCCAGGCCCTCCCCAACAGCTCAGGCTTGGTCAGGCTCGGCTTAGGGCTCAGGCCTCGGCTTCATATCACAATAGTGCTACAACATGTCTAATGATTGAACAAATACATCTTTGTCAGAAAATCTCGCTGCACTTCTTCATCATCCAATTCTTCGCCCAATACATCCAGTAAGTCACCCATCTGAGGCTCAGGCTGGTCCAAGTCTCCATCACCCTCAGTAACAATGGAAGGATCCTCGAGAAACAACAACCCTCGTCTGATCATGCATTTGAGGCACTGAAGTGCCTCAACAATATCAGGTTTCAGACGGTTACGTCGCTTACTAATCGCGATCCCTGCGGACGAGAAAGCTCGCTCGCTCGATACAGAGGTTGCCATTATGGAAAGGAAGTCGCGGGCAAGTGATGCCCACACAGGGTAGTGTGGGGAGTTGATACCCCACCATTGAATAATGGACATCCCTCCAAGATGGTCCTTTGAGTTCAAGTATGCGTGAAAGTCACGCAACCACGGCTTTGATGGATCCGCGAAGTCAAAAAGTGAAGCCGAGGATGTGCGAGACAGAGTCGGTGGATCCTGGCTTGGTGCGTCGAGTGCATCTTCATCACTGTCGGAAAGCTCGTTAAGCAAAACATCTAATTTGTAGTTGCCAGTGCTGGTGCGAAGCTCCATAGATGCTGAGGACTTCGCCACATCATCACTGTACATCTCACGATATCGTTCCTTATACTGCAAGAAGAAAGTCAACAACATTTCTTAAGTCAGAGATATAGACAAATGAACCATTGCTTTAGCATTCTCAAGTGCCTTGTGCAGTAGATCATCCCCCCAATAACGACGGATATGAGCAGCCTTTTGTGTTGGGTCAAGAACTGAGATACTCAAATAAGTCGGTGTAGAAGTAAATTGGACGTGAGCACACTCATGCATAGCCATGATGTGAGCATCTGAACCTGCGGACTTCGTGTAATAATTTGAAATTTTATCAACGGCGGCATCCAACACTTGATGAAAATCGATATATTTGAACCGTGCTGAACGAGATGACCAGGCACTGTGTAGTGCTTCGAGTGCTGGCAGTGCCAGGTGCAGTGTTGGACCCTCCTCAGAGGAGAACAAATGCTGTGCTAACTCTGCAAACTATCGTGCATGATTAGTACCCCAATGGCCCACAAATAATATGAAATGTACACCAAGAATCGAGAGAAGTTTTTGGACCCGAGACCATTCATCTTCAGACAACTCTAAGCTGGCAATCTTTTTGCGTCTCGAAGCATCTCTTTCTTGCAATGCGAGTCGGCCAACGAAGTAATTAACATCCTAGCAAAATGAAATGTAAGCAAGGGGACAACAATGAAGTCTCATTACATACCTCTTGCATTTCGTATGCACGACGGAGCATGACAAAGGTCGAGGACCATCATACCTTCATATCTAAAAGAAGCTGGCATGGATTGGCCATAGGAACATGACTGTCCTCGTCACAAAGTTGAATATTGCGAAAAAGTTCTTTCCGGGAGGCAGAAGAACGTTCCTATATGAAGATGAGCCACATGGATCCAAAAATCATCAAAGACAAACCTTAACAGCAATCGAGCGTACAAGCCCGACCTCATCACATTGCCCATGTCGTGACACAACAAGATCATCGTTGGGCTTCATTGCATCGACATGCTTGGATTTGCTGTGTGTCGAGAGCAGGGCTTGTGTTGCGAGATTAATTATATGCGTGAGGCACCTCAGCCGCCATTTTTTAGGGTCAAACCTTGTCTTCGTCTCATCTTCAATATGCTTGCTGAAATGTTCCATCATGGTGTCATTATTGGCCGCATTGTCGCAGGTAACATAACCGATCTAACAAATGGCAAGCAATGTTAGTTGCACGAATCACACAACGGAAAAATTGAACTGACCTTGTGAGCAATACCGACATGTTTCACGACCTTGAAAAGTGCTTGACCAAGCCATTTACCATTGTGTGCGTGGTTCAACTGAGTGAAGCTGAGAAGTGCGCTTTCGACCTTCCAAACACCAAGACTTTGTTCTTCGATCCAATGGCCCGTCACTGCAAAGTAGCCATTGGTGTTGGAGGCCAGCCATCCATCACAGGTGATATTGACACGGCCTTTGACAGCCTCACTCTAAACATACAGTGAGACCAGAGAACTCGAGTAAAAACCAACCAGAACACGACACATACTAGTAGTCTCTTGCGAAGGTTTGTAAGATTCTGTTTAAACAAGTCAATTATTGCACGCCCTGTCTGTCTGCGGTCGGGTAGGATGACACCATTTGTTGCATGGGCTGCAATGTTGACCATGTTATGAAAAGCGGGATGTTCAAGGGCTTTGATAGGCTGATATTCCGTGGGATGCGTGATTTTCCCTACTTCAAAACAAACATACCTGGTCTGTATCAATCAGCCACTGAGTTGCGGCCTCCTGAAAGAATGCATCTGTATATTGAATGACCCGTTTATTTGGCACACGTGGCTTGAGGTGTCCATTGATACTGGACTGTTGGTCTGCAGCGGCATCTTCTCGGCGTTGTTTGGCATCCTTTGGGAGCATTGAAACAAAGTTGTTGCTCTTTGCCCATTTGAGATAGGCACCCTAGATACAACTGAATAACTACGTAGAAATATGAATCAAAAGCTCACCCGATGCACAGCCTCCTGATGTCGGCGCAATGTCATCACTTCGTTCACAAATGGCACCTGGCATTTGTGAGATTTACTAAGATAACAATCAATTAAAGATTCATAAAAAAACGAAAAGGACTTACCTGCAAGCATGACAGTCTCTGTATTTCTTGCCATCCTTGAGATATGGAACAGAGAACAGTGCGTCGATATCACGACTGCGCCACTCTCGTTGAGGCTTGGATGGTTCGTCGATACCCATGACTTTGATATCGGTAAGAAAGCCTTCCGCATCGACTGAATCGGCATTAGGTAGGGGTACTACAATCATTTGTTAGTTGTTACAATAACATTTACTCCTATTTCATTTTTCTTTTTCTCGTAACTATGCCGCCGATTCTAGACTCATCCAGACTCGGCTATTCTCTTACCAAGCGGGCTGTCCGCACTTCTCTTCTTTCTGATTGTAACATAGATACTATCTTGCGCCGCATGGCGGTTTCACCTATCTTTGCTATCTTGATAGGTTGTACTTTTTCTCCTATCTTTGTTACCTTTCTTGTCGCGGCTACGCCGCTTCCTTTTACCTATATAAACCCTCTGTATCATAGATGTATTCCTTAACTTAATCTACTGGGTTTTCCCCTTGAAACCTGATCTACTAAGGTCTCCACCCTTAGTAGCCTGAACTCTGATTCTAAGGCAGTCACTCACTGTCTTAGCCTGAAACCCTTGATTGCGGTAGAAGTGCTAAAACCACTCACCGCCTAGGCAGAAGTGCTGAAACCACTCGCCGCTGATCCTGCATAGAAGCCGCGGCTCGTGCAGTAGGAACCACCAGAAACCTTCCTTGTATTAGGAAGGCCGACGAACTGTTCGCCCGATAGGTCTATCTTGACCGGCAACAGCAGAACTATCCCAGTCGTAACAAGTGAGTTAGCGTGATAAGAGGACAACATAAATGTACCTTTCTTTTGCCGTTTTTTCGGTGGTTTCACTGACACCGGGGGGTCTCCTTCTTCCAAGTCGTCCTCATCAGAAGCAGGAGGCTGTGCAAGGTCGACATCCTCGGCATCAGGACTTTGTGCAACCTGTTTTCGTCCTGTAGGAATTGTCAATGGGTTGCAGTTAGTAAAGCACATAAAACCAAAAAAAAACTTATCTTTGATGAGCTGTTTGTTGGTATGGGGGCTCACCAGCTGGATTTTGTCGTTGTCGGCCCCATCTAAGTCAGTAGGGTCCAAGCTAACAGCAGCACAGTTTGTGATATGAGCTATTCTGTGGGAAAGAAGCTCTTGATCAGCTGCATTGTCCGCACTAATCACCTTTGCTGATGGCACAGCAACCCGTTTAGGACGTGGTGCAGGCGCTTCCTCAGTGTCGGAGTTGATGCATGGCACCATTGGAAAATAAGGTTAGCTGGGCAATCAGCAAAAAAGGAGGGGTGATCCTGTAGTACGGACTGAAGAAACTATGCAGTTTCTCGGATATCACCGCAGGTCATAGATACTAGATTTGGTTGGCTGAAAGCCAGGGCTCAAAGGCCCGGCCCAGGCTTGAACAAACCTGAGGCCAAGCCTTGAGCCTACATAGGCCGCACCCTAAGGCCCGGCTAGGCTCGGCCTAAGTCGGCTGGGCTGGGCCCAGCCCACGGCCTGAAGCCGGGCCTTGCACATCACTACTGATAGCAAATCGTCATTTTCAGAAACCAACAATACTAACACCCTTTACAACCTCGAAATCACATCTCCTAAGAAGAGTGAACCCAATATCGTACAAGCTAACATACAGTTTGTCCAACAACGTCTTGAAGCATTCAAGCAGAAACCAGTCGTCCCAACGGTTCCAATTCTTCCTGCAACCACCACACCAGTATTCACAGTGACCATACTCAGTCAAGCAATGATGATGCCTCAGACAATAGTACCCCAACCCAGCTTCCATGGAGATTACAAGAAAGATGAAGAACCCACTGATTGGATGCGGAAATACAAGTTATCATACCCAGCCTCACATCCGGATGCAGAAAAGATAGCTAGATTCTGTTACAAGAACATCTAGACGCTTGGGCCCCTACCATTTTTCTCCTCATCCTTCTGGTATCAGCCCTCGCATCATACCCTTACCCTGACCTCACCCTCGTCATCCTTGTCATCCTCGCATTCCCTTTCGCTCTCTACCTGTCGCTTCAGCAGAGCCAGTACATTTGGCCGGATCCGTTCACTGACGAAGCATACCCTTGCTCCATTCCACCACCTGACTGACCCTGTGGACAGTCCCCTTGCCCTTACCGTCCGGACGGTAACCTATGATATGATGCACGACACATCCCCTTTGCCCTTTTCCCTTTCTTGATCTCTGACTCGGTGCGCAGTCACACATGCGACCTATACTTAACTCCGCAGTTGCACGATCGTGCCCCTGCGCGTTTCACTTCTTATTCTGATCTTTGACTCACTTTCTTATCCGCACGTTCAGGACTCACCCGTGTCTCACCTCGAACGTGCCTTCCTTTTATGGTCATACCCTTTACCAATTACTTCTCTTGGTAGTACGAGTTATCATCCACTAATACGCTTCCTGTCCTCTATATAAACTCGCTACCATGTAACATATTCCCTAACTTGAATCTACTTGGTTCTTGACCTCCTACTCTCACCAGAGTGATCCTTTCTGCCTCGTCAGCAGTCTATATTCTATCTTCTTATCTGCTCTTCGTGGATAAGCCTATAGTCTCGATCTTTACTCATCGACTTCGTCGACGAGCAAAGCCCCTGTTAACTAGTCGGACTTCTGTCCTTCTAATTAACGACGATCTTACAATTAACCTTCGGGTGTCGTAAGCCTAGGCCGATATAGCTTATCGTCTCGCACCCGCTTGACATAAGCTACCCGATTTGGACATAGGCGTCAAATCTTACTTGCCGAAACTCACCAAGTAAGACCCCTAACCTTGAGGCCAGCCCAAGGACGTCCTCGACCATTGATGACACATGCTCTGTTTGAGCGTCGCCAACAGATACCATCCAAGTCATAACAGATTCGAACTTCAATGTGCAGTAGTGAGTCCTGCGGAAACATGGTTCACCAACCTCAGCACTGCAGACAAAAGTTCATAGGCCACTTTCATTGCAGCCTTTAGAACATGCTGGCCCAGACCAACACCTGTGATGCTTACAGTAGCTCAGAAGAAAGACCGAATTCATTCAATAGTCCTTAAGGATGAAGAAATTGGAGTAATGATTGAGGAAGACAGAGGCAGGGATTGGGGACATGTCAAGTGGGCAAGGAAGGTATCACACATGGCACAAGGCTTCAACGACACCCAGTGCCATCTATTGGACGCCGTGTTAGAAAACACTCCCAAAGTATTGTGTGACTTCTTAGACAACCATTACAACACTTGGGCAGAATTTGAGGCAGATGTTGCCAAAATCTCCGCATCACAACTCAGGAAGGCAAAGCAATGGCTGGTACAAGAACACAAACTTCAAGAAGACATAGACAAGCTCCAGAACCAGGTCAATGGAAATTGCAAGAACCCCGCATCACCGTCTCAGAACAACCAGACCCCATACGTTCCACCACCAGCTTGTCGTTACAGCTATTGCTACGGCACACCATCTACCTTAGCAGCACAACCTCAGGCAACCACACCTCTTCAGCCTGTTCCCCCTCCCACCACATTCCAAAATCCCCAAATGCCTGTAACGTTGCAGATTCTGGAGACTCCACAAGCTTCTAACCTGTTTCTGCCTATGACACCAATCACACAAGGTAACCTCTTCTACGGCTACAGAGGATTCCCACAGACTCCCACCAGAGCACAAGGAGGATCACTGATAGACAGAGCATGTGCAGCAGCACAATATGTGACCATCACCCACCAGACACAGAGGCAGGGAAACAGGTGTATGCTCAGCAGATACAAGATTGGCATACCCATCACAGTGCAGACACCATCCCAAACTCACAGCGACCCTACTCGTTAAAGCCAGGGACATCGCCAATTGGATCTAGAGAGTGTTTCAACTGCGGAATTGCAACAGTACCACCTCATCAGGCATATGACTGCCCAATGCGCCTCTACCCACACAAGAGACAAAATGGCGTGAGACTGTATTGCGCCTGGTATCTAGGTCACTGGTGTTAACGCCCAGTGCAGGTTCACCCACAAACGTACAATTTGTGACACCTGCAACAGGACCTCCCGCAAGCACGCAATATGTAGCACCTACAACAACGATGAACTACCCGCAGTACCCGTACTACCCACAGGAAGCCTATAATCCATATGAGTATGTAGGAAATGAGTATGGACTACAACAGTAGGGGATCTACTTGCAGTCCCAACTCCTGACAGTTCAGCACCAAACCCACCTTTGTGTATAATGATGCAGATGTTTGCAGTGACCCGTCATCCCCAAACCTTTCAGATATCACATTTAGCCTCCCATCAACAGTACCAACCTCAACTAACACATCAGACTTCAACACCTCAGTCATCAATTTACCAATGGGAGACCAGACTCAAATGGACAACCAAGATGCAGATGAGAACCTTGTCGACTCCAATGATTCTCTGCTAGATATGAACTCGGACTCTGATTCGAATTTTTCATCTGCTTTACCTTTTTCAGATTCAGATTCTGTACTAATATCCGCACCTACCTTTTCTGGACACTCTTCTGTTACATTTTCATCTCCTGACATAGTCGAACCCATCTCAAACACTGAAGAATCAGACCCAGAGATCCCAGCATCCATAGATTCCAGTACCAGTACTACAGAATCTGTACTGAGTGTCATATCTACTCCTAAATCCATCCAAGTTGCTGATTGCTATCAGAGTGCAAATGACCAAAATGTCACCGACCTACACAACCTGTCAGATCAATGCAGCCACATCAAGAAAGCAAACTGTTCGTCACACAGGTCATACTGTATGGACCCAGTGCCATGACCTCATGTTTCCAGGCCAATGTTGACAACAGCGCAATGGTCAATGTCATTGACCTTAAATTGTTCAACAGAGCAGCACATCACCTAAAAAAGCTCACACGATTGACATGCATCCTTTGCATGGCAGACAATTCTGAGGTACCATCCCAGAGAATATGGACAGGAATGTTCAAATGGAACAAGGCAAAGATCTGAACATCCTTCGAAGTCCTGGATAGCAGAAGCATCTGGGCAATGCTAATAGGCAAGCCTCTGTTAGAACAACTTGAAGCGGCACATGACTACACCATGGACATCATCATGATTCCCAATTCACCTAAACCCATCATAATTCAAAACATCTTCAATTCACCAGCAGCACCAATACCCAAATCACGTCACATACCTGTACAAATCCCAAACACTTCAGAACATGAAGTGTACGACAATGTTCCTATATATCTAACTGTTACTATATCAGCAGACACCATACATACACAAAACTTAGATTTAGAGTCAAAAATGCCAACTAACGAACATTTTATATTTACAATTTCCCCACACCTCAAACAGCAAAAACTCAAAGACTACATGGACGTACTAGCAAGCATGGGAGAGCATATTGTGATTGCCAACCAACAGCCTCAATTATCAACAATAACAAACACTTCAGTTTCATCACCATGCTCACCCATTTTGTTCACAGCAACAGAATCATACGAGAACTACAGTACCACACCTGTATGGCCTGTATCTGAAGACATCAAAGACCTGAATCTAGGAGAAATACCCGAGTTTGCCGCCCCCCAAGCCACTCCCAACATATATACAAGACAAACTGACCCATTCAACCCAGCCCGAGTAGTGGAAGTGCTAAAACAAATCAAGATCGGGGAAGACTTGACAATGGAATAAAGAGACCAGGTACAAGAATTATGCACAGAATTTACTGACACCTTTGCATTGGCAGTAAGTGAGGTATTCCTGGTAGACTTCAAGACATTCAAGCTCACCTTCCCAGAAGGAACAAAGTTCAGCACCAAGGTCAATCAAAAGCCACTAACACCACCTCAACGAGAGTTCCTGTACAAACAGCTGAATGAACTAGAAGACACAGGGATCATATGACACATTGCACCAGAAGAGGTCAAAGCAGCAAGTCCCACTGTACTAGTGCAGAAAGTACATGGATCAGGAAGTATTCCAATAGTGGAATTACTGCATCGCATCAATGATCAGTGTGCCACACATGGACTGCCCATGTGAAACAACCTCCACCCATGACCAGCATTATCAGCAAACAGCAAGAGTGGAAACTTGGTCCCTAAGTGGAGGGTGTGCCAGAACTTTTCAGAGATCAATCACGCCAGCCAAGTGCCCCCAGTACCTCAAGGGGACATTTGAACGAAGCAACAAAGACTAAGTGGCTATTGTTAGGTTAGCATTATCGACTTGGCTGCAGGATTCTACACTATACCTGTGGATGAAGACACTCAACCCTACCTAGCATTTTACACAGAGGGTAGAGGATATGATTGCTACTGTAGAATGCCATTTGGACTAATGGGTGCTCCAATGAACTTCAGAGATATGGCTGCTATCACACTAAGAGATCTCATCGGGTTACTATTTGAACTCTACATTGACGATACAGGAATGGCAGGAAACATATTCGAAGACAAACTGAACCAACTTCGTAAATTCTTCCAGCAAATCTGAGCAATGCACCTTTCTCTGTCACCATCAAAAACTCAGTTGTTTATGTCAGAAGTTACATTTGCTGGAGCAAGAATGGGCAAGAAGGGGATCAAACCTGACCTGACAAAGATAGTGGCAGTCATGAACTGGGAGATCCCCAACATAATTCATAACTTGATGCAATTCCTAGGGCTAACAGGATATTTCAGATCACTAATTAAGGACTATGCAAGAAAGGCAGCCCCTCTCATGGACCTAATTTGAAGACTTGGCACACCACTGGGAGGACAGCACATTGGAAGATACAAGTACTGCCAGCACCTATGCACCACATGCCTCAAACTACACTGGAGACCACGGCACACAGAAGCATTCATGGAGCTCAAGAAGATCTTAGTAGCGGAACCAGTACTAAAAGGACCTCAATTTGATGGAACACCATTTATAGTCACAACAGACAGATGCCAAGACAGATTTGGAGCTATCCTTGCACAGAAGAACACTTCAACATTACCATCAGGGAAGGTAGTTACCGCAACACATCCCATCACATATACCTCGAGATGCATGTCAGCCACAGAAGAGAAGTACAAACCATATATCTTAGAATTGCAGCACTGAAATTTGCTCTAGATAAATTCTCAGACATCATCTGGGGCTCCTGGCAGAAATCGAAATGGACTGTCAAGCACTTCAGGACACCCTTCTCAGCCCCAAGCTAAGTGTAGCACACACACAATGGAGGGATGGCATATTAGTCTACCACATCACAGACATCAGATACTATGCAGGCACCACAAACACCACTGCAGATGAACTCAGCTGCAGCTTCACCACAAGAGAACCCATCACAGGAGATGGAGCAGATTGGTTGGTAAACAAAGACTGGGAAGCATCAAGAGGAATTATACAAGACTTATTCATGGTAACGTCAACCTCCTGTTACGACTTGGATGGTATCTGTTGGCGATGCTCAAACAGAGCGTGTGTCGTCAACGGTCGAGGACGTCCCTGGGCTAGCCCAAGGTTAGGGGTCTTACTTGGCGAAGCTTCGGCAAGTAAGATTTGACACCTATGTCCAAATCGGGGCTTACATCAAGCGGATGCTTAGACGATGAGCTGTATCTGCCAAGGCTTACGACACCCAAAGGTTAATCGTAAGATCGTCGTTAATTAGAAGGACAGAAGTCTGACTAGTTAACAGGGGCTCTGCTTGTCAACGAAGTCGATGAGTGGAGATCGAGACTAAAGACTTATCCGCGAAGAGCAGATAAGAAGATAGAATATAGACTGCTGGCTAGGCAGAAAGGATCACTCTGGTGAGAGTAGGAGGTCAAGAACCAAGTAGATTCAAGTTAAGGAATATGGTACATGGTAGCGAGTTTATATAGAGGACAGGAAGCGTATTAGTGGGTGATAACTCGTACTACCAGAAGAGGGAACTGGTGAAGGGTAAGACCATAAAAGGAAGGCACGTTCGAGGTGATACATGGGTGATCCTGAACGTGCAGATAAGAAAGTGAGTCAAAGATCGAAATAAGAAGTGAAACGCGCAGGGGCACGACCGTGCAGCTGCGGAGCTAAATATAAGTAACATGTGCGACTGCGCACCGAGTCATAGATCTAGAAAGGGAACTGGGCATTGTTACAAGAACATCTAGACGCTTGGGCCCCTACTATTTTTCTCCTGATCCTCCTCGTATCAGCCCTCGCATCATACCCTTACCCCGACCTTACCCTTGTCATCCTCGTCATCCTCGCATTCCCTTTCGCCCTCTACCTGTCGCTTCAGCAAAGCCAGTACATTTGGCCGGATCCTTTCGCTGACGAAGCATACCCATGCTCCGTTTCACCACCCTGACTGATCCTGCGGACAGTCCCCTTGCCCTTACCATCTGGATGGTAACCTATGACACGATGCATGACGCATCCCCTTTGTCCCTATTTTCCTTTCTTGATCTCTGACTCGGTGCGCAGTCGCACATGCGACTTATACTTAGATCCGCAGTTGCACGATCGTGCCCCTGCGTGTTTCACTTCTCATTCTGATCTTGACTCACTTTCTTATCCAGCACGTTCTACCTAGATCGAACGTGCCTTCCTATTATGGTCTTACCCTTTACCGATTGCCTCTCCCGGTAGTACGAGTTATCATCCACTAATACGTCTCCTGTCCTCTATATAAACTCGCTACCATGTACCATATTCCCTAACTTGAATCTACTTGGTTCTTGACCTCCTACTCTCACCAGAGTGATCCTTCTGCCTCGCCAGCAGTCTATATTCTATCTTCTTATCTGCTCTTCGCGGATAAGCCTATAGTCTCGACCTTTGCTCATCGACTTCGTCGACGAACAAAGCCCCTGTTAACTAGTCGGACTTCTGTCCTTCTAATTAACGACGATCCTTACGATTAACCTTCGGGTGTCGTAAGCCTAGGCCGATATAGCTTATCGTCTCGCACCCGCGTGACATAAGCTACCCGATTTGGACATAGGCGTCAAATCGTACTTGCCGAAGACACGCCAAGTACGACCCCTAACCTTGGGCTAGCCCAAGGACGTCCACAGACCGTTGACGACACAAGCTCTGTTTGAGCGTCGCCAACAGATACCATCCAAGTCGTAACAGGCATAGGGGATGCGGCATGCGTCGTATCGTAGGTTACCATCCAGATGGTAAGGGGACTGTCCACAGGATCAGTCAGGAGGTGGAATGGAGCATGGGTATGCTTTGTCAGCAAAAGGATCCGGCCAGATGTACTGGCTCTGCTGCAGCGACAGGTAGAGGGCAAAGGGGAATGTGAGGATGACCAGTATGACGAGAGTAAGGTCGGGGTAAGGGTGTGATGCGAGGGCTGATACGAGGAGGATCAGGAGAAAAATAGTAGGAGCCCAAGCATCAAGATGTTCTTGTAACACCTCCCCAATGGCAAATACTGACCAAGCAGAGACAGATACACTTTGACAACGATTTGCACAAGAACTGTTGTTTCTTGAAGTCATCGAGGCATTATACGACATGGATTCGGAGAAGCCCATCAAAGACAAGCGACATGCAAGACATCAGGCCAAGCAATTCTTCATCGCAAATGGGAAGCTTTGGTGCATGCCTAATGATTCTTCCACTCAGGTCCATAGCAAGTTGGAATGCGTGACACAGGAAGAAGCTCTTGAATTGGCACGACAAGAGTACATGGATCATGGGCACTGGGGATGTGACATGGTAAAACTGCAACTAATAGACCATATATTCAGCCCACATCTTGACCAATCTGTCACTATGGCAATCACAGAGTGCAGACAGTGTAAGAATTTTGGGGCCATACATCTGAACTCATTACTCAAACCCATCATTAGAAGACACCCATTCAAACTCTTTGTCGCGGACTATTTAACCATGCCAAAAGCAAAAGGGGGTTTTCATAATATTCTCTTAATTATTGATATGTACTCACAACACATTTGGGGATTCAAGCTCAAGTGTCATGGAACCGCAAAGACAACCATTGAAGGACTAGAAAAGATCAGGCATGACTTCAGTGTCCCGGTGTAACGATGGTCGCGGCGCTGGGCTCAGAACCAGCTATTTTGATACTGATGTCAAACAGTATTTGTCCGATGCACTTCCGACTACCCCGACCTGAGTCCAACAGTCTGATCCTGACTCGACGCACTTTCCGACAGTCCGACGCATGTCCGATCCCGACCCGACATTCCTGTGCATCGGAGCAGTCCTCCCTATGTCCTGTCCAGTCGCATCTATCCCCACTAGGTGCGCATTTACTCCTTTTGACTTGCTAAGTGTTGTATACAGTGTTATTACATGTTTTCTCATGGTCCACAGTACCACATGTCCTATTACATAGGATTTTGGACCCAAAATATTGCTACTACTCTCGCCTATAGCAGTCCAAATTTCTACATAGTCACTATTTAATATCTAGTACTTCCTACCTATTGCATTACTTACTTTTCCCTACTCAGTAGTAGGATGGAAGTCATTGGATATTAGTAGTACTTGATTGTATTGCGAAATATCTATCTGCTCTTTTTCTCCAAAACACTCCGACACATCTGACACTCATTTGACCGACAATCCAACACACTTCCGACACATTCCTTTATCGTCCGACACTTTCCCAACAGTCTGATGCATAGTCCGACACCCGACCCGACTCTGATATTTTCGGACCCGACAGTTTCCCTTCGGACAAATAGTTCCTAGCTTCGGATTATCTTCCTATTGTTGATAACTAACTATCTAAACTAATACCAAACAGCTACCCCTATAGGATCGAACACACTTGCTCTGCAAGTATAGCAGCATAGGTCGTGCTAAGATCTACCTAAATATTCGTTGTCTAGGTAGTACGATTTCTGCTGAGCCCAGCAGAAATCAGCTTTCTACACCAGAAACCTTCATGACTGATGCAGGCCGACATTTCAACAACAATGAGGTCCGCGAATGGTGCGAGTCCCACAAGATAAAGCACCATGTGACAGCTGCATATGCACATTGGGTTAATGGATTAGTAGAGGGCACAAACAAGTTGTTGTTGGGACAGTTAAAGTGCATGAGTGCACCACACCTTGGGGAGGATGATTACAGAGACATTGACCCAGAGTCCATTCCGACAAATTGGCCAGACCACTTTGACACAGCCATCGAACACCTCAACAGGCACATTCTCCCATCACTCAAGTTCTCTTCAAAAGAGTTACTACTCAGACTTGTCATTGACATGCCCCATACCCCATTAGAAGCAGCAATTAGTCAAATCTCGCCAGCAGAAACACACGTACATTCCGCTTATGTCACACAACAACACCTATATGCTCTCGCGAATAGGATGACCAATGCCATATGATGTAAGGCAGCATTTGACAAGAAAGTACTATTGTCGCTGCAAGGAGAAGTCATATTTGCACCGCGACAACTGATACAGGTATACGCCAGCGAAGTCAATAACACCCCTATTACATATCTTGTGTACTATTTATAGCCTGTTTGGCTCGTCACTTTGGACCTGCGCAGCTAGCACCACTTAGCTATTTTACTTATACCCCTCTATTACTTATGTACTGGGTCGATTTTCCGCCCACTTTCTCTGTGTCTCTAGATACTAGGAATTTTACTTGTTGTTGCCAGTGACTATCAAAGTCTCATGCATTAGTCTTCCCCCTCTCGCTTTAGCATTAGCCAACCTTAGTTGGGGTGTTAACTGTCATTGTTACTCGTCTTTCTCTCATTTTGTCCACTCGTTTGCAGTTTGTCTTTGCTCGTGCACACTACCTTCATGTTGTGCACATCGCCAATTGCTTATCGCACTTGCATGTCATTGCACGCGTCCACCTTTTGTCCATCGCATTGCACTTGCCTTGCGGTTCACATGTCTCTTAGTCTTATTACCCTATTAGTAGTTTGGTGTCCCTCTTTTTATACGAGAGGTTTCCCTTTACCCAGTTAGCTGCCCTTGGGTCAACATTTTCACTTGTGCCTGGGTCTAGCTGTGTTTGCTTAGCTTAGCACCAACTTTAACCACAATTTAAATTCCTCATCTTTAACTGGAGCCCACCACAAGGGGCACTACTGCAACTTCTGATATGGTTCTCAGACCCAACGTGCATTGTTTATTTCGCACACATCGGAGAAGCCATAGAAGAATTACCTGACAGTTCACTTTTTGCTACCATACCACCTGCAGAAGAATCTGCTGTTGATGTGCTGTGTCCCAAAATCTCATTTTTTGGCAGCAGCCATTACCCATAACGTCCTCATCCAAGGAATCCATCAAGGAAGAATCACTCAACAACTTTGTGTCCCTAGACGCACCTAGAGGTAACCTACCTGGAGCCTTTCATAGCATGCCTAAAGCGGAGCAGAAAGCGAGATTCACCGTGCTAGCACCAATAGATACACTCGCGCCGCTGCACGAAGAAGAAGAAGAATTATTAGATTCACCCATCAAGCTCAAGACTGTTCAAGTTCTTGACCCACCCATTTCAATACCCGCCAGACAACTCATTGGTGCTCTCTCAAGCTTATACGCGCCGCAACCTGCGTATATTGCACCAGTACCAGCACTCGCACCCGCACCTGCCCAATTGCCCCAGCCACCCTACAACTTGCAATGACTACACCCTATTGCATGCCTATTCATGGCACAGACAGTGCGCCGAAGTTCAATGGTACTACCGCTAACCTGTTAGATTTCATAGATGTGTATGAAGAGCATGTGGATCAGGCCGGTCTTGTTGGTCTTGATCGCATCAAGCAGATTATTTGCTATCTCACACCTGCTGACAAAGAGCTTTGGGCATGTCTACCCAAAGTGAAGCTCAGCAACTATGACGTGTTCATAAAGGAAGTTAAGGTAATGTATCCCGGCTGCGAAGGCGATTGTCGCTACATGGTCAACGACTTAAATGCAGTTGCATGAAAATATGCTGCTATGCCGATGCCTTCAGTCGAAGAGTTAAGCTTGTATTCTTGTGACTTTCGCAAAATAATGCAGCTGCTCCTAGACAAGGATAGGTTTGGCCAAATGCGACCACATATTCCTAGAAGGATTGCCTAGCGATATCGAGATACAAATGTGCACGTGTCTACTAATTAAGTACCCTGACCATCATCTGCAGGACCCTTACCCATGGAAGAACATCTATGATGCAGCGATATTCTTATTGCCAGCTACGGCACCCACTTTGCCCGCATCAATCCCCAATGCGCAAGTCACAGCACCATTAGCAAGTTTACTCCCCATGCCAGCACAGCAGCCCGTGCAAGGTTCAGTGACCAAGCGCAAATATTAGCACCTGCGCACTAACCAAGTGCCAGATGGTTGCATGTTCTGCAGCAACCTTGATCATTTTATTGCGTGTTGTCCAGAATGTGACAAGTATAGAAGCAGGAAAGTGTAAGTTGGACGAGAACTATAAACTCATCATGCCTAACAGCAATGGCATCATTGGACACAAACAGTTATTGAAGGATCACATATATCGCATGATCAAAAGCGAGAAGAGCATGACCTCGGAAAGTGCTCACATAGGTTTATGGTACCATGCACCAGCCAAGGTAGAATGCATTTTGGATGTTGATCTATTGGTGTTCGTCCATATGATCATGGAGTCCAAGTCCAAGAAGGATGAGTATGAGCATGAACTCAAGTGCACAACCCAAGCCCTAGCTTACACAAAGGTGAAGGTAGAGCAGAAGTGTGGCGCAAAAGCTAATGCAAAGGATAAGAATGTTTGCTTCAACGGCATCTCTGTCCCTAGCAAAACATGATCACGACCAGGTCCTGCATCACCAACCGTCAGTTGAGGAAGAAATCGTCTCCCCAGCTATTCAAGCAATGTCTAGTAAAGGCAAAGAGGTAGCCAAAATACCAGACAGGACCCATAATAGACTCTACATAGACTAGACCTAGAGTTTCCTGGACTTCCTCAAAAGAGTCTATTGATAGCTAAGTCCTTTTTTCCTCTGCCTCCCACTAATGATTCTATCCCAACAGATATTATCTACCCCAAACCCATAGAACCACACATGCCCTTCACATTGGATGAGATCATGCATGCAATCGTCAAGCTCAATTGTCTCAAAGCCCCAGGCCCAGATGGAATTCTTAACATTGTCTACAAACAATGTGAGATGGTACTGACCCCCTACCTAACCTACCTCTTCAATGCAGCCATCACCCATTGCTCATCTCTGGGCAAAAAGAGATCAGGGCCTGTGGATTTATAACTGTCCCATCCTCCAACTCCTTTATGATTGCAGGGGACTCTTTGTGATTGTGAGAGTGATCGTCAGGATATGTGGACCAATCCTTCTGATAAAAGATAACAACTTTCGGAGCAACAAGTTCTTGAAAGGTCTATTCCTGCTTGTTCCAAATACTCCTCACCAGTGCACTGGGCTGGGATGAAAGAAGAACATTGGATAGGTAGATGATGGTAAGTGCTGAATGGTGGTACAAGACAAACATGAAGTTGACCGATTCTTGGATTTCAACATTGTTGCTCTTGTCAATACAACATGTATCGCTCCATGCCCAGTGATAACCCAAATCATGAGCAGTTTTGCAGAAGGACTGCAATTTCAACATGCCACCAACTGGATTCAGCTCAAAGACAGACCTGTCCTGAATATCCTGCAGCAGCGCCTCCTTCCCTTCCCACCTGTGCGATAGCATGGTGTATTGGAAGTATCTCATCACCACTTCTTCAATCCGGTCCATTTGGATAACTGGATGAGTGATTGCTGATGAAACAAGCTTCTTGTACTCTATGCTTGTCATGAAGATGCACATCAGCATCTCTCGATCACATAAGAGACCGGTGGTGGTCTTCTGTCCTGCAGCACGGTCCCATCAGAAGCCGCAGATATAGCAACAACGAGCACAGTGACAATATTAATGTGACCATACCTCACTTCATCGTTCACCATGCTTTTTCAGTCAGTTAAAGTTTCAAGTCGTGAATGATGAAATTAACTGAGGATGTAGATCAGATCCAGTGAAAAGTTGAAACCTTGAGGGTATCTTATGAACCCATCTTCTTCATGATGTAAGAGTCTGTTTGGACATCATTTTTCACCAACCAACTTTGAAATTCCAATGTAGCACACACATATAAGACCAAATAGTCAGAGACCAAAAATAATGTCATGCTGATCATACTGATACAATATGATAGTGGTCACTGAGCCTATTGTACAATGCAATGCATCCCAATGACCTCAATGCTGAATTCAATCTACTAGACCCACTAGACAAAGATGATGTCAACATTGAAGACAGTGCAGATGAAGATTCCAATTGTGCTGATGCAGTAGACTCCAACCAACTGGACATAAATGAGCTGTAGATAAGATGTTCCATGGTGCTGCTCGTGTAGCAATGGCTATTGCTGATGCTGCTGGGCAAGTACTCCAAGGTCACTCACAAACTCACTACAACAAGCAACCCTATCATACTTCAGCCTTGTCTGGAATGGCATGGGTCAACAAACTCCTCACAGGACATCCAGAGCATATATAATGTGAACTTGGCATGTGGCATCATGTGTTCTATGTACTATTGAATCTACTTCACGATTCAGGGTGCAGGAATTCAAAACATGTCACACTTGAGGAGCAGCTCGCCATCTTCTTGTATGCATGTGTCACAGGACTCTCTGTTTGCCATCTTGGTGAACACTTTCAACACTCCAACAACACAATAGCAAAGTATGTTATCCCTCAGTGTCATAAATTTGCTTATTTTTTGAAGGTATTTCAAACATATTCTCACTGCATTTTCCTCCCTCCAATTTATTCATTATATGTCCAGCTACCCAGCACAGACAGTCTAACACCTCTTGAAGTCCTTCGAAACCCTAATACTTTGCCAATGCCATTGGCACTATAGACAGTACTCATATTGCATGCCACCCTAGCGGCAAGGATTGTGATGCAACTTGCAATTGTAAAGACAACTTGACTCAAAACTGTCTTATAGCCTGCTCCTTCAACATGTTGTTCCTTTATGTGCTGAGTGGCTGGGAGGGTTCAGCAGCTGATGTATGAGTCTATTATGATGCTCATATTACAGACTTTAACATCCCTCCAGGCAAATACTATCTTGCAGATGCAGGATTTGCTGCATGTGATGAGCTACTCATGCCATACTGTGGAGTACACTACCATCTTGCTGGATGAGGTCGTGGACATCAGGCATAAGTGATGTTCAACTTAGGCTAACTTGTATTTACATTGTTTTGTAGGCCCTGTAATCACAGAGAACTATTTAATCTACGTCACACCATGCTCCGAAACATCGTTGAGCATATTTTGGTGTGCTCAAGAACCACTTCAATATCCTGCTTCTCCCACCTTATTATAACATGGATGTGCAGGTTTGTATCCCTGCAGCATTGTGCCTGGTGCACAATGGACATCCATATCCACAATCCAAACAACATGATGGACTACTGCCAGGTTGACTTGAATGAGCCTGAGTATGATATTGGCACACTTGCAGAAGGCCCTCCCACTGCAGAGGCATGCACTTATGCACACCAATATTATTATGAGATTGCCCTTCGAATGTGGGAGGACTACAATCTGGTGAGACAGCAGAGAGGTTAGTCAGTTCTAGAGGACAATGTTCAGTAGTTGTTTGTGTCAATCTTTTGTTGTCATTTGTGTCAAATTTATGTAGTCATTTGCGTCAATTTTTCATAGACTGGTTGACCAGCAAAACATTGTAGTATTTGGTATACTACTACTAACAATATTGAATGCATAGGTGATACAGCGAAAATTTATTGCAAGTATGTTGATAAGAAAAGCTTCTGGATGCTGCTCTCCTTCTCAATGACAAGGTATGAATCAGTGATGGCAACATCTGCTTGGAAATGCTTAATAATCTTGATGATCTCATTGTCCTCCAGACCCTCCTTCTGTAGCTGAATGATAGCCTTCTGCTTGCACACAGGAATGGGGTCCGATGTGGAGTGCAAGGCGACCTGAGTTAGATGCTCTTGCATGACATCTGTTGCACAATCAAAGGAGTTGGAGAGATTGTGAATCTCCTTAGACATGCTCTGGAAAGCTTCTGGGACAGCCACACACTGTGACTTGATATACTTCCCTGACTAGGACACAGATTTGGTAGAGCCCAGAGGGCAAGCAAGGGTTCTCATATTGTCACCAGAGTCTCCATCTGCTTTTCATTTGCCACTGGCAATAGTAGAGGTACCTGGTGTAGAGGGAGTGAAGGTGGGCTGGTGCATCAGATCAGAGAGAGAGGGAGGCTCAGTTATGGTAGTGGAGGGTGGCAGCATGGTGATATCTACATCCTACGACTCAATACTATTCAAGGCTTCCTCCTGGTCGAGTATATTGGCTTCATCATAACTCATGCTATCTTGGGTCCAAGGAAGTAGTAGCTTGACTTGGAGCCCCTACCAGTGCAACATTGTCAGAAGGTATGCAGGTGTAGAAAGCACAGCTTCCACATGTCTTCACCAATGGCAAGAGTTTCTTCATTGCCTCATAGTGCATCCATCCTTTGTTCTTGAACTTCTTTGCAGCAAGAGGAGCCTGGATCATATTAGTAGCTGCCAGTGGTAGCAGAGCATTGACAGCACTTACTTTTGATGAGGCCATGTAGTCAGTCCATACTGTCTCAGATTCAGCTGTGATGTTGACGCCATACTCCAGACTATACTCCCAGCCAGAATAGGTCGCAACTGGGTCTACAACACTGAACGTGCTATGGAGCTGTAGGTCTTATCAGTACAAACTCTAGTACTGATGCAATGTGATAAGAACTTGCCCATGTCCATTTTGTTTGACATGCGTCAATAGTCTTTGGTACACCTTGTGTAGTACATTTATCCATCTCATTAGAGGCTGCAGTCCAGAAGGTCTTGTCAAAGTTCATTCCATCGCCACCCTTAGCTCGGTGGGTGGCAATGTACTGGATGAGGTGCGTTTCATCATCTAGTGTCGAGAAACATCGGTCTTTGGTTTCAGGATCCTGGCCCTCCAGTACATTCTTCCTTCCACATATCATGGTGTTTGTTAGACATCCACAGTGAGTGATATGATTTGCATGAGTCAATCTAGTATAGATCGTGTAGCTGGCATGTTATTAATATGTTTGGTCACATATGTCACACTGACCCCCAGCATTACAAAGCACCATATTTTCAAAATTTGAAAGTTCGTGGCAAAATTTGATCTTATCCAAACAGACTTAAGCTATTTACTATTTAGAGAATTTCAATCCTTGCATAATTAGGCACCAAGAGGTGTGCAATCGAGAAGTTCAAGACACTAACCTCAGAAACTTCGACGACGCCTACGCCTACCGTGACCGTGTGACCGATCACTCAATTTAACCATATTAAGTAGTCGTTCAGTACAAAGACGTTGTAACCAAAGCAGAACAAGAATGCAATGTAAAATGAGCATGCATGCATGGACGTGTAAGACAGAACAAGTAGCAATAGAGTGTAGCAGTGCATAAGACATTACAAGTAGCAAGCATAAAGACAGGCAATGACAAGCAAAATTGACATCCTAAGGTCAAGTGCACAACGAAACAGCAGAATGAGCATTTGCAAGGTTGGTCCGAGCCTTTTTGGAAGCACGGGGTGCCATGGTAGAGAGTGTTTGGATGCACAAGAAGTGGATGGGACCACATTCTCCTTGTCATGCCCATCCCTAGGTATGCTGAATGGCTGCCATTTCTCTTTTGGAATGTTTGCGCTGGCCTGCTCAAGTTCAGTAAGCTGCATGCCCTTCAAAGAGTGTCCATGAGAATGACAGTCTGATCCGAAATGCATGGTTTGATATGAATGATCCTCGAGGTCCATAATGTATGCAGTGCTGTTGTCGTTATTACTAGTAGAAGCAAACCATGAGTTGTAACGTGTATATTGTTGAGTTGTAGAATACATAATAAATGAGGTGTAGGGAGGGAGAGATGCGAGTTGTTGACGAGATGCGTCGAATCGATATTGACGCATCATATTGATATTAATTAGTCACGTGTCCTCAAAAATCACATCCAAGATGTTTTGTTTAGCGGGTAGTATCTTTGGATGGGCATGTTTCATTAAAATAACTATCTAAACCTATTCTACAGTAGTCAAAACACCCCCTTTACGGTCCTCGCCAAACGATTTTATGAGCTTTTGAGGCCGCTGGTGAGAAACTCAAAACGCATGTTGCGAAAGTTCGGGTGGCTATGCATTAAGGTTTTTTTGCTTATCTAAAGTTGAGCTCTGTGTTCGGGATTCTCGCACACCTCTTGTTAGGCACGGTTGATTATTTTTATGTAGTCATTTTCAGATAAATTCAAACTTATCCACATTGCTCGAGCAGTACAATTTTTCCCCCCAACACCAACGTACTGACTGCCTCCGGAACTAGGTATCGCACCATCAGCCATGATACCAAAGCGAAAGCAGAAACCTGACTCACTATCACGATGAGTGCCTCTCGGGCTGCTAGCTAAATTTTCAAATGCAGGTCAATTTTGTTCCACTCTAAGGTGCGCAGATGAGTCAATTTTAGTTGCTCAGCGACCTGCTTACACTCACGCCATCTATGTCTTCACATGTGAAGCCAGGGCAGCAGCTCCCATCCTTTGTGCAATCTGCTCCCTTGGAGTTGCATGCACTGACAGACATAGATGCTGCCAGAGCAACAACAATGGCGAGTAGGGAAGAACGCATTTTATGTGGGAGGTGATATGGAATGTTCTGAGGGGGATCTCGAATGATATTTCTGAGGATAGGGAAACACTATAGGACCACGGCCAGCTTTTATATTCTGCATATACTGATGCGCATGATTTTGATCCATATGGCAGAATGGTATTGCTGTCAGATGGCACGATTTTCGGTAGAACCTGCAGCCTGGGGCGTGTCCAATTGATCACGACTACATCCCACACCGCGGGTATGGGGGTGACTCCGCCAGCACAGCAACCAGGGTTGAGAAAATCAAATCGATGCACATTTTCGTCGATACCTCCGATATGTACTCGGTCGATATCTTATGCCATTTTGGAAAGTCGCGAGTTACGGTGAGGAATCCCATGCCATACCGAGCATGTACTCCGGAGACAAGAAACAGCGTTGGGGAAATTAGTGACCATCAACCAACTGTCCTTTGCACCCCATCCAACACTCGCTCGATGAAGAGAGCCGCTCCCGACTCACGCTACCCTTTCAATGATGTCAAATATCGCACAGGGAGTCATTAATTATTTTTATTTTTACCTTCATCGCCCCCTTTTTCAGTTTCATAATAACTTGCGCTCCCGTGTGACCTCAAGTAGACTTTGACTATCTGGTAGTACTAGAAAATAACAGCTGTCATGAGGCGCAAAGCCACTCTCGTTGACTCCATCACACTGAGAGAGATCCATGAACTGGCCTTCGAAGCCAACGTCTCAACGAACAAAATCAAGGTGCGCAGTGCGTTCCATCCTCGTACGACCTCCCAGTATCAATAATGATCGCTCGTTCAACAGGATCTCAAAATTCAGCCGTGAGTTAGCGAACGACCCATCTGCCAAGGTCGAGCACCAGGCAGCTCACACATCACCAACCACCCGGTTCTTGTGCTTGTTAGATATACAATTGGTATCCACACGCATCAGTAAACGACTATAAAGTATGCGTACAAAGAATAAACGCGCAGCTCGGGGGCATGCGACGCGTAGAGTATGGTAGGGTATATCAATGACCGGCACTGGCATCTTGGTACAACGTGAAGTGCAGTAAGTAGAGTGCGTGATCCGGTAAGGAGTGCGGCCGGTACAAGAATAAATACATGTTGAGGTATGAAACACGCGCGGTATGTGCGAGGTATAAGCGTGTATTATGTCTGCCATTTAATACGCGCAAAGAATGCATGCTCTAGAAGTCTCTGTTGTGATCATCAATCGAGTCGTTCCATGTTAAATGTAAGAGGCGCACGCACCGACGAATCCAGGTCCGAATCCTACGATTCCAACTCGAAATTAAGTGAATCCCGATCCGAGTCCATAACTCTTGCATACTCGAGGAATAACCTGAGGGATAAGAATAAAATAAGAACAAGTCGACACCACGCGAGATGGAGTCTAGCATCTCCCGCTTCACCCAACCCAGCACTCACCTATACAAGTATGCAATCATATCCTCCCGCCTCCAAAAATCCAAACTCCACTCCCTCGCCGTCCTCGCAATCTTCTTTGCAAGGTCTTCATGTGCACCCTTCCCGCTCGGGTCCCCGCGGAAGAAGACGAGGGCATCGTACAGGTCAGAGTAGTCGACTTGGATGGGGATGTAATGCACCCAGGGAGCGATGCGGTGGGTGAACCTTTATGAGTGATTTTGGATTGCGAGAGGCATTTTGTTAAGGCATAGAAGAACGTTGAGAAGAATTGAACGACAAAAGAAAAGGACACGCACCATTCAGGATACACTGTAGACTTGAACACAACCGAATTACTGATCATGAGCCTCTTGAACCGACTCGACCAGCCATTCCCGTCCACCTGCCAACACGTGAGTGAAACCCAAACGTAGCAGTGCACCAAAAAAGACGACCCACATCAAGGACATACTTGTACCTCCCAGCCTCCCTAAAGCCCATCCTTCGCCTCCACTCCCACCTTTCCTCCACCTCCTTACACACCTCCACCTCACACTGACCTGGTTTGCCAGCGAACGCTATATCCATCATCGCAGGGTTCACGATCGATTTTTTCAGGGTCTGCGTTATCATGCCGTCAGCGGATGAAGGGTCGGTGAGAAGGACATCTATCGTTTTTGGCTGGGCAGTGGCAAGCTTCTGAGGGAGAGAGGAGGGAGAAGAAACAAGATCCATTAAGCGCCCCCTCTGCGCATCCTTCCAAGGCTGATCCTTTCCGTGGTGAATCCCCGTATTCAATCCCCTCCAAAGTAACCTCTCCTCCTCCTTCCCAATCCACGCTTCCTCTAGGTCCCCATCTTCCACACCATCAACATCTTCCACCCAACTCAACATAATCGGCACCCGGATATCAGAATGCAATGGGCTGCTGCAATAGCTGAACTGTGGGATTGGGAAGGGGTATGCGACGGGGCCCGGGCCGTGGGTCAGGAACTGGCCGTGCTGGGTGAGGTGGGAAGGGTGCACGCAGGGGTCCATGGAGAGGAGGTGATCATGGATGAATGTTTTGGGTTTGGGGGTATGTGGGGGCGGGGAGGGTGGTGGGTTGCGTGCGATGCTGTTTAGAGGGCAAGCGTGCATCCAGCCGCGGATGTAAGGCGGTGGGTCTTGGGATTGGAGGTCAAGTGCTGTTTGATTGTGAGAAGTGGATACGGTAGGTAGACAGGTAGGGACGCACGTTCACCCTTTTTGCCGGCCTCGACAACCTCGCTTCTCATGTCATGGGTAAGAAAGACATTTGGGTTGTCATGGGGGCTAAACACAGCTCTAAACAGCGGCAACTCGTCTTGTACATCCTCCATTAACTTTAGGAGCTGGTTACCGGCTACTAATAACTGTTTGCGAGTTTTTTCGTCTGTGGGAAGTGATTCATTTCCTATGTGAACAGGTCCTGAGGGGGTTGATTTAACGAAGGTGTAGCTATGGTAGTGGCTTTCGTGAGCACGTTGTATTTCTTGGAGACGTGTAGGGTTTATACCCCAGAAGGGAGCGAGGTCAAGGTTGATCTGGTCGTATTCGTCTGGGAGCTGGACGTTGTGCTTTTGGACGTAAGCCCACCTGTTTGGGTTTAGAGGAGGGAATGAAGGGATGCGAGTAACGTACCATCTATCGAAGCCAGGTGGAGGTGCTCTGGAGTATCTGCGGTGGTACTCGCGAACTGCTTCGGGTAGTGTTTTACTGGCGCGTGCGAGTTTCGCGTCCCATTCTTTTTCTGCGTGCTCGATGAGGTCGAGGATAGGGTGTCTACCACCTGGGTGCACTTGGAGTAAACCATCTGGGCGGAAAGTGTGGGAGGGGCGAGGTGGTGGTGGTGGTGGTGGTGGTGGTGGTGGTGGTTCGGGGTATAGGGTATTAGAGTCTAGATCCCATGTTGGTGCTGCAGGTGCAGACCAGCGTGCTTGATATGCTCGATGGAGATACGGTGTGAACTTCGCAGAGATGTTACCACTGACCACTGAGTGATGTGGTGCTAGGGTGAATACTACGAAAGTACAAGCAAAGATGACCAGAAAGATATAGGCTCTGAGTGACTTTCGAGATACCCGGAGTAGGGACATTGAGGACCACCAAAAACGCGTGCATCGCGCATGTCTTTTAAGAGTCGGAACATCCGGAACGTAATCAATTCATCAGCTAGCATCCCCGTCAGGGTGATAAGCAGGCTTCACTTGAAATTAACTCGGATATGGAGGTCTAGACACTTCTTCAAGATCACACGCGTGCTCGGTCACCGACGCATGTACGAAATCATGCGAGACAAGGGAAAATTTTGTTGACATGATCCATGGTAGTGGCGGGTCACTACCGGCGACAGACAACAATTGCAGGGTCAAGCAAGGCACACCCTTCAGCAGTCAAAGAGTACGTACAAAGTATACCCGTAATTGTCGTGGTCCCAAAAGAAGCCCTGACCATGCGAGCGCATCCGAGTTTGTGTCGACTACAAGGATGAGCCATGCGAGCTGTTCGTGGGTGACACTGAAAAAACTGACTGTCTGATGTCCATCACGTCGATCGTACTATACAGCTCCCGGTCCATGTCCCGAAGGAAAGCTGATCACCAGTCTAATAATTGTTCGTTCCCCATGTTCTAACTAGCAAGGAGTCATCGGCAAAACTATGTCTAGGATCAATTCGGCCAGGCAGATCCAGCTATCGCTATAACCAACCAGGACTGGCACTAGCACTAAATCAGAGTCTTACACGCGATACACGCACCCCGACTCCTCCGGTTTTCTGGTAATGATAATCAGGCCTCGCGCAAGCTTTACCGGCTCCATGTGGACCAAGAATCAAGACCACACCAGCCTACCTGAAAAAGTCGACACAAAGCGACAATCAGCTGTTCAGAAATCGGTTTACGGATAAGTCATAGACTGTTTCACGTTACTCCATCACCAACGCCGTAAACTCACCGTAAGCATCAAACTTCTTTCTGACAAGCGAAGAGTCTTTTGCTGATGGCACCAAATCATATTAGTTTCTAGATTCTAGATATCGGTGTCTGACTGGGGTGTACGTGAGTGCAACTACGCTGATAACGGACAGTTGATACCGGGAGCACATACATAGCGCTGTCTTCCTCATCGCTGGGTATCAAATCTCCTGATCTCTTCGATCTCTCTCGTATGGCTTATATATGGAAGAGCGTCTTTATCGTCTCATATCTCAAGTCTTGATAAGAAAATAACGAATGCGAGAATAGAGACGGCGTTCCAACGAAAACATGAAAAATGACGAAGTCAGAGACAGCGACAAACACCCTACGGTATGAACGAGGAAGTAGCTCACGGAAAGAAATTCTCAAGTGCATTGAAGGCACGATGGAAAGAGTGTCCATGGATAGGATGTTGATTTATACAAATCTCCAGAGTCACAACCTGTGGAATAGCATCAGTGTACTAACAAACAGCGGATTAAAGTCTTTTTGTTATTGGCGGGCGCAAGAAAGAAAGAAAAGGTGAGAGAAAGTTCATACACAACGCGTGTAATGAATGAACTTCTTTGATCAAAGTGACAAAAGCCAGCAACAAAGACAAAGAGAAGTACCGTCCGCACAATACTTTCACTGGGGCAGTAGCAAGCGGAGGGGAACCCTCTTCATCGAGCGAGCGAGATTTATACACGTTGGCGACAAGGAGCTTCGATCGATGGTAGACGCCACGAATAAACTGCCGTCACAATCAAGTCCTAGTACAGCAGACGGGAGCAAGGTCGTTTCCGTGTTGGTCTAAAATGGGGTGATAGCAGTTGAGAAAGAATATGTCAGTGGGTTTTCACCGATCCCATCAGAGATTATCCCGCATATCGACGACAAGGAGCCCCACATAGCAGTTCCTTAATCTATACCAGGATATGCGGTTCGAAAAAATTGAATAAGCGAAAAGTCAAGAGTTTCATCGTGATCTTCGAGCGAGCTGATGTTCTTTCAGAAAATCGCTTCCAGAATCCAAAGAAAGTACCTGGAAACGGAATTCTGTTCTTGATCGCGAAGATATGGCTGTATAGTTCTCGGTTCATTCCGAGCGGACATTCTAACCCTCTGGTGTTTTCGACGTGTTACTTTCTGGTGGGAAATCAAAATTTCAAAGCCCAACTTGTAGTTATTAGTGTGTTTATGAAGGGCAACTTACCAGTACTTGCTCTTGTTTTCGTTAATATCCTCGTGAACCTCGACGTTCCCGCAATCGTACGTTCCTTCGCCTGCATTCAGTATCAATCTATTACTATATTGAAATTTGTTAAAATACATGTTATTTTTGGGTACCGACAACTTCATGACACCGGGCCAACACTACTCATACGTCCACCACTGAAACGGAGAGTTCTGCATCATGTTGTTCCTTCTTTGATAGAGAATTTTTGTCTCTGCTTTCATCTTTCATGGACGGTGTGAGGTTGGCTACAGGTCCATTAAACCAATGGACGCCTCCATACACCGGGCAATAATACCAGAAAATCGCAAGCGTCATGTACCCTCCAAGGACCACAACTGTGTAGTTCATTTCTTGTGCGGTAGTTTGCGGGGTTGAAGGAAAGAAGAAAACGATGATCATAAAGACCATCGACGACACGGCTATCGCGGCAATTGGAAAGCTCTGCACGGGCGTATTAGCGCAGGAATGGTGAATGCATCCTGACAGATCAACTCGCCAGTTTCCCAAGATGAAATGGGCCGGGTTTGAAATCGTTCTTAAAAACGAAGCGCGTTGTGATTGGCGTTATGAATGAAACATACGATGCAGTAAGACCGATAGTGAACACCGCATTTATGGCCGCGGTGCTCACGAACGCAAGAAGCCCAATCACCAGTACAAAGATGGCATCAAACCAAACCGTATTGACTGGTGTCTTCGTGTAGCTATTGATCCGGTACAAACATCGTGAAAATGGGAGGGCTCCATCACGAGAGAATGCAAATGTCTGGCGAGAGCCGACTAGGAGGGAGTTCGATGCCACTATATACCTGCTCTGTGATTAGGCTAAGAGTGTGCCACGCGCTGCTGAAACGTACAGCGTTGAAATAATGAGACACCACAGAGCCAAGGCCCCCCTTTGCCCAAGTGAATTGTACAAGATCTGCGCCATAGGCTGACCGATAGGGCTATTTAAGATACTTTCAAGGTCGGTGCCCATGCAAAAGGCAAGGGAAACGTTAATTCCTAGATAAGAAAATATTATCAAGATCGGAGTGATACGTTGTTCCACACACCCCAACCAAGAACTACCGACACTGCAATAGAACTGATCTACCTGGAGTAAACACAACAGTTGGTCATATTCTAGTGTTGACTCACTATTGCCCATGGTATTGCAGTAGCAGCGTTTGAGGCCTCCTCACTCATATGGACGCTGGCATCATAACCCCCTGGTAATTAAAGGTGGTCTCGAACAAACGATTCGAAAGAAGAGGGCCTAACCTATTGAATAAAGAGGAGACATGAAGCTCAAGATGAAGGCGAATCCAGATGGCCACCCAGCCACTGTGACCGACTGTGAGCTGCGATTAATATTGTAATCGGAAGAGGACACACAGTTTGTGAAATCCCCTAGTGCAAAACTTGCACTGTTTCTATATTCATGTGGCGTTGCAATTGGAAGCGCAATGATGACTATGAAGCAGAGACTGTCGGAGGACTTGAGGCATTGGTCATGGGAAAGTATACGACACCTACCACAAATTCACAAATGTGTATAGTCTCTGCAGTCTTGCCAAGACTTGGGTACCGAGGCTCACGAGGACAGCATGTGACAAGACCAAAGCTGTGTATATACCGCTGTGGGAGCCGTTATGAGATATCATGCATGGAAGAAGGTGGACTGACTAGAGCTGCTCGTTGGTAGTCACATATGCCTGACCTGAGGCAATACTGATTGCTGCTGCGATTTGAATTGCACAAGCCCAGTTTACGGAAGCTTGCCCCATGCTATCAGAAGCAAATTGTTCAACGAATGAAAGTTATCCTACCAACTCCAGTGATAGTCTGTATGGTATTCGAGTCTGCAGATCTCAGGACGGGATGTACATCATGTTAAAATTCAAGGCTTACAGCCAACTATCCACGACAGGAGATTGCGGCACCGTGGAGAAGCAAGTGAATAAGTCCAATAATATAACTAGACTTTGATGATGAGCAGGTGTGAAATAGTGACAGCGCCAAGTACATACACCTCCAGAAGTAGGTGCTGCTGACGCGAGCTCCGCCATTGCCAGCCCGATGCACATGATAAAAGGACCAGCAATTGCCCACTGCACAGAGAAAAGCTTTATAAAACAGCGATTCCCACATATGATGAAAACTTACCCCCCAAACCATAGCGACAGGCCCACCATTTGGTATGGCATAGAAGAGCACAGAGCTGAATAGATTTTCATGAGTGGAGTGATGTCGATTGGCTCGAGTCACAGTGGCGACTTACGCTATACCAGGGAGCACTCCTGTATAGCTGAATGCAAGTCCTGACACCTGTACAACTGTTGGATTGTATCGTACATGATAGAGTCTGATATTGGCAAGCCCACCTCTAGCGGGGTGAATTCCCTACAAAACTCCTGTTTGTATCCTAGCTTGGCCAAAATAGCCTCATCCGCGCCCGGTTGCAAGTGCTGCTTCGAAGTCGCAGGAGCTCTGGCAGCCATAATGTATCGTAACTATCGTTGCAGAAGTCAAATGGGCGGTCTCAAATGGGCTGAACCACCGTGACGTGACATAGCGCATACTAAAAGAGATTTGAAGAGACGCATGTAGCCAGATAAAGCCGACCGAATTACCCTCTTTATGATTAGTTTAAACGGAAATTGACCGAGGTGATGGCTGTTTAGTTTACGGTCCGAACGTCCAGATCTGTTTTACCTTGGTGGAACTTCATACGGACTCGTCGGCGAAGAAACTGGGGAGTCGCTGGGATATCCATCCGGACATGGCCTAAGCTTAAAGCTGTCCAGGCTCCTTCCCAGCCCCCGATTCGAGTGTGGAGGGGCGATATCTGAGGGCACTGGTTTGATGTTTGATAAGTCACATGATACAACAAAAATTCAAACCCAGCATAACCTTATTCCCCTCACACTCTCACCGGGGGCTGGAAGATAACATTAGTAAACAGACGTCAGCCACAGTGACGGTGACTGCAAACACCATACTACTTTACACCTAGCGTAGGGTTACAGTATTTTGAAATGATATACTCCATTTTCTGCCTCGGTTAATGTTACACCCGTTCCGATATGGACACAGTGATTGCAGCGCTACACGATTGCAACCTAAGTGCCTCACAATTCATTATATCAATTCTGCGAAGCCAACAATATAACGGACATCATGTTGTCGAAGACCTGCTTGTCCGTTGTGATGAAATCTTCAATGCTTTCATTGACCATCCTTCTTGTGGAGCTGAAACTTTGCAACGCACGAACCAAGCCATGAGAAAACAATACATCAAAGAAATTAAATCAATCTCATCAGAAGAAGCAGGTTGGCACTTTGGACCGTCACACGCAACCACGCAACAGGTAGAGGACTTTAATATCGAGGAGATGGGCAGAGAAATGCAGTCTTGTGCACCCGCACTGTGGGATTTACTTGGGTTTCTGCTCGGAGCTGATAGTTCATGCGAGGCAAAGGATGCAGATGCAGACATCATCATGGATGAAGCACATGATGGATATGACAGCTATTGGGATGATTTAGATGACATAGATCTTGAGGGTTTGATCAATGGGCTCTCTTCAGGCACTACCCCAGACGGCAACAAACAAACCGAGCGGCGCACAGCAATTGTCATGATCGTAAGCATAACACATTTCTCAAGTTACAGTGAATCTAAACAAATAAAAATCAGAAACGTGTTGTCATACTGAGCATATTAATGCAAAGCACAAACTGACGGTCAAACACCCTGCAAAGTATCCTCGGTATTTTCCTACAGTCAACCCATACCCCTCAGAAAGTCATCGACACACTCTCACGCATTGGAATCTCGATATCTACAGATTCGATCAACGCTGCTATTCGTTCACTGTCAGCTGAATCACAGAATACTCTCCGATCCATAGGAAAATCCCTCCTCGCCTCATATGCCTATGATAACTTCGATGTCGACCTAAAGTCTCAAGTTCCTCAGGCCGAGAAATCACACGAATCATTAAAGCACCTCACCTCCAGTTTGTTGTTTCCGTTGGAGCATGGTGTCACCACGGATGACTTAAAGTGCTTGGAGGAATTGTGGAGACAGTCAGCGCTGAACCCCCGTGCACAGTTATCCACGCTACCGCCAAAAAGATTGTGGAAGGATCTTTTGCATATCCACCCAGAATCACGCAATGAATCCACGCCCCAACTCTCCCGACGTGATCGGTTCAATGCACGAATGTTCTTGTCAGACTTGTGCGAACACGGGCCACTGTACTTTCAACAATTTCGATCTGATATCTCCGAGCCAGAAGCTGTCGAGGAGATACCATTAATCAAGACACCAATCACAGCTGCACGTGCTATGGACGTGAATAACTCAACTGTCAGTGGTAACATTCGGGCAGTAGAGGAACTGCTGGCACAGGGCGGCATCTACGATCCCGATGCAGACATCCTCGACAATCCTGACATCTCGCAGTATGTTATATTGGTTCATGGTGACCTCGGAATGGGAGAACGCCTGCAGTCAGCACAACTTCGACGGTCGTTAGAGTCGACTCCGTGGAATCGATTTCAGCACATTATCTTCATTCCTGGATTGTTCCACCTGAAGATGGCATGTGCTGATGCTATTTGGCGAACCTTCCTACAGCCGTTGTCAGCTCGAGAGGATGAAACGAGCTTAATGCGTGATGTAACTCAACTTCGACCCAAGGAGACAGGAACGTATTGCTCGAAGCCAGGCTTCCGGCGAACACACCAACTGATAGGTCATGCTGGCATATGTCGGCGGCTTGACTGTTGGCGAGCCCACATAGCAGCGATGGATCCAAGTCACGCGAGCCTCGAGGCATTTGCTGCCTCCGAACCGACCCTTGATGAGTTGAAGAACACCGCAAATGAGATGGCATTGAAATATGTTGCCAATCACAAGCTGCTGCAGATGTGCCGTAAGCCTCGAGAACAACGAGATATGCAACACGAAAATGCACTCCTACTCAACAAATATTTCCTCCTCTACGAAGAGCTATCTTACTCGATGAACCGTGGAGATATTGGGCGTGTAGAGACGTGTATTGTCGCATGGATTCCGATCCTTAAGGCAACAGGAAAACATAAGTACGCCACACACATGACAAATTTCTTAATCAACACGCACTTTGTTTTTCCTGCTGGCCTTAAGTGCGTGCATTCTTCGGTGGTGCTATTGATCAAGAGCTGATGGTTTCCTAGGCATGCTATGCGTTACCACATCCTTGTCAACCCAAACGGAAAGGCAATGAAGTGGCGAGCAGTTGATTGGTGTGTTGAGCTAAACAACCTGTTTACTAAGGTGAAGGATGGCGGGAAGGACTCAAACCACACGGTAGAACGAATCTTCCTTGAATCTCCTCTAGTCGAGGCCTATCGAAACACTCAAGTCATGGTGCAAAAAAATTTCTTGCACGCCCACCTTACTACAAACCATGCCGCTACAAATATGGTCAAAACGTTCAAAGGACTATGTACGAAGATGGCTGCCCAATCCCCCCATACTGTGGTGCTAGGTAGAAAAACCCGTTGCGAGATCCCTGACCTCATCGACAGAGGGAGGGATATGATGGAAAAGGCAGCTCATGGTGATGATGTAGAGATGGATGATAAAGAAGAGGGAGCGGAAATTGGGGACATATTAATGGAGGTATAGTATGAAGAATGAATATACTACTAAGCTGCGCGTGTGCCTTGAGCGAGTGGGGGTGCAGGTGAAGCTGCGCGTATTGTTACAAGAACATCTAGACGCTTGGGCCCCTACTATTTTTCTCCTAATCCTCCTCGTATCAGCCCTCGCATCATACCCTTACCCCGACCTTACCCTTGTCATCCTCGTCATCCTCGCATTCCCCTTTCGCCCTCTACCTGTCGCTTCAGCAAAGCCAGTACATTTGGCCGGATCCTTTCGCTGACGAAGCATACCCATGCTCCGTTTCACCACCTGACTGATCCTGCGGACAGTCCCCTTGCCCTTACCGTCTGGACGGTAACCTATGACATGATGCACGACGCATCCCCTTTGCCCTGTTCCCTTTCTTGATCTCTGACTCGGTGCGCAGTCGCACATGCGACTTATACTTAGATCCGCAGCTGCACGATCGTGCCCCTGCGCGTTTCACTTCTTATTTCGATCTTTGACTCACTTTCTTATCTAGCACGTTCTACCTAGACCGAACGTGCCTTCCTGTTATGGTCTTACCCTTTACCGATTGCCTCTCCCGGTAGTACGAGTTATCATCCACTAATACGTCTCCTGTCCTCTATATAAACTCGCTACCATGTACTATATTCCCTAACTTGAATCTACTTGGTTCTTGACCTCCTACTCTCACCAGAGTGATCCTTTCTGCCTCGCCAGCAGTCTATATTCTATCTTCTTATCTGCTCATCGCGGATAAGCCTATAGTCTCGACCTTTACTCATCGACTTCGTCGACGAGCAAAGCCCCTGTTAACTAGTCGGACTTCTGTCCTTCTAATTAACGACGATCCTTACGATTAACCTTCGGGTGTCATAAGCCTAGGCCGATATAGCTTATCGTCTCGCACCTGCGTGACATAAGCTACCCGATTTGGACATAGGCGTTAAATCGTACTTGCCGAAGACACGCCAAGTACGACCCCTAACCTTGGGCTAGCCCAAGGACGTCCACAGACCGTTGACGACACAAGCTCTGTTTGAGCGTCGCCAACAGATACCATCCAAGTCGTAACACGTATACCTTGAGCGAGTGGGGGTGAATGGTTCTCCTTGTTCGATCCTGAGCGTGATTGATGCCTATCGCAAACACGATTGCGTGCTAAAATAAGTCAGTATGACAGAAATAGCAAAACAAATGAAGTAACGTACCGTTATGCCCTTCAAGACCACAAGTGCTACATCGGTTTTTCCGTCTTTCAACAGCGGCAGGGACAGGCGCAAGAGATTGAGGGATGGTGACAGGTCCACCAAAAGAAGTCGTGGATATAGGTCTAAGTGGTGTTGTTGCAAATGGCGCAGAATGAGGGAGTGGTGAATATTTCTTGATGAGAGCAACAACCTCCTCCCCAAAACTCTCCACATCAGTCCAACCCGTCTCCTTCTTCAAATCGACGGTGTTCTGGATCTTCTGGTGATGGACGCAGTCGACGATGCGATCCAACATGGCATTGGGCATGACGATAGTAGGGCCAAGGTCATTGAGGTGGTACCAGCCATATACCTCGACCACCTTCTGCTCGAGCCACTCATCTAGTGCGTCTTGGAAGGCGAAGTCGTTTGCTGTCTTCTCGTACTTGCTGATGCGGGAGCGTGGAAGCATAGTTGTGGGTTTTGCGACATGAGAAGTGTATAGCGTAAAATAATTGGGGTGGTGGATGTCGCAGCAGATGGTTGGCTGGGTGAGGCAGCACCTTTCACACCCTGACGGCTGCTCGGTGTTGCAGTCCAGATGGTCGGAGTCTGAGAAAAGTAAGTATGTTGTTATCGCTTCACGCATCAGATGACTTTCTCACCAGCAGCATCATTATCAAAGCTGACGTCAAAGACCTTCCTGCGACACATCAATCCAGTACATTTTTCTGCATTAATGAGATAATCCATTGATGGATTGAGACTCAGCTTTGGTCGTTTACCATTGTATTTCTGCACTTCCCCAGCATCCTTCATCAAGTCCTTTAATCCCTGCAGGCCTGCATCTGTGGGAGGTACAGCATCTTCGTTAGACTGATCAGACTCGTCGCTGTCACCGCCGTTCACAGTCTGTAGTGCATGGGAATCAGCCGCTCGAGTATTTGATGAGGTTCCCAAAGCACGGCGCTTTGACACCGATGTAGGTAAGTTATCACCCTTTCTCTTCCGCATTGCTTCCTGTGCCTTCTTCCTTGCCTGTTTAGCTAGTCGTTCATCATCAAAATGCTCCTTCTCTGCAAACAACAATGCCGTGCCCAGCAGGCTCCGATCCCGAACTGCACGCCCAAACCACTGCCAAAGAGTGGATAGTTTGCACGATGCTCGCCATTGAATGACGAGCATGATGTCGGGAACGTCCATTCCCTGATCAGTGAGTTAATTTGTAAATACTCGTCTGATAGAATATACTTACCATCCCAAATGAATCCGTTGTGCAATAGCCCCATGTAGCACCCGATATAAGGTTCGTGAGCTCTGCATCTTTGTATTCTCCCGTCATGTCTGCGTTGAACCACTTAATTTTATCTTGTACATCGGGAGGCAAGCGTTTGCGCAGGTATAGAGCCGCGTTTATGGCATCCGGAATGCTGTCGAAAAAGATCAAGAACTTCTGCGGTGGGGGATCACCAACCTTCCAGCCCGTTGGAATGAGGAAAGCAAGATCGGCGTAGCTATTCAGTGCATGTTTGATTTTTCTGACACCGATCTTGATATTTGGGCGGTCACTGGAACGATGTATAGTAACCATCTTGTCAGCGTGCATATGGAGAAGCCGGGTGGTACTCGTCAACGAAGCTTTCGTGAGGGTAGTGGAAGCAATCATGATTGGCACATTCGATGGTAGGATGTAACGAAGGCGGCCTAATTCTCGATATTCTGGGCGGAACTCCCCCCATTCCGTGACACAGTGCACTTCGTCAATAACAATACCGACAAGGAAAGAAGTGAAAAGTGGGTCCTTCAGAAGTTTTTCAAAGTCGCCGTTTGGTTTCATTATTTGCTCAGGACTGACTGCAATGGCGCGGTACTTCAAGGCTTTGATTGCCTGCTGCCATGTGAGTGTTAAGTTTGCTGTTGATATCAAAGTAACACTGACCGAAAAATTTACAGCGCTGGCAGTTTCAGCATTTATCGCTATGGCGCGGATTCCAGCCTTCGCAAGAGACGTGGCATTTTGTTTACCAAGTAAGTTGAGTGGGGTGACAACGAGCTGAATACTGTTGACGCGGAACAGTAATGGAATCCAGAAGCCCAGTGTCTTACCCATCCCAGTCCCTGCAATGCATAATACATCCTGGTTGCCTTTGAGAAGTGCCTGCGCCACTTTAAGTTGCCATAGACAAGGCCGAATGCCGAATTTTTGCTGTGTCTGCAGACGGATTTCAGATATTGGCGGAGTCTCATGGACATTAGGAGCTGTCATCTCCCATATGGAAGCGGGTGTAACATTAACCGAGGCAGAAAATGGAGTATATCATTTCAAAATACTGTAACCCTACGCTAGGTGTAAAGTAGTATGGTGTTTGCAGTCACCGTCACTGTGGCTGACGTCTGTTTACTAATGTTATCTTCCAGCCCCCGGTGAGAGTGTGAGGGGAATAAGGTTATGCTGGGTTTGAATTTTTGTTGTATCATGTGACTTATCAAACATCAAACCAGTGCCCTCAGATATCGCCCCTCCACACTCGAATCGGGGGCTGGGAAGGAGCCTGTAAGCTGTCCAGCTTTGGTACCGACCAGAATAAAGTTTGCGAGCTTCGTAACTTTAACTTCCAACTTAGGACCACATGTGATCCTTGTACGGAATTGTGCGGAACTGTCAAGCATGTGGGAATTGTGACGAAATCAATAGTTTGCTGATGTAGGAAGTAAACTGAATATATCTAGCGGGGCCCTTGATTCCGTACCACCACCATGAACACATTTTCCCATGCAAAATTTTGCGGGCAAGGTCGAGCTGTTGCGGCTCATAGTACCAGCTGGCCATGAATCACATAAAAAACATCTTAAAAACTAAACCCAAAATGAACTTCCCAATACCACATAGCCAAAACCTAGCTCAATCAACTCCCTCAACACGAACGAAAACCCCACCTACACACAACCATGCACAAAGTCTGAAATAAACCAAAACGAGACATATGAACTACACAGCTGCATAACATATGTCAAACTACAGCGTAAGAAACAAAAACCCTATCCACACGTAAAATAACCACACCCAAGCCTCACACAACTCTGACACATACCCCACTAATAGTTCCCCCCTGAGAAATCACACCAACTAACAAAATCCTGATAGGTTGTAACTAACACAGAAACCAAAATGAACGTGGCCACAATGTCATCACCGAACCACCTGGATACCCTCCAACCCAGGCAAACTGCACCTGAATAATCACTATAAAACCCCAGCACCTCAAAACACCTCCCTCGTCCGACCAGAAATGAAAGACAAGGAAACCACTTCTCTCAAGGCCATATCCCAGGCCACTTGCCCCTACCAAACACACCTTGTCCATCATCTCAGTCCTCCCGGTCTGGGCCAAAGTATTTCCCCCCAAATGTCCTGACAGAGGACACCATGGAACATGCCATGGACTTGATACCATACATCCCTGACCCTCCATCCCCACCCTCTCCACCAACCCCACGGTCCCCCCCTGACACACCCACTCCTGCACCCCATGGAGACTATGTACACCCCACTCAACCTGACCTCCTAATCTATAAGGGATTCAGTATCACATCATCCAAAGCAGACAATGGCGAAACCCCAATCATTGGTCTCACTAGTTCCATCCACGCTCCAAGCCACTTCACGGAGGACCAGACAATGAGTGCCCCATTGAGCCTTACTAGCGGACACGTACCAACTGCTGAAGAACAAATTATACTAGCTCAACTAGCGCTGGCTGATACGAATAGAGCTGTACTAAGTCAAAACAACCTGAACCACCATATGGACCTCCCACAGTTCACCCCAGTGCCAAGCAGAGACTTCCCAATAGTACATATGTCTCACTCTGCTCAAATTTTCGACCACCTAGATAATAGAGTTCTACTTGCATGGTTCTAAGTCAAACACCCCAAGCTCATGGTTAGGGTGTTCAACCACTCAGGAAAAGATGTAGCTGAATGGACTGCCATTATAGCAGAGCGCATCCACTCTAACGTAGCCACTATAGCGGAATCCATCCACCAAGACACCCCATCCGTCCATGTTTCTCCCCCGCAACCCCAAAGCAGCAAAGGAGCAAAATACCTCCCAATAGGCTTCCTAGTTTACAAAATATCTGATGAGACCAAGACTTCGAAGCCCTTCCTTTTAATTGTAACCACCCCCCAAGACTCCTCTTCTGCCTAGCCGGCTTCACAACCTCAGACACAGATACTGTCCTACAAGCAGTCACAGACACCTGGTACCAAGATGAGAACCGCTACTGCATAGACAGCTTCCTCTCGAAATGCAGACTCCCTGATGACAAAATGATCTACAAAGCCACCCAAGACTTCATTGAGTCCACCCGCATTGAACTCCTTGACTTCAAGATCACCAGAGGCCTCTCTGTCCCAAGATTTAATGTCCTCACAACCAGCCCCACAAATGACACCAAAACCTGGACTGATCTCAGAAGTTTCCTAAGCACACTCACCTATCCCACCAGCCTCGATGGCTACAGATCAACAATGGCCTTATTCGCGTGCCAACTCTGTCACTCACTCACCCACCCACGAGGACTATGTCCATTTCTGCTCATCCCTAACTGGAACGGCCCAAAAGTAGGCAGTAGGAACAATACCGTGCCACGACAACCTGGCAGGGCTAGAGGCAGAAGACCTGGACAGAACAATTGAACTACTACATAAGTGCCTACCGTCTGATAGTATACATACCCAACCGCAACCTGCTACCTCATACACCACATCCCCCCTCAGTTTACCCTCTGTACCCCTACCTACCTAGCCCACCCCCACTCATATGCCAATCCCAATATTGTTACCAGAACGAAGCCCCCAAAACACTAACTGACCACAACAGTTCCACCTTAAGACCCAGTTCCTAAGACTACGTGAACCACTGATAAAGTAAGATTGGTGTAAAGAGTAAATCTCTGCTGGGCTCAGCAGAAACTGTACTACCTAGTCAACAATATTTAGGTAGATCTTAGCATGGCCTATGCTGCTATACTTGCAGAGCAAGTGCATTCAATCCTAAAGGGATTGCTAATTGGTATTAGTAGTAAAATGTGTCAGTAATGCAGATAACAAAATGTCCAATGCTGTGAAATGATGTCCGAAGGTACTTATCCGATGTCTGAAGCCAAAGTGCAATGTCTGAGATTTCAGACTTTTGGACTTCACGATAATAGGTCGGAGACTTTATAATGAGTGTCGGATTGCGAGCAGTATGCGTGAGTATAACGAGTGATGGAGTATGATGGTGAATGAATGGTAATATTTCGCAATGCAACTAAGAACACTTTGGTCACCCCATTTCAGGTACCTCTTAGGTTATATTATACCTATAAGGGTTTTCACCTAGGGGGTGCTTTTCAGATGGTCTGGCCGATGTTTGTTGGTCTTTCCCCAAGTCCATAGGGTCCAAAATAAAATATGTTGGCATGGTCCAAGGATCAAAATAATTTTGGGGCAGGAAAGACCACCAGCCAACATTGGACCATACATGCATGGTATTTTCCCATGGTGGAGGGGTGTCAGGGGTCCTCTTACCACCCAATTTTCTGTGCCAAAAAAATGAAAATTTTGTGGCATTCATGGCCCCTAATATGCAAGCCAATGGGTCATATAATGTCTGTAATGACTATTAGATGTCTATAAACTTTGAAATAAGATTAGAAAACACAAAATGATTTCATTCACTGCCCCCCCCCCCTTCAGCCCAGGAATCACACCCCTCTGAAAATGATCACACATTTACCTCACACCGATATGTCTATAAAATCACCTACGCCTACAGAATCATCACTTGTGGATCACACTATTCAGATATTAATCCACCAATGCCTGGTCTCAGCTACTTGCCCACGCCTACAGAATCATCACTTGGGGATCACACTATTCAGATATCAACCATGTGTCTACCAAGTAAAGCTCCCACATTTTATTGTATATTATCTTTGCCACCCCCCGTCATTGCACACACCCCATCATCTTATGACAGACTCGCAAGTAAAGCTCCCACATTTTATTGCATATCCAAGTCTTTGCCACCCCCCGCTTTGTCTTCTAAACAAAATGATCATTCATTCACTGCCCCCCCCAAGCCCAGGATCACTCCCCTCTGAAAATGATCACACATTTACCTGACACCAATATGTCTATAGAATTGCCTACACCTACAGAATCATCACCACTTGGGCATCACACTATTCAGATATCAACCATGTATCTACCAATGAGGATGGGATAGCCCCGCCATCAATTATGGGATGGACCATATTTGATTAAGGGAAGGACCAGAGCCTCCAATTCATCATCTGGCTGATGAATTTCCTGTAGCAATACTGAGTGAGATTACAAGAGTAAAGGTGGGATATACCATTATGACGTCTCCATCAAAATAGAACAAGAAGTTGCTATCAACGTCCATACTCCTGATGGATTTCTCTTCAGGCTCCTGCGTTCCTTGAGCAAAAGATGTCAAAGGTAAAATCGCAATGATAGATTGTACGAACCACATATGTTGCGCTTTTGATCATTTTGTATAGTTAGTGTAGACGGGAGATGAAGATAATTGTTGAGGTAGAAATTGGATGTATTCACGAAGTGTAAAGCTTAAGTCGGTAAGCAATTGAACTTAGATTTCGATCGCGATCAGATTGCGCAAGGACTCAGTAATTTTGAGCATTTATCAAAATTATTGGGTTCTCGCACAACATCAATTGTTAAATAAATCAAACATAAGATGAGACCTACATGTACCTTAGGTAACTCGAAGCATATGAGATGAGATAAAGATGAGAACACATAGGAAAGGCATAAGCATAATGAGTAGACGTTACCAGAAGACATTACCAAAAGTGGGCAGCAACAAGGGCTACAAAGTTAGTAATACTCATCTTCCTCGATGATTAGACGGTGATCAGGAGATGCTAGGCGAATACGCGGAGATCTGACAGTTGGATAATGGCGGCGCTGCAAGGAACCAGCATGGGAGGTCGGCACAACAGAGGAACTGGCACGGGAGGGCAGCACAACAGAGGAACGTGATGGCAAATGAGAATGGGAGGTGCTGACAATTTGTGATTGGGCCCACCCTGAATGTATATGGGAACTGATACAATAAGATGACAGTTAGCAAACATACGTAGAAGTCAGGGCATAGCAACACACTTGTCATGCACCCTGACACAGTGCCTCTCCTCTACCGTTTTATGCTCCAAGTCTTCAGTCTCCCGAGCAGATTCATAATGGGGCCAAGTCCATTTGCAAATATCTGAATGGTATGTTGGCATAACATCGTCATATGCATGTTGATGTTGAAGTGCTCCATTGCAGGATGGCTTGTATCGAGAGTGGGACTGGACGTGCGAATAATCTGAAGTTGGCACTGGAGTTGACGAGCGTGAAATAGGAGGGGGAGACGAGAATTGCGAAGATGGTGTTGACAGTGATGAAGGTGGGAGGTCATCAAAGACTCAATTAGTAGGGTGACACGAGTGTGGGGCTTCCTGGGGTGGTAATGAAGGCGGCGATGAAGGCAGGAGATCCTCATGGATAGCTCGGTTAGTATATTGGCGAGAGTGCGAAGCTTCATGATTGGAGCTCGGAGCTGCATTGTTGAAGTGCAAAGCTGTCTGATTGGGGCACGAAGCTCCCATGGTTGAGTGTGAAGCTGCTGGATTAGAGATAGCGGGTTGTTTGATTACCTCATTGGTGCGGCGTCTAGGAGTGTTGTCTTTTGGAAGGTCCTTGATGAACTTCTCCAAGTCTTGGAGGGCACAAACGACCCTGCCGTCAGTGTCGATGACGAGGGGGATGAGACACGTGTTTGAGGCCTGAATCTCAAGAGCAAGAATATCATGTGTGGTTGTGATATTAGCTTGTGCATGATTTGCAGTATCCAATATGTACTTTCAGGCCATCTGCTGATATGCAATACTACACTTGGCTCCTCTGCAATTGGTCCCTTCTTCCTTCCTTTGTCACCTGACTTCTTGGACTTGCCTTTGCACTTCTTTGCCTTTGCTGCCTCTGCCTTGCTGTCATCGTTGTCATCATCATCAAGGCCTAACTCAGCCTCGTACATGGCTCCAAGATGAATCCTGAGATAAGGAGCAACCAATGCACGTAGTTGACTTGCAGATAGAGCCTTGAGATCAAAATTGGGGCCAGGCGGGGGAACACCAGTGGGCCAATCATGTATGCAAAGCTTCTTGGCATATAGGATGTCCAACATGGTTAACCACCTACTGTTTGAGGTTTTGAGCGGGTGGCCGGCCTCAGCTATACAGCATATAGTTAGTACAGTAGAAATACACTCAATTAAACAAATGTACCAAATTTCTCACTGATCATCATGGGCACCACCTTTCTGTTCCTATCCCTGGCTGGCTTGCCATTACACAAGAGGGTACTGTTCGGAGTGGTGGAAGAAGGGGGGAGTAAACTGAATGTCTTGCCTTTGGTGTGTGTGGCTTCCAAGTCTTTGTACCTGGAAGTAATTTAGCACAGACACCTATAAATAATACAAGACACACTTAAGGATTGTGGTGATCTCATCTAGCCAACACTTGATATCCAGTTGGTGTGAGTTGATGAGGGCCTTGACCATATCAGAGCCGGCGAACAGTCCTGATGCTTGGTGGCCTGCCTCTTCATCACCAGGGAATATTGCCACACCGGCAATGTGAATGCCATAGGTGCGATGCCAGTATGCAGCCTTGATCGTAGTTAGTTTCTGGATCAAGATTGCATGAATATGACACTTACCGATTTTGTGAAAGCACCATGAACAGCCATCATCAGACCTGCAGCAGATCGTGATGTAAGGTCCTCAGTTGAACCCGCGACAGCATGATCCCAGTTCTCCAGGATCTCCTTCCACACTGATGCGTGCTGAGGGTCACCATGTGGGTGGGCCTTGTAATCAGCTTGTTGCTTCACCTTCCAAGCCTTAAGATCCGCTGCAAAAGTCGTTAGCATTAAGCAATTAATAATGAAAACCACAACACACCTGGCAACACAGCTCCCAACACTCCTTTAGGCAGGGGGCAGGTGGCTACGAACCATGTCTGATGTTGGTTCCACGGAGACTCCTTCCGGGTTGCCTTCATCGTCAACCCAGCTTCAATGAAGATCGTCCTTGCACTCTTCCCATATTCTTTTCCAATTTCTCTGGCAGCTTCCAACGTATTCTTTCCAAGCTCCTGCGCCTTTGAGATACCTGCTTGAGGTATTCTCCCTTTGATCTTCACAAAGTCTTCATCATCCTTGTCTTTGCTGTCGTTGTTTCCATTGATGTCCACCACCACCTTGGACTTTTGCTTTTGTGTGGCCGTCAACCGAGATGGAGATGGGAAGTTGCTTGCAGGGACAGCCTCATCGTCGTCACCATCATTTGCAGCAGTATCAACAGCAGCTCATTGTGCTTTCTTGCGCAGCTCTTGGTTGGCAGCCCAGTCACTGTCAGATGGAGAGCTCTCTTTGCCGTCGTTATGATCAGGTGCATATGACTTGACTGCCGCATGAGCTATACAGGTGGCCAGTAGCAGGAGTAGCAGAATTATTTCTGCCATCCTCTGCGCTATGTCACTCAGCACAGGCAGCTGTATGCACAATTAGTTAAGGTACTGGATATATAGATGAATGTCTATGGCTCACCTGAAGTATCCTTGCCATGGTCCTTTCTTCCATGCCCTGTGTTGTGTGACTCAGTAGGAGTAGCTGTATTCACAATTAGTGAAGCTATGAAATATGAAAGAGTGACTATCTTACCTGAAGTCCCATCATTGGGATCGTTTGATTGAATTTCAGAGGCAGGATTTGGATCCTTGCTCGCAGTAGTGCTATGTACTTCAGCAACCAATGCAGGAGCTGCTAGGCAACAAGTCAATATAGGACATTCACATCACAATAAAAACTGTACTTGTTTCTACATTGCCATCTTGGGTGTTGGCGCATAATTCTTCATCTGCAAGAGAGTTGAATTCGGCACGTGTCAATGAAGTGCCATCAGCAAGTTGAACATGAGACAGGGAGGATTGTTGATCTGTATCGACATCGGGGGTCTTTTAAATCATTGATGAGCACCTTGAAAAACTGGCCTCAAAAATCTCCTCCTCAGCGGATGAAGTCATGAGGCCAGAATGTTTGGACCATGCAAGCAGATGAGGCTTGGGTGGAGGATGACAACGAGTTGTAGATGACTAAGAAGTAAGTGGGGACACCAACATATTTGCAGACATAGCTTACCTCTTGTGGATCGTCATCATCATTGTCGTCGCCGACCATAACACTCTTAGGCCCAGCACGACGACGAGCATGGGGGTGTCTTCAAGGCCGGGGGGACTAAAGTAATGAAAAATCAATAATGGTTGACAAACTTTGAAAAAAATAACTTACCTGGATGGTGTCTGCATCAGACTCAGTATGAATGTCCACTGCCTTGCTGTGAGTCTTGACAAGACAGGAGTCAGCTACTACAGATGTCAAGAAAATATAAAGAATACCTTGGGTTCATCAGGCAGAAGGGGACACTTGACATGATGACCTGAGCAGGTAGTAACAGCGGGCATTTTCAAGTCAAATGATAGAGTTCCTACAATCACGGAGATATGTAGAATACAAGTTGAGAACTTGAAGTTTGCTCAACAATATTTGGTCGACACAAAGTCAGATGATGTATGGATGGTAGAAGATGGTGAACTGCAAACAATATTGGATTGAGAAAGCGGAATTTGATGCACTCAAAATTGAGAGACTCATTACCTTTATAGTTTGAACTATGGACATTGTTGCCATAAACACTAGGGTACAGCACTGAAGCTAAACCTGGTTAGCGCTCAATAATTGAAAAAAGATTGACCTTGGCCTTACTGGAATGGTGGATCGGAGGTGGTGGCTATGTACAGTGCCCAATCCTTCAGATTGGTCAAGTCTGAGACTGACTAAAATGGAATGAGTGCATCACTGGCTGGGAGACGAGCCAATGAGAACCATGTCTGGCAGCCGAGGGAAGTTAGCAGACAGATCAGCAGTAGTGAGCACATACAGAGCAACACTCAGATCTCAGGAGAGGTCAAGGCCCACTAATATACAACCCTGATGGAGAGATTGGCCAATGAAAGACTCAGCTGACCCTGACTAATACAAAAATGAGCGGGACAGATCTGACTGATTGGCTAAACCTAACAGGTGTGGCTACAGCCCATACTAAGCTTGTAGTATCAAGATCCTCCCTGTACACAATAAAATATCAAATGCCTCACATAGACAGATGAAATACTCACTTGCTTGCACCTAGATTAACAAGTTTTTGCCAGTACTCCATTTGCAATGTCTCATGCTCAGGTTCAGTATGGGGACTCTGTAAATAAGTCTTCTCCTTCATTAGCCAGTCCTCAAAGATGGACTCCTGAGTGATATCAAGATCTTGCATTGATTTTGGGAGTGTAATGCGACTGTTGGCTATGATGTTGAGAGCTTGTTTGTAGTTGTTGTACAAAAAATTGGCTGCAAATTGAGGTCAGAAAAAGAGTACTGATGTGAGCATAGTGAACATACATAGATTTGCATATACTTCATAATCATTGTTGTACTCGAAGTAGCTTATGATAGCTTGCTGACAGTGGAAGATACTTGAGTAACACGTCGTAGGTGCCAAAGAATTTGATTTCGAGAACGTGTGCTCGCACATTTCTAAGTCTTCCAGCCCCAAAACTGGAACATATCGTGCGAGATGATCAAGCTGGCACAGTCAGCGGTGAGCATGCCCGTGGAATGCGCCAACGAGGGACATGTAATGGAGAGAATGCACGCAGGGACCTAAAGGACTGTTGTTAAGTGTTGTCTTGAACTGACATCCAATGTCATATCCACCACCAAGGCCATTACCAAAGATGTCCATCAATTTTGCAACAATAACTAGTGGGTATTTTGCCCTGTGTGATATAGGAATGAATGTTAGCAGATATCACAAGAATAGCTCAGACATACAACTCCCCACTCTGAACCATATCAACAATTAAGAGGCTAAATCCATGTCGGCACACCACAGTGAAGATTCCCATTTCATCATATATCCCCCATGCCCTCTTTGTCTTCTCATCATCCATGTTATTCCACCTGTCCGTGCAAGGGTTTCCTGACGAGTCTGAATCACGTGTTACCTGCAAATAAGTCAAAAAAATCATTTTTAAATGAAATTGTAGATGTACCTCTGAGTCCTCCATGCCTACTTTGCTCCACTGATTAACACAATCACGCAAGAGATAACAATCCCCTCGGACATGCTGCATGGTAGGAAGTTCAGATGATTCTCCACTGTCTTTCTCATCTATGCCAAGAGTGCGACAAAGGATGCGCTTGAGGGAGTCATTGCCATCCATAGCGAATAGTAGAGTGAATGTAAGAGGTACCTCGTCCTTGAGAGTATAGGTACATGAGGGACAGGCATGTTTGAGCCGCCAATCCAGAGAATCATGGTTGAGTGCCTCAGCTACCAGAGAATCTACAGAACTGTGAATTAGCATGTAAAGGCCAAAGACAATTGTGAGTTGGCATGAAAGGTAGTGATGATACTCGACCTTCAAAGTTTTATTCATAAGCACAATGATGAACTGAGAAATTGAAAAACATACCCCATGTAAGTTGCAAAGTGTTTTGCTGAATGCCTGCATCAAAAAGTGAGGATTTCGAAAATGTGCAACACAATGTAGCTCGAGTGCATCAATGGTGATGGCAACAGACGGCAAAATGGGTGAACATGGGATCACACCATGATGGACAAGGGCAGACACAATAAATGCATCTGTCACACTGATTGTGAGAGTTGTGCTCTTAGCATCTATTATGTAGTATATGCTGTCAGGGAACAATCTCACAGTGTAAGAGGGCACGACTCACAGAATACATCAACAACTTTACCTGTCCAGAGACCTGAATTAGCCTCTTCCAGCACACACCTTTGATCAAAGAAGCTCTTTTTACCACTTAGTTTGCAGTCCAAACTCCACTCCAGAAATGCACATGTGATAACTGGCAGCTGAATATTGAATGTGTCCATGCATTGCTGTATGTGATCACGCTGCATGTGATGATTGATTCATTGTGTGTTGCTTCTTGATGTAATGCTGTTTCCCCAATTGCAGGTAAGAGAACTTGAAGTTGATATAAGTTTAGATAGACTTACGGTTTTTAGAAGTCTCCCACGATCTCACAAGTGAGGTCCTCGACAACTCCTACATCAATGTGTTTTTCACGCAGGATCTCATTGACGTCAGTTGACATGTCTCCTGCCTCAAATGTGACATCATCCATGTCATCTTGGTGCTCAATCAAGGCTTCCAATGCCTCGCATTGTTCCGTGGTCATCTGGACAAGCTTCATCCTTCAAGTGGAGTAAAAATTCATGGATATTATGTAGTTACCGTGGGGCAAGAGGTCAGCATCTTTTTCAACTGGTATGTTATTCTTGATCGACTATCTACGTGTTTAACTTAGCAACCTCAGGCTTGACGCAAAGGCACGTGTTGATGGCATTAGGGGTGCCGCTCACATGCATTGTGAACACTGGTCTGATGCACTGGCCTTGTGCACGAAGCACTACTCCCAGGGTTCCATACGTGCAGTACCTACAGTTGGAGGGCCTTTCTGCTCCTCTGGTCCCTCCCAAATGCCAGTTAGTCCAACACTTACTACATCATCCTCTGGCTCTGATGAGCCTGGTCTTATTTTGATGATCTGTCGCAAGAGCTGAGCAACAGCTAGATTTAGCATACCTAACTACTATAACACAATGTATCTAGCATGCCGAATTATATACTTAAGGAGGGCTTCTTCAGTTTGATGTGGAGTGATATGAGTTCAGTTTGAATGAAAATGATAGGATACATACATGTGATATAGTAATTGTGCTTGCATTACAGGCTGATGTTTTGTGTGGTGCACATTTCATATGTGGCACTACCAAGGATTTGGAATTGAGGCAACTTGAACGAGTCATGCAAATTGGCCATTGAACACGAACATGGAGAAAGCTCACTACACAATTCATGTTCCTGCCTCAGATATAACTAGCAATACATGGGATCCAATCCTAGCTATTCTATAATAATTTTAGACCATAATTCATTCTCATAGTTGAATCTGAGAGTGTTATGTAGTGATAGTGAATGTGTTTGCTATGATGTTCGCTATGTTCACTATGTATGTGTTCACTCTCAATAGATCTCATCACGCATGCAAATTGTGCACTGAATGTTCTCAAGATGTGCCAAATTCATTATATTAAACATGTTCATACTGTGGGTCAAATAAATCATATATTAAGCATGTTCATAGTAGCGTGCAGAAGATATCCTACATAACGGAATAGCAGGAGTATACTTGTCGAGTTTGACCTCGAAAAACTTGACCTCTGACAACACTATTAACATCTGATCATACATTCACATACATCTATCCCTCGTCTGTTTACCATTACTGCATGGACTATATGCAATGTGCTTCAAGTCGTTGAGTAGAGCTTGTCCAACCGTGGTGTGTTCCTCACATTGGCTAAAAAAGTGGTTGACTGCACAGTTGCCTCGGTCTTGGGCCAGCCAAAGTTTTTCATTGAAAACTTTCTCCCAGATATTGGCAGGGCCCCAATCATATTGCCATTCACAGATCAAGACCTGCAGTTTGTGGATGGTAGGGGTTTTGATATCAGTGGCATGCAGGAGATATGTCGTATCATCATCTGATGAAGGATCCTGTTGTTCATCTAGATATAATGAGATTAATAATGTTGTAAAGAGTAGGTCTGGGCTGGGCTCTACTGAATGTGAGTCCCTAGTCCTGAGAGATGCGAGTATGCTTCGTCCCAAGAGACAACCTAAGAACTACCTTGATAATGCAAGGGAAGTCTTATACAGTTAGAGAGTAGACAAGATATTGGAAGGAAACCTCTTTAATGTTCGTCCTGTAGTTCCGAGACTACTTCTGAAGTACCGAGAAACTTGTCCGATGCAACCAAAGGTCGTTGAGGCTGCAAAAGTGTTGCCCAAAGTAGCGCGATGCCTTCCGAGGCTTGCGAAGGCTGTCCGAAGGTCTATATATGTCGGTGTGTCGAATAACAGTATAAGACTTTGTGCAATGTCCGAAGTCCGGAACAACACTAATCTATCGAGACTCGAGAATAAATGAAGTGCAAAATTGGCAGCGGTCTAGCCAAACAATTGTTCCGAATGAACAAGGATCGATTGCGCAGTTTACGATTATACCAAGGTGACTCTACTAATTACTATTCAAAGTACGGGAAGTGAAGTGTCCTATCAGTAGCCAGCAAGCGAGATTATATCCTACTTCTGTGAGAGGCCAAAATCCATAGGCAAAACTAGTAGCGAGATAAGCAAGTCCGAACCTATGTAATAAGCCGCAAGGCGTGCAGGAATGCAAGTATACATGTAATAAGCTGTGATGCAGTACTGTTTATATGTATTCCGAGACTCCCGACAGGATGCTGATGGAATTGTTATCCAGTGTAGCACTAAGACGTAGTCAACATATAGTTAGAATAAAGGAAAATGCACCAGCGAAGTCAAAAGGATGAGGATAGGACATGGTATGGTAACTTACGAGGTTCGGACGGGTCTCGGAACACGAGAACTGCCTGCGGAAGGTTTGGACAAGTGCGCACGGCCTTCGGAAGGTCAAGGGAGGTCGGGGAATGGTATGAACATAGGTGTTGGATTGCCTGGTTCCAAGCCCAGCGCCACAACCATTGTTACATCTGCGGGGGCCTTAAATACTGACCGTCCTCGGTCACCAATACTCGAATAGACTTAGTGAAAATTCTGCGAATTTGGGCGCACGTGACTGAAGTTCCAAAAAGGGAAATGATGTGAGGTTCAGTGGTTCAGTGAATTGTGAGAAGTGGACGGAAAAATAGAAGTCCACTGTGGTGAAATCATTGTTCTCTATAAAGTCTCGCTCTTTTCTCGCCACTCGTTTCTTTTCTCAACTTTTCACATCATTATGTCCTTTTTCCAATCCTCTGTCAACCCAGATGCCGAGTGCATTATGGGCACATTCCTTGCTCTTGTCGTTGAGCTCGACCAGCTCTCGGCAATCATTCCGGAGGAGGACACTCCCTTCCTCGACAAGGAAGTTTGGTGCCGTGACTGGTCCAAGTTTTTCATGAGTACTTTGTTCCTTGAGAGTTTCCTGACGATGCTGATGTTCTACTAGGATAACTTCTCCTCTTGCCAGAAGGAGGTGAAGGAGAAGGGTGTGACTCTCCCAATGTCCGGCAAAATCGCTGCAAAGGGCGATGCCTGCATTGCCGCCCTTCCGAAGGTTCAAGACACGGTCCCTGCAATGAAGGAGGAGGCTGCTAAGCAGGCCGAGGCAAAGGCTGTGGAGGAGGAACGGGTGAGGCTCGCGGAGGAGGAACAGAAGAGGTTGGCGATTGAGGAAGCGGCGAGGAAAGGTTGGCGAGGAGGACACTACAGGCACCGGATGAGGAGGAGAAGGAGTCGTCTGAGGAGGAGGAGGAGGGGGAAGACAGTGACGTGGAAGCATCGGGCGACCGGTTTGTCCATCCTAAGGTGAGTCTTTCCTCTTTTTCTTATCTTATGTACTTAACGTTTTTCCTCAGACAGGTCGCATGTCGACCAAATCTACGCCGGCAATCCGGTACTCTAAGCGGTGCACTCGCTGCGAGCGGCAGAACTCCACCTGCTTTGGTTTGGCAGGCCAGAGTTGCCAAGCGTGCAAGAGAGCACACATCCGGTGCGAGTACAGCACCACTCCACCTAGTAAGTTCCTTCTTCCCTTTTCGCTTACTCGTACTAACACTTTTCTCTAGAAGGCAAGAAGGCTGTGGCGGCAACTCTGGCGCTGGTCGCTGGGCCTTCTTGCCCTGCAGCTGTTCCGGTGGCGTGGGCCATCTCTATCTCGGAGGACGATCGCGTCGCGCCTTGCCCAGTCGCAAGAGGCTCAAAGAGGAAGGCTGTGGATGCATTGGAGGAGGAGGTGGAGACTTTGGATGAGGTGGACGAGGCTTTGCAGAAGCAGTTCAAGGTGATGGAGGCCAAGTGTATTCAGGCGGAGGGATAGCAAGGGAGATGCGGATTGGTATGGACCTTATCGCTAGAATGATTGCGAAGCTGGTGCCGCATGTGCAAGTAGCTATATTTACTTTACTTTCTTTTTTTTGCGCAAAGTCGCCACCTTCGGGCCAATACCACAGAGTTCCAGTCTTTCCTGTGTGAATGTCTTGATCCAATACCATGTCCTCTTCCTGTACCTGTAAGAACTTCGCTGTGCCTAAGAATTGAATATAAGAAGTTTTTAAGCACATGATCATCGGAAGAAGATTCGGAACTAAGAGATCAAATACGGATCATGCGGAGTACCATCCGTCTTATCTTCATTGATTTGCTGTCTGCTTCTATTCCTTCGGATGCTCAGATTGTATTCCCTTGGTTCTGGAAATATCAAAGTGCGTGGTGTGCTACCTCCGCATGAGAAGAAAAATATGTATGGTAATGTTTGGTGCGCAGGGGTATATCTCGGAAGTCCATTGCTCGTTCTCAGAATTTTTGCGTGGCTAAATAAGAGTCTATATGCTTGCGCGCGGATAATATGTAAGTGGTTTCGGAATGTTCAGAGAGAAAGGGAGAATGGAGATCACCAGATGAAACCTGGGGTAAAACAGAGACTATCGCACTAGAGATGATTTTATTTGTTGAGTCCGAACTCGGTATCTTCGTCTTCTGGCTCTTCTACCGCTTCACTCGCAATTTTGTCCAAAGCTTCGTCATCCATACCGGTGATTCTGGTTACCGATACTTTGGTGTCGCTTCTCAGGTAGTACGGTAGCAAGCGAAACACCGCATATCGTAACTTCGATACTGTTCCATCTAACTCGCCTAATATGTATGATCCTCCGAGAGTCCAGCGAAGGACAATCATTGGTATGATGTACCTCGGCTTTGTCTTCCAGTTTAGCTTGTACTCTATCTTCGAGTTCCGCACAAGCACTAAGGTGCCCGGAGCGAAGTCGTGTCCTCGGATGGTGCTTCAGAACTTTATTTCAAATTCTCGGATGGACCGGAACCTTGCTTTTGTGACTTTGTCTTTGATGGAATCTAGATCTTCCTGCCGCTTCATAAGTTGGCGGGCACGCCATGCTATAAGTTCATTGGAAGTTAGTTTCTCTTGGTTCGGTAAGTCAACTAAGAAGGTTGCTTCGGCGAGATCAAAAGGAAAGATTGGTTCTACTCCGTGTACCATGAAATACGGTGAGAGTCCGGTGGATACCTGGATGGTTACTCTCTCGACCCATAGTACCGTGTGCGCAAATTGATACCAGCAAGACTCATCCCCCTCATAACTTTTCATGATGGCCTCCCGGACATCTCGGTGATGTTGCTCAATGATTCCGTTAGCTTGCTGAATTGTACAGTGATATTTGTATTTGGACATGGTTGATGCCAGTATCGTGCGACGAGGTCCTCCATTGCTGATATAATGGTTGGGGCGTTGTCGGTGACGATTTCGGTGATTGGACCCCATCTGCAAATTAGCTCTTCAAAGATAAATGATGCAACGATCTTCACAGATTCCTTGCAGAGCATCCGCCATTCCAGATATGCGGTGAGCGCACAGCGAGCGTGAATGATTCGGTCAAACCCACTGGCCCTCAGCATCATCATAATGTTGATGTGTACCCTTCGGAATATCCCTCTGGGTATCGCAACTATTGGCGGGATGTGCAACTTCCGGGTCTGTCGGATCTGGCACTTGGGACAGCTCCTGTTATACCATTTGATGTCATTGGTCATTAGCAGCCACCAAAATCTGAGAAGAAGACAGATTCGGATCGTAAATACTCCCTTGTGCCCGAGGTCATCATGTGCCTCTTTGAGTAGCTGATACCACTTCGCTTCGGGGACAACAAGCTGATGCTTCTCCTGTGTATGTTTCTTCCATAATCTTCCGTCGAAGATGAAATACTGTTGAGATGCGCCGATGAAAGTCTCGAATTCTTCGTCCGAAAGTTCTGAGGGTCGTTCTCGGTTCTCTAGGAATTTCTGAATTTTCAAGATTCTTGCATCTTGCGCTTTAGCGATCTCAGAGCGCATGATGCGGATATCGTCAGAACCACCTTCAATGGTACCTAAAAATGCGGAAAGGATGGGGGGACGGGTTAGCAGGTTTGGTACGGATACAGTATACGGGTAGTGCGGGTTATCGGAGTCTATCCGTGCAATAGCATAAGTGCGGTCATTGAGAATTTCCATAGAGAACGAGTATGAGCGGTCAAGCCAGTCCTCATGGTCATCACTTTCGTCTGGATCTTCGGGTGCACAGGGTCTCCTTGAGAGTTCGTCAACACCTGCGTGCTTCGCTGCGGGAACATGAATTAGCGAGAATCGGAATAAGAGAATACCAGTGATCCATCGGTTGATCGTCGTGTTAGGCTGGAGATCGGGGTTATTAATCATCCCTTTAATATACTTTGTGTCGACCTCAACCGTGAGGTTGGTGACACCAAAAATAAAAACTCGGACTGCGCGAAGTGTGCAGAACAATCCATATAGCTCGAGTTTCGCTTGCGAATAGCGGTGTAGAAAGCTAATTTCCGCTGGGCTCAGCAGAAATCGTACTACCTAGACAACGAATATTTAGGTAGATCTTAGCACAACCTAGTCTGCTATACTTGCAGAGCAAGTGCGTTCAATCCTATGGGGGTAGCTGTTTGGTATTAGTTTCGATAGTTAGTTATCAGTAATAGGAAGATAATCCGAAGCTAAGAACTACTTGTCCGAAGGGAAACTGTCAGGTCCGAAAATATCAGAGTCGGGTCGGGCGTTGGACTATGCGTTGGACTGTCGGGAATTGCGTTGGATGGTGAAGGAATGTGTTGGAAGTATGTCAGAATGTCGGTCAAATGAGTGTCGGATGTGTCGGAATGTTTCCGAGAAAAAGAGTGCATAGATATTTCACAATACAATAAAGTACTACTAATATCCAATGACTTCCATCCTACTACTTGAGTAGGGAAAAGTAAGTAATGCAATAGCTAGGAAGTACTAGATATTAAATAGTGACTATGTAGAAATTCGGACTGCTATAGGCAAGAGTAGTAGCAATATTTTGGGTCCAAAATCCTATGTAATAGGACATGTGGTACTGCGGACCATGAGAAAACATGTAATAATGCTGTATACAATGCTTAGCAAGTCAAAAGGAGTAAATGCACACCTAGTGGGGATAGATGCAACTAGACAAGACATAGGGAGGACTGGTCCGATGCACGGGAATGTCGGGTCAGGATCGGACATGCGCCGGACTGTCGGAAAGTGCGTCTGGTCGGGATCAGACTGTCGGACTCGGGTTGGGGTAGTCGGAAGTGCGTTGGACAAATACTGTTTGGCATCAGTATCAAAATAGCTAGTTCCGAGCCCAGCGCTGCAACCATTGTTACAGCAGTAGGCAAGGGCACAAGTCTTCAGCGCCTCTGTCTTGGCACTAGCATCAGTGTCAGCAATGAGATCCATGGTGAGAAAAAGCTTGATACCTAGCAGCCTTTGCCCATCGACACCTAAACCCATGACACTTGGATTTGTGGTAGTGGTCTGTTTCAATCTGGTCCATCAAGTTCAGGATGCCTTCGTGAACAGGATGGTATGTATCTATGTGCAATTTTTCCATGCGCCCGACACCCATCTTGTATTCACTAAGTGCTGCATTCAGCTGAAAGAGATTAGCACATGATGAAGAAAAATGAACCCACTTACGATCGTGGCAGCAAGTGCTACCACACCTTTGGGTACAGAATTCGCAAAGATATCAGGAAAAGATTGAGCCAGCACATTTTTACCCATATAATAGTACATCTTGCAGAGATCCTCCAGAGCGACGTGTGCGACATTATTAATGCGGCCTTGCATGAGAGGTGAGGTCAAAGCTGATTCAGCAACACATTCATGCCTGAGCATCCAGTCCGCCTCATAGGAACTTCCCCTCATCCAGAAGTTCCTTGACGCCATTGCAGATGTATTTCACAGTGATATTGTTGCCTCCAAATTCATCGGCTTCGCAGAAAAGCTCATACTGGCTTTGAACAATCGGCAGGCTGCTTTCTTGAACTCTGAGCGCATGTTTCCTAAATCATCCCATAACTGTGGTAATGTTAAGTCAGCAAATCAAAGAAGAAAAACAAATGGGGAAACAAAATACTATGATAGCCATATCATGCTTGAACCTCTCCCAATAGCCTTCCTCCACGCCATGACCTTCCACAGCAAACTGATCATGTAGTTCTGCTAGAATTTCAATCGCGTCCTCAGTAAGAAAAGTCTCACGATGAGGAAATGAATTATCAAGGGATTCAAGCCTAGATCACTTCTTTGCCTTCTCGAGTAAGTCCCTGTACACCAGCAGGTAAAACCGAAGCTACGTTGGGATGGGGCCTTTTGACCATTTGCGGCTGTTCCTTGCAGGCTGGACTTCATCGTTATTGTCATCGTCATTGTTATCATCCTCGGTCTGTTCTTCTTTGTCTTCCTTGCCTTCTTTGATATGATCCTCACCTCTTTGGCGAAGTTCTTGCAAATAGTCTAGATCAGGGGACCTAGGACACCCATTCTTTTCTTGGTGCTGACAAAGGACATCGCTACATTGACGGCGACCAGATGGTTGTGCTTCCAACTGGGCGCAATAGTCATCCTGTTGATGATGGTTGGATGGTGGTACATTGGGCTGAGCACAATTGGAGGGTTGATTGGAAGAGTGTTGATTGGAGGGTTGATTGGAAGGTTGATTGGATTGTCAATTGGAGTGTCAATTGGAAGGTTGATTGGAGGGTCAATAGACAGTATTGCAGTTAGTCGCTGGAGCTGATGGCCTCCTGTGTTGGTTATTGTGAGGTACTGGCTGTCCTGCATGTTTGTCAGCGGATCTGCAATGCTCTTTCACAGGAGGTGTGTGTGCTCCTTCATCCTCACTAGTTAAGGGTGACCTGGGCAATATCACATGCCGTTTCATGGGAGGTGCATGCTGTTCATCATCTGTGTCAGTGTGATATCCTTCTGGCGTTAATCTGCGCTCTAAGGGTGTTGTGTCAAACAAAATAAACCATGACAAAAGAAAAGAACTCACTGCGAAGGCGGGGGTCATCGAGTTCGGGGATTCCTGGCCCTGCATGTGAATAGTTAGATAGGTCAAAGAATTGAATGAACCAACATGTACTAGTCAAATCCAAGTCAGGAGATGATCAGTGCTAGAGGAAAATATTAAGTGCAGAGAACTTGGGAACTGCAAAATCACTGATATTGATCTATATCCATGCCCGGAAACATGAACAGCTCATCACCCTTTTTGCTATCACTGGCATCATCTGGACCACCACCTGGACCATCCATCTCATCACCCTGGTCAGCCCAACTGCCCTCCTCATAGCATTCCTTCCTACCCTGCTCGTACATCCTCATTTCATCAATGTCATGCTTTTCTCCATTGGGCCTCACATTTTCATTGTCATTGTCAGCACCATCCCGTCTCGTGTTCCCCATTACCATCGTCCTCATGTTCCCTGTTGTCATCCCATCCATGTTCCTACCATCCCATCCTCGTGTTCCCCATTACCATCCCTGTCCTTGCCAGGCTTTGCACCTTCATTGTCGTCGAAGGAGTCAGATGGGACCTCATGCTGTGCTGACCTGGCAGCTGGTGGAGCAAACCCATATCGTCCCCCAGATTTGGTGAGATGTCAACTTGGTTTAATGGGCTGTTCATTGTCAGTATAATTACCTGCTTCGGACTCCGCAACTGGAGAGAATTGGACATGAGTTTGGGGCTTGGAGCGATGTTTCGCTGGCAGAGGCGCCAACACGTTCACAGGCTGTGACTCAAGAGCAGGGCTGGCTTTCTTTTGCGGACATTTTGCTGTTTGCACATGCTCAATGTTTGCCATCTGTTGCAGATGGCCTCCATTGCCTCGATTACTGCGGGCCGAATGTCACGTTCCTGTAAAGCAAAATGTGAGCGGAAGACAAGCAGTGTAAGATACTTACCTTCCACCTGGGGCTTTTTCTTCTTGCCCGACACCATGGCTCATGACCAAAAGAGAAGCTGCAAGGCGAGTTCAAGTCTGATTATCGTTTACTAGCTATTTGGTTCAAACTCCATTACAATATATCTGTGGAAGCATATCAACACATTATCATTATGTGTAGGATGTACATACAAGAACATGAAGCCTTTGTAGATATAGTGCGAGTGAAAACATATATGATATGTTGTGTATGATCAAGACCTATGTCTGCTACAGTGCCTCCTACTCTGCCTGGAAGAATTCCCCGACACCTTGGGTACCCTAATGGCACGAGTAGTATCAGACTTCACTGAACTTATGTAGAGCATTGATCATTGAGAACAGGACCGCCCCTTTTGACCTTGGAGGCTAGAAATGGTCAATCACCTTTGGTAACAAATGAAGGTGCCTTGCCATCAAAAACGAGCTGCCTGATGTGTGTATGGATTGACAGAGGTTCATCATGGTCGTCGTCATCAATGGACGGCTGGATTATGCTAATAAGTTTTGTGTGTGTAAGAGGTGGCTTGATGGTGGGTTTAACACCATGGCCATCAAAGATTTTCATGTAGTTGATCTGCTCGCTAAGAAGCAAGCACAGCTTGGTGATGAGAGTCAAAAATGGCTGAAAGTATTGAGTGATGTCCACTATAATGAGATCTGATTGTTCCATATGTCGGTGCTTGATTAGCCCTATTGCGTCCCATTCCCCATAGATCCACCAACCGATGATAGTCTCATTAAAAAGCTTATTGTTTCGAAGCTTGTTGCCAGGGCCATCATACATCATGCAGATGTAGATGAAGATGTATATGGATGATTCCAGGTCGTGAGCGATGGTCTGTTCACATGGAATGCCATGCTCCGAGTATTGCAGCAGGATGCTGCTAGCCATGAACATCAAAGTTCCCTGAAAATTAGCGGTATGTAAGTTTAAGAAAAATATGCAGATACAGATCTACTGACAGTAAGGTCCTGTCGTCCAACAGCATGATCAGTTCCTTTAGAGATTTTTGTGACATAGTCGAAATTGATTAGGAGACCCCTTGCAATGATACCATTGGCAGTATACTCGAAAAATATCATGACATTATTGATGCTGACATCACAGTGTAGTATACCTCGACCAACAATATCAGAATGCGCTGTAAAATAATGTGATGAATGTGATCTGTATGATTCTGATTTTGAACACGTACTGTTTATCACATCTATTAAACACTCGAGCAACTCCATTCGATGAGAGAAGTAAGTGATTGGAACAGTGTATGGTTCCAGGACCAAGTATCGATGAATACGTAGCTCAGCCGTGTTTGTTCCTGAGGGTAACGTCCCCCGATGAGGACCTGTGGTATTGGGAGTCCCAGAGACCTGAACGTTCCATGACTTGATGAGCTTCGGAACCCCTCGGATATCTTTCAGCATCTCCAGAATTTCTTCTTCTACACTCGAGCAGGTGGCAATGGACCAAGTATCCTTCACAACATAGAAGCAGGGACACTTTGGATGTTCACCCCTGACGACACATGTGTCAGGGTCCTGGATGTGCCAGCACATGGTGGCACTGCCTCTGATGACGGCCCTTGTAAAAATAGGCTTGATGATGTGGTAGGTCTTGTCACTGACTTTGATGGTGGGGATGGTTTGAGGAAGCATAGGATGGCGAGGAATTTTGGGTAACATGACTGTAGGATCATAGCCGAGATTTGTGGTGCTTAAGTAGAGGCTCCCACCAAGTATTCCCATGAGTGCGACCAGTGTTTTGTGGATATGATAAGGTAGTGAATGGACTGCTCCTGAACAATCAAATAAGGTGATTCAAAGGACGAAGTCAGTTATGGACAGCGCAAAAACAAATTGACGATTCAATTGCGCTTTATATACTGCATACGCCTTTGCGTATAAGGTATCCAATAATTTGGGTCAGATGGGAAGCTTCAATAATTCACAAAACATAAGTACATTGTTCCATGCTATGAGCTCTGGCCCTGCAGGATCACTGTCCTGCAACACAAGATCAGGCTTGACTGCAAGCGGTGTGCCTGTCATTTTGCATGTAGAAAAAAAGCCAGTCCATAGATGGCCCGAAAAGGCTGGAAGTATATCCATCGCCTTGATCTGTGACTGTGTGCAGGGACGACTTGGCAGAGGAGTTTGGGGCATGGGGGAGTGTCTGCTCTCCAATTCCACACAGTGTTGACTTTTCGATTTTTTGGGATTCTTTGCTTCTAGATCTTGATGAAGCTCTGCAATGGCAATTGAGATCACCTTCATAATCCTGTTGAAAAAATTTGCCAGCACCTCCTCATCATTCTGGGGTTTAATGCCAGCTGCCTTGTCACTCTCCACTTCCTCTACATCCAGACTAGCTTTCTTTTTCCCTTTCCCATCTTTTCTGCCAGGCTGATGCAAGAGTGATGGAAGAAAGGCAGGGTTCCAACATTTGCATGCCACATCATACAGATGATGGCTGTCATCAGTCTTGAGATATGACAATAACCTCTCATCCAAGAGATCTGGAAGGAGTGCACGAGGAATCCAGTTGTTTCGACAATAATCGTCACTGTTCAATCCTGTCAGGTTCGTAAATGGTGGCATCAGCAAGCTCCATCTGGTGAGCATGTTTTAGCTCGATGAGAGTGATTTACCGTCCAAGGTCAGGAACTGAAGTGGTTGAACTACGAAGGGGAGAATCTAGAGAATAAAACTTAGGTATGCATGTTGGATACAGGCTCTGAGCCATGCTCATCAAAAGCGGTGTTAGAATGCAACGACAACCGTACAAAAATAATATTTCTCAAGGAAAACTCACATGATGAGTAATCATTAATTGATCAGTGACAATGGGCAAGAATGCAAGAGATGCAACATTGGTCTTTGTGGCAGGTTTTAATATGACGTAGAATGCTCAGCATGTTCATTGTAGTAGGATAAAGAAACTTGTACTATGCACTGGTACATAGATCACTCTGTGCCATTAATGCTAAAAAAAAACTCTGTGTTCCAAAGCTTGTTGAGAAAAAAATCATCGGAATATTCATTGCTGGTTTCTCGGGCAAATCGGGGGTTCACAGATTGTCCAAAACGAGGAATGAGATGGGCAGTGGATACAATCTGACTGAGAGGTATCACGTCTCCAATGCGAGTACCATTTGAGCGTTGTGCATGCTGTAAAACATGCATCCCTGCAGCCGGGTCCATGGTAACAACATTTAAATGTTCCACATATGCAAGATATGTCCCAGAGTGTTCCAAAGGGGTAATAGGGCGAAAAATTAAGCGAAGATAACCAACACAATGACCTAGAAAAATTATAAGAATTATCAGTGATGAGGGCAGAACGAAGCAAACACAAACCTTCTAAATGACTGTGGAGCCACTTGAACATCGGATCTATGTTCACAATGACTGCATCATATTGTCCACATGGCAAGGTCTCAGAGGGCGGTTGGGCAAGAACAGCTTGAGAGGGCTCAAGGTGTCGTTCGTGATACCTTCTAAGCTGCATGCAGACCTTGCACCAAACTTGAATGCATTCAAAGTTCAACTTGCAATTGGAAGGCGCTCTTCTCCTGCCACCGATCACATAAACGGAACCAGCAGTGTCACGTTCCAGATAATCCACAAGTGCAGCACGAAGGTTGTGCAACACAAACTTTTCTGCAGCCTTATCAACAGTCATATGGGTGAGAGTTGGGTCGGCACTGAGATGGTATGCAGTAATCGACGTTGCAAATGTCCTGAATGGGCAGGGAGCATCGTGTTTACTCTCGATCAACTGTTGCGCCCGTTCAAAATAGTCTTTGAAATGATGGGCTCCTCCAGCTTTGTTGCCATTTCCATCATCCTTGTCTTCTTCATCCAGACCTTCCCCCAACTTGGTTTCTAGAGCAAGCGCAAATCTTTGGCACTTTTCTTGGCGATCAAGATAATGGCAAACCTGCTCGTCATAATCATGGTTATTTCCAGTACGCCCTGGAACCTTAACGTAGTCTATGTGTGCGCGCTCTGCTGGATCAGCAGACCACTGCATCACTGACCTGTGTCAGCGGATGCTAGGCACAATGCCTTGCAGCAACTCCAATTTTGGGATTGCCCACGGCTTGTTTTCACCAGACTTTCCTCATCAAGCGCCTGCATTGACAATAGCTTCTTTCAGAGTGTGAAAGCCTTGCAGCGCACGCTCAACCTTTGTCACAGTGCCCTCAGTAAAACATGGTGCCTGTGCAAGATAGCGGAACTCACAGAGTGAGCGAACAGCGGAGAGGAAATCAGATGGTACAGCAGCTGCGATGAGACCAATGAGATACCGCTGAACATCTCAATGATCTCTAACAGACACTTGTTTCAAAGTGGAGATGCCATCTTTGAAGCTGCGGTACCCAACAAAAACTTGCAAAAGCATGAAACGAAAATCTAGTTCGTCCACGCTGACAACAAAAATGCACCAATTGAGATCATGGTCCCAAAACATGCGGTGCCAGTGATGCAGAGCCTCTGGAGTTATGAACTGAGAGGGATCTGACAAAGGCCAATCCAGCCAGAATGGCTCATGGATGCCATTCAGGTTGAACTTCTTGCACGTCACAAAGAACTTGGAGACATCAGCATGTGAAATAGATCGCAAAACTGCTTTGATGCGAGCAAGGGTAGACAATCCTTTGTGAAGCGGATGGCGGAAGGGATCCTTGAACTGCTCTCAGGTGGCAGTGGTGACGGGGGACATGTTGCTGCAAATGCAAGCAACCAGAAGCTCCTCGGGAGTGTCTGCGACATAGGAAACCAGGGGCGTGAAGCAATACCTGCTATTGCCAATAGGGTCATTCATCATGATGCCCATTTTGGCAGCTGCCTTGAGTGATTCGGTGACAATGCTGAGGCACTGGTGGAACAGCCGATCCACAAGTACACCACGCACCCTCACGTTAGAATGGACAAACTTTGGTACTGGGATGAGCGCGACAAGTAGATATGCGTGGAGCATAACCTTAGCGCACATGGAAGAAGCAATGTTTGCAAGGCTTATCAGGACAGGGTGAGTGTATCGATTACCAGATATATTGGTGACCTTTGTTTTGTCTGAGGACAAGATCACCCCAAGTAGAGATGCGCTGTAGAAAGCTGATTCCTGCTGGGCTCAGCAGAAATTGTACTACCTAGGCAACAAATATTTAGGTAGATCTTAGCACAACCTAGTCTGCTATACTTGCAGAGCAAGTGCATTTGATCCTATAGGGGTAGCTGTTTGGTATTAGTTTAGATAGTTAGTTATCAATAATAGGAACATAATCCGAAGCTAGGAACTACTCGTCCTAAGGGAAACTGTCAGGTCCAAAAATATCGGAGTCGGGTCGGGCGTCAGACTATGCGTTGGACTGTCGGGAATGCGTCGGACGGTAAAGGAATGTGTCGGAAGTGTGTCGGATTGTCGGTCAAATGAGTGTTGGATGTGTCGGAGTGTTTCGGAGAAAAAGAGCGGATAGATATTTCGCAATACAATAAAGTACTACTAATATCCAATGACTTCCATCCTACTACTGAGTAGGGAAAAGTAAGTAATGCAATAGGTAGGAAGTACTAGATATTAAATAGTGTCTATGTAGAATTTCAGAGTGCATTAGGCGAAAACAGTAGCGCAAAATCAGGCCCGAATGTATGTAAAAGAGCATGTGTACTGCACCTTTTGTAGATAACATGTAATAACACTGTCTGTAATGTTCAGTGATGCAAAACAAGTAAATACGCACCAGTGGGGGTAGATACGACTGGACAGGACATAGGGAGGACGAGTCCGATGCGAAAACTGTCAGGTCCGAAACTTTCAGGTCGGGGTCGGGCATCGGGATCAGGATCGGAATGTCGGGGATGCATCGGATGAATACTGTTTAACATGAGTATCAAAAACACGGGTTTTGAGCCCAGCGCCGCGACTATCATTACAGCGCCCTGAGGAACCTGACACTGAAGAGAGTACAATGAGCCATTTAGCACTAAAATTCACATATAAATCATACCTGGAGGTACCACGAATGGTCACCCATCATAAAACTACTATACACACGAGAAAGTCTATCAACAGACTTGTAAACCCTCTGACAATTGAAATTGATGCAATCTGCAAGCTGAGGGTTACTGAGAAGGGATTGCAAACAGTCGATTGGATCGCGATAGAATATACGAAGCAGGTGCTTCATAGGGAAGTCAGTTAGGATATCTTCATACTTCCAACGTGGGCCCGATGGTAACATCTCCACCCACTGATGTAGCTCCTTGGTGTGGTGGAACAAAAGAGAATTTTCCTTTGTCTGACATTGTATGTGAGCATAACATGAAGTCAAAATGGCTGAATTGGAAACTCACAAAGCTAAGATTTAGATATTCATCAATTTCCGACATGCTAAGGTTTGTTCGCATCAACCAATAAGCGACCTCCCAATCTTTCTGGCTGGCAAAGGGATACCAAGGAACCTCGGTTCTTTGATGGGTGTAGTCATCTTGATTGAAGACATCCATGAACGTCAATCCCCCAACATAAACCCTCGGAACATTCAGACAGTATTCAACTGCCTTGCCCCACTCCACACCCCCTTCAACTACTGATGGTTCCTGATCTGGGATATTGGCAGCAAATTCATCAACAATGTTCGCCTGGTTGATATCGTCATTTGCGGAGTCATCAGAAGAGTTTCTGCGGTGTCGTCCCATGGCAGTATGATAAGGTATTCGGATAAGTTGCAGATGTCGGTGTTTCTTGCTGCATCGAAATGTAGGTTGACTCACATGCTGTAACACACGAGTATGGTTTTGAAATGCTTGCCACAAGACGGGCAAGGGATACCATTAACACCGATAGCCTGAGTTGAAGGATATGTGAGTCGTCACGGACGATTCATGGAGCGGTAGAAAGATTATTTCGGCAAATTCCGATCAAAGTTTGAACTTGCACATAACACCTGTATCAATCCGAGTCATGCCTCAATGCATTCATCCCCTACCTTTCAACACTCCACCACCAAGCCATAGTGCAAACACCACAGACAGTCCCGTAAATCTATCGCAGTTATCACACTCTTCTTTCGTGAGTAAATGAACAATTCATTCAAATTTAATACTTATTATACTTTGTCCAAGGACCTTCCATTAATCATCGCTGAGGCAAAGGAAAGTCCGCCACAAGATATTGAAGAGGCCAAATGTTTGCTGGCCCTCATACGCGCGGACCGCAAAGTACAAAGAGCGGAAGCTCAGCTTGCAGACCGCCTGGTCACCAAGGACAATGCTTTGACTGAGTATAGTCATCTTAAAGCGGCGAAGGCATGGAAGAGATTAGATGATGCTGAGCTGACGGTGGGATGGGCGTGCTCAATACTATCAGAGAACAGGGTTCTCTATCTCTGAACTTACTTTTTCTACATGTCGATCGGAGCCAGTGCCCATTGGTGATTGCCAGCAGATGGGTGAGCGCTGTATTCATTTTTTTTCATTAGTAGCATTAATTGCACAGTTATATTAAACTCAGGCTTGTGATACAAGCACATATGTCAATGGCTTTTTGTTGTATATGTATTGCTGTTGTCACTCAATTTTTAATATCATTATGCAAATGTTCCATGCAAAGTTCTCTGTTTGGCATGAACTTTGTTATACTACTACCAACTCCAATTATCAATAACATAATGTGGTATCTGTTGGCATCTGTAGTGTCTGTTGCATCTGTGGTACCTAGGAAACTGGGAGCCTGTGGGTCCTGAAGTCTCTGTCATCCTGGGAGTGTCCTGGGACTCTGTTGCCAAAAATGGTAGTTTACTGATGTCCTCAGTTTGCAGTAGGTGTGCCGCGCATGCCACCAAGTCCATGCTGCTGTCAGGCCCAGGTGGAGGCGGAGGCAGAAGGGTACCACTATTCATGGAACTGACAATGAATTTTTCAAAGACATCTGTCAGATGGTTGACAGTGCCCTGCATTCCCATCACGGCAGCAGCAGGCGTGTTCTTGGCGGCCTGTGTCGCACTGCTCATCTTGGCCGCATTGCTCCTCTTCTGAGAGACGTGTGAATGTGCTTTCTTTGAGGGGGGGGGGCGGACACCAAGGTGGTGGAGACCAGCTGAGCTGAATCATGGATTGACACGAATGAGGTGGTCTCGACAGAATCAAAATTGGTGCCCTCATAAGGGCGCTTGGCACCAGCAGAGCTGGTAGCAGTAGAGAAACCACCGGTGTTAGAGCGAGGACTGGTGGTGAATGAAGGGCCGGTGTGAGAGGAATGATTGGCAGTAGTGGAAGGACCACTGGTGGAGGAAGGACCAGCAGAAGAGAGGGCTGGAGCCCCAGCAAGGCCAGGCTCATCCTCATCAGTGTCTGGTACTGGTGGAGGACCCATAACACCTGGGTGGAAGGCATGGTGCCCTCTAGCGCCACCCAAGGGAATTATTTCCTGCATTTTCTCAAAGTAGGGCCAGCCTGTGTTGCGGAATGGATGCATATGAGAATTAGACTGAAAAATGTTAGCTTTTAATTGATAAATAAAAGGGACTGTCATACACTGAGCACAACATATGAATCCCACACAGTGGTTGCTGCAGGGCCATGGATCCCAGCTCCATTGGCATTGTCCCAGTGTGTACCTGTCTGGTTGCAGTATTTATCAATAGCGTGATGAATAGACTTGAGCTAAAATATTGAATCAGTAAAGTGAGTGAAGGATGGAGTTGTATAGATGCACTGATGCCCACTTGCTCTTCACCATCTTGATGGTCTTTGCTAAACCGATCCGCAATGGTTGAAGGTTGGGATCATCGTTGATGACCATCAGTGCAGAAGTACTGATGTGCAAAGCCTGGCCTCAAGCCCTGGGCCAGGCCTGACCAGGCTTATTTAGGCTGAGCCCAGCCAGGCCTTGAGGGCAGCCTCATAGGGCTCAAGGCTCAGCCTCCAGTATTTCAAGCCAGAGCCGGGCCTTCAGGCCATGGCTTTGATCTTTGTACTGGCAAACACCGGATAAGTACATAGTTTATTTCTACCCGGGTCTTCATCACCTAAAAAATCAATTTGAGCCCACTTAACTCCAGAATCTGCAGATGGCGGCCCCACACATCTATTCCAATCATGACGAAGCACCTGCCAGTGTGCAACGTCCTAAATGGGTTGTGATGCCATCAGCCAAGGTAATCAGCGCAGATAACACTGCTGACCTCGAATTGCATTCCCACAGAAAGGCTCACGGTGCTGCCAATGCTGTACCCCAAGTTCCGACCCCACTATGGAAGGCATGGTCAACTCGTCATGGCCATGAAAAGTATGCCGACTCTCAAGATGGACTCACTGCCAGAGTGGCGAAGATTACTGGCGTACTATGAAAAGTCTGCAGACTCTGATGCATACATCATTGCAATGTGTATGTGAACTACTGTGAATCATGGGATATTGCATGAAGCTAACTGTCAAACATGCAGTGCTCGATCCTCTTCAAAAGACGAATCACATTCGTTGGTATTGGGGTGAAGACTTGTACCATGATGCTCTTGCTCACGCCGAAGATATGGTAAGTCTTTTGTTGTCATTTGCGAGAGTCACGTCTCATATTGCATTAGTACAAACAGTATTATGAAGAGATGTACAGCAATGGTGTTCCAAAACCTGTGGCAGCGAACACAATCATTGGAGGGAGCCGAAAGCTCACAAATCTCATGCGGGAGCTATCTGACTGATGAAGACATGATGTCCACTCCCACCGCTTCGAGTCCCACCTATGATCCTGTGAGGCCATGGCTGCAAGACTTCAATGCATACCTTAACTCAAAAGACCACCTTGGTGGTCAAACCATTGTCCAGTGGTGGGCAGTTAATGCTCCTCACTATCCTGTCTGGGCTGCGATAGCAAGAGACTTCCTCTCAATAATGGGATCTTTGGTGTCGAGTGAATGGGCCTTCTCGTCTGCTGGCATTACTATTAGTAAGCGACGGAACCGGTTGAAATCTGACATTGTCGAAGCTCTCCAGTGTCTCAAGTGTATGATCAAAAGGGACCTCTTGTTCCAAGACTCGGATGACCCATGTATTGCAGCTGAAGTTGATTATATGGATGGAAGGATTGACAAGGAAAGGGAAAGCTGGGATGTCATGGTTGAAGATGGAGACTCAGACAATAATGGCTTAGCAAGTGATATTGATGATTCTGAGGATGCAGAGGTACATATACTAACACTAGATGAAATTTGATTTTTTCTGGTGACAAGCCCTGGCCCAGACCAAGCCGAGCCCTGGCCAAGCCTGAGCCTTGTCAGGCCGAGCCCTAGCCCTGGCTTTTGAGCCAAGCCGAGCTGGGAACATCACTATGCAGAAGTATACACCTGTGGCTTGAAGTTGCCGGAGGTATCACCACTTGCACGATTATTGTACATATGATTGACAAGAGCAGTGATTTCTTCGTTTCTCCAGTGCGCAGGTGTGCACCTTGTAGGGATTTCATGGGCCTCAGGTTGAGCCATGATAAGATTGGTGTATTGTACACAGATCGCAGTGATCGCAGTGATCACAACGACACTAGCGATGAGTCGATTGCACTGGTGTATATCAAGGGAGGAGGAGCAAGAGATATCCATCAATTAGTATGTACAGTAGGAGACAAGGAAGGTTTAAGCTCCGACCAACATTCGGGACAATGCCGACGAAATTGTGTGATCAATATTTCAAAACTTCATGCAAATATTTCTATCCGAACATGCTCTTATTATTACTGTACAGTAATTTCTCACAAGTCCTGAGCAGAGATATTGTACCAGTACTATCACCTGATTCGGAATGCACAATCGATGGATAATGCACAATGCACTCCAGAGCTCACCACTCTACATATATTTCATTCGGAACAGCTGGTGGACAATTATTAGCATACATTCAATAATATTACCAATTCAAAATTTTAAAATCGGTGCTGTGAAGCCTTCCCGAGATGAAACATTGTGCGAGTGTGCCCAAAATGAGTGATTTTTGGACACTAAATCCAAGATCCACCCAGATCCCATTAACCTATCAACACAGAAAGTTCAAAATATGTGAAATGCACCATCCTGAATCTACTCCAGGTGTTTCTATGTCAATAGGACACCACCACAGCATGCTATTCGCGATTCATGAGCAAAGTGTGACGGTCAGGCTAGATTGGGAAATCACACTCTCGGCTTGGTTGAGTCTCCGCTTTCTTTGCATTCGGCAGAATCGGCACATACCAGCATCTGTTCCTTTGAAGACACCAGATGACATTGTTACATTACAAGGACAGTCGACCAATGCCAAGGACAGCTCGAGTTTTTCGCAACCGCCCTTCACCACATTCACAACCTCCTCTCACACGCGAGGATCGTGAAAAACGTATCAAGGATGTAATCGATACATGGCGTGGGGGTGAAACTAAAAGCCTCCTACAAGCAGCCAAGATGCATGGTGTCGAGCACATATATTCCACAGTGCGTAGGAGATGTGAAGGGTTGACTCTGCCACGAGACGAGGCGCATGCAAAACAACAGCACCTTACACCAGCCCAAGAGGAGGTTCTCATTGATTGGATGAAGTTCTTGGGTGCAACTGGACATCCTATTTCAAAGGAGACTGTGCGCCCCTATGTCTATGACATGTGCAGGAAGTACCCTTCCGAGTTCTGGATTCGGAGATTCATAAAACGACATCCGGAAGTCAAGTTACGGCGACCCTCTGGTCTTGATCCAAAGCGCGCACAAATGTTCAACTATACTGTTGTGAAGGAGCACTTTGAAAAGCTAGATGCAGTGCTCAAAGAACATGGGATACCTTGGGAAAACGTTTATAACATGGATGAGAAGGGGATTCAGTTAGGAGGCGGAAGAAAATCTAATGGGCGGAAATTCTTCTTCTCGCGGTCAGATCGTCAGCGATATCAGATCAAAGGAGGTAATCTGGAGCTCGTCACTGTCATAGAATGTGTCTGTGCAGATGGGACCAGCCTGGTACCAGGTTTCATATTTGCAGGCGGCACTATTGACCGCGAGGCTACAGAAATTGATCCGAAAATTAGGTGTGTATCATATCCTCCACTGTAGAATGACACTCACAAAGGTTGTAATAAAGTCTAGCAACATCGGAGAATGGCTGGACAAACGACTTCCTTTGCAGCGAGTGGTTCAAGACGTCATTTATCCCACAAGTGTCTGCAAAGAATATTTCAGGAAAACCTTGCCTTTTGATCTATGATGGTCATGGCTCACATATCACGAGCGATGTGGTAGAAACGGCAGCTGCAAACAATATTCACTTGTTCTGTTTACCGCCACATACAACGCATAGGTTACAGCCACTTGATGTCGGTGTCTTTGGACCAGTGCAAAAGGCATGGACGAAAAGATGTGAACAGTACTCGTTGAGGACGGGAGAGGGTATGCGGCGGTGTGATGTGGTGAAGGAGTATATGGAGGCTCGCAAAGAATCATTCACAGAAAACACAATCCTTCAGGCGTGGCGGAAGTCAGGAATAAGACCATTGGATCCGGGAATATTCAATGATGATGACTACGCACCCAGTAACTCGACATCGACCTCGGATCAACTGCCACCTTCATTCCCTGCCCAACTGCCATCAGATTGGGATATCCCTTCATCTGAAGATCCTGACTTTGACCCGTCAGCTCAACAGTCCACTTCCCGCAGTGATGTCGTACCTGATTCGGACTTTGATTCCGAGTCGTCAACTTCAGAATCCGCTGATCCAGAACTCAATCCCAACATCAACAGCGACTCTGACAGTGGCGAGATGGATATTGATGAATGGCGGTTGTGCATTGCAGAGCAGGAAAGTGAGTAAACCAGTAAATCAGCACTATCTTAGTACTTAACTGCGCAAATGACATCTAGGCTTCAATTCACAAGAAAGAAATTTTCGGCCACCTACACCTTCAGATACCAATGGAAGCGGCAGTCTCCATTTACTGCGTCAGCGAACTGGACCAGTCACAAGATCGCTCTCAGGCTCACTCTCAGGCTCACGGTCTGCGACCCCATTCAGCAGCATCTCCTTCTCAAATCGCTCCTGGTCCAGTGGTACCTCAACACGAGTTAAACACTATGAAGAGGAAATCGAGCGTCTGCGTGCAGAAAATGAGAGGATGAAGGCGGAAAGTGAGGAGATGAAATGGCAACGTGATAACGCTGTTGGTCATGCGGTAATGTTGAGACGTGACTACAACACTTTGAAGCAGCGACTGAATGCTAAGGAGGATAGGCAACATAGACAGGGAAGAGGTCTGCAGATGCATGGGCTGATGACTAGCGAGCAGGCGCGTCAAAAAATAGCAGAGGAAGATGCAAGACGAGCAGAGAAGAAGCAGAAAGCAGATGCTGCGAAGAAACGCCGGGAGGACAAAGAGGCAGCACGACGAGTACAGCGCAATGCGATGGACGGCACAGAGATTTACACAGGACGGCTAAGTGCCAAGTCAAAATCAGAACTGGAGGATATTGCTACTGCTCTTTCGCTGTCAACCGAGGGCACGAAGTCTGAAATTTTAGAACGCATCAAAGGACACTTGGAGAATACTCCCGACCTACGCCAGGACCACCGCTTTTCTGGTCTCTACACATCTCGTGGAAATCGGGCACCCCATGAGTCAAACGGTCATGCTGGATCTTCAAGAATTGACCATACTGCTCCCATTCAAGCTACACCATCTCAGCAGCTCGTTCCAAGCATCAGTCATGGTTGTATTTCACTTACTTCCATGTTTATTTTGTTGCTGATAATGTCTGAATAGCTATGCATAGTAACGGCGCTCCCTTCTCGAG